GGATCCAGACTCTAGACGTGGTAATCTGAAACCACAAGCTGCTAAGAAGATCAGCTGGATTGCGAAGCTTTTCACCTTTCACGCAGAAGGTGCACCAACGGTAACGTTCTCGGGCCAAATGACGTTCGAGTCGCAGAAGGACTCGGCTGCACTGACGCAGGTAATGGTCGATGAGCTGCAGAAGAAGCAAAGGCAGGGGCTCGTCAAGAATCTACATATTGACCGGGAATATGGGGTGTTTACCGGTAGCATTCCATCAAAGTATGCATATGGACGAGCACTCAAGTTCAAGGCCACAATTTCGGATGAGATGAACAGATCAACCGTGACAGTTGAGAAGATCAAGGGATCTGATAAAATGTTCAAGAGTCTTCTGGACCGGGTGCGGGTCATCTGTTAGAGAGTCTGTGAGGATTATTATTTTTAATATGTCCACTCAGTGTCTCTACCCAGTAGTCCTATTCAAGATGTCAACTCGCCCGAGCCGTTGCCCTTTTCTGCTTTGTCTATGCCTGGACTTTTGACATGTGTCACTCGTATTGAACCGTTGATTTGAAACAGTTATCTAATCATGCATATAAAAACTTGGTTGGCCCTATCCGAAGCTGCCAACCCTATTTAAGAGTTTTGGCAAACGCACACGCCCACGCAAACATAGATCGGCTGCCTAGTCTCAACAGAGATGAAATTTTCATAATTCAAAGCTCTAAGTGGAAAAGGGCAAAACCGGGCATGGCGACAAATTTGAGACTTTGAAAACTTTTCAATGTCCTTTGAATATTAGATCATAAAATCGATCTTTATTAAAATTCTACAGCCGTAGCATGGTTTCGGTACTGCAGTGGAAACACCATGAGCAGCCAAGACAAACGCTCCGTTATCTTCACCAGCCACAAATGTCTGGCCAAGTTCTAAAAATTATTACCATAAGATACTCAAGACATTTGAAGCTTCTATTGGCAGGACTTTGCATGCGGGTGGCTGAAATGGTAGCCAGAATTTATTTCCTGGGGTGCCGTGTGTAAAGAGAGTATCTCTCGTATGTACTCATCAAAGTCCGCGTCTGCGATAAGCCAAATAAAAATGAAGGGAAGCAGGAGATCGCCGCCTCATCACGCAGATAGGGTCTTTCTTACCTTCGAAATCAGAAAAGTACCAACTCTGACAACTATGGCAACTACGAATGATATGAAAGATTTCAGCTACATGGACAATGTTGTCTAATCTTTTCAGAGATTGTTGTTGTTTGGCACCAATCCAAATAGATGCCGAGGTCCCTCTATCAGACCTGATCAGGAGTCATCCGGCCCAAGAGCGGCCTTCTCCTCGCCGTATCGCGACCGGAACTGGAACCAGCTTGCCCAGTTTGGTATCCATCGCGGTCATTTGGGAACAGTGCACGCTGAGTAGTGAGTCACCCAAAAGCATAAAAAATTGGTAATCCAACCTCACGTTTAGGATATGTAGAAACCTGTGCTTAAATCAGTTTTGACACACGCATATAACCGGTTTCTCATGATACGTCAGGTGAGACGGTACAGAACACTGAGCTTGGACTCATGCGCGCAATCATACTACAGAAGGATGGAGTCGCAACGAAATACGAAAAGCGAGACGTTAGCTAGAGGAGTTCGAGACGAGGTGTCGCCAAACCCCAGAATGGACTGGATGTTCGATAAGAACCAGCGAAACGATTCATATCATCACAGAGTGGTATCCCCGAAAGTTGAGGCCTATAGACATGAAATATTGGGGCAAGCGTATACGAAAAGGTTGGACCAGCTAACTGATGAGATGATACTGAGTTGTATATATAGCGATGCCAGCTACGACCTAAGTGTGAACGGATCGAAAGTAAACACGCTATTGGTTCAACTTCTCGGTGAATCGGCGCTGGGCGTTTTTTACGAGAAGCCAAATTTGAGCGAAATGGTTGAAGGTCTCTATAAGCAAAGACACATCAAGACCTCCTCCAGCATGAAGAGTCTCCGGCAACTTGTCGGATTCATCAGTCTTACGCATGGATTCGGCGAGTCCGAAAAATTCTTTTTGGATCAAATTCTGACTAGGTCTCTTATCGGCTCGTCCAGGAACAATATGTAACTAATGAATAATGATAAACGCAACAACTCATTCCACCTTAATGCACTCGATGAAATCTTTTATCCCGGTGGTTTATCCGCCGGCGCTCATTTCCGCATTGCACCGCCACTTATGCAAACCCTACTTCGACACTTGGACCCGGTCGCTTGGCATTTGGCCGGATCTGGGAATTCGTGGCAGTGATAGGCGGCCTTTTTTTGCTGCACGATTTTCTTTTTGCATTTTATCTATCCACTGTGAATGGGTGAAAAATAGGCTTGTGTGTGGTCCATGTTCTGGGTGCAATTATTTTCCAAATGAAATTCACATAAATACATGACTGTCTTCCATTCAGTGATAGAAGAGGTTGTTCTGGTTTTCTCCAATCAACACTTGGAACTTACCTGCCGTCAAAAGTTTTGAAGCAATGAGTGACGATATCGAAAAGAAGGCTTCCTCCTCTATGGAGAACGGTTTCATTACCGAAGAAAAGACTTCGGAGGTGGTTACCTCCAAGTTCGCCTGGTACGACAACATCATGTCCATGTTCAAGGCTGAGACTAGAGGTATCGAGAGAGTGCCGGAGGACGAGAGAACAGACGAATCTATCTGGTCTGCTGCCTCGATGTGGCTTTCTGCGAATATGGTTATTGCTACCTTTTCCCTGGGAGCTCTTTCCTACCCTGCTTTTGGTCTTGACTTTGGCACGGCTGTCCTGGTTATCTTCTTCTTCAACCTGTTGGGAGTTTTGCCTGTTGCTTTTTTTTCGTGTTTCGGTGCCAAGTTCGGTCTCAGACAGATGATTCTGTCAAGATTCCTTGTTGGTGACTTCGCCATGAGAATTTTTGCTTTTATCAACTGTGTGGCTTGTGTTGGTTGGGGTGCCGTCAATATTATGGCCTCTGCTCAATTGCTCCATATCGTTAACGATAACTGCTTGCCTCCATGGGCTGGTTGTTTGATTTTAGTTGTGCTCACCATCATGGTAACCTTCTTCGGTTACACCGCTATCCACCTCTACGAGAAGTGGTCGTGGGTTCCTAATGTGGTTTGTTTCATTGCCATTATCGCAAGAATGAAGATCTCTGGTAACTTTGAGGCTGGTCACTGGGGCACTGGAAAGGACTTCGCTGGTGGTGTTCTGTCATTTGGTGGTACTGTTTTTGGTTTCGCTGCTGGCTGGACCACCTACGCTGCTGACTACACTGTTTACATGAAGGTCGACTCCAATCCTTACAAAACCTTCTTTGCTGTGATGGCTGGTCTCTGTATCCCATTGTTTTTCACGATGGTTTTGGGAGCTGCTTGTGTCACCGGTATCAAGACTGATGAGGCCTGGGCTGCCATGTACGATGAGTATTCTATTGGTGGTTTGGTCTACTCCATCTTGGTCACCGACTCCTTGCACGGATTTGGTCAGTTCTTGTGTGTCTTGTTGGGTCTTTCTACTGTCTCCAACAATATCCCAAATATGTACTCCATCGCCATGTGCGCCCAGGCCTTCTGGGGACCTCTCAGAAAGGTTCCAAGAGTCGTTTGGACTTTGCTCGGAAACTGTTTGACTTTGGCCATCTGTATCCCAGCCTATTACAGTTTTGCTGATGTCATGGACAACTTCATGAATTTGATCGGTTATTATCTGGCCATCTACGATGCCATGTCTTTGTCTGAGCACTTCATCTACAGAAAGGGTTTTGGTGGTTATAACATTGAGGATTACCTCGACAGATCAAAGACACCTATCGGTATCGCAGGTACAATTGGATTCTGCTTTGGTGCTGCCGGTGTCGTCTTGGGTATGGACCAAGTCTGGTATGTTGGTGCTATCTCCAAGCAAATTGGTGCCGCTGGTGGTGATATCGGATTCGAGTTGGCCGCTTCCTTCTCGTTCATTGCCTACAACATTGTCAGACCTTTTGAACTGAAATACTGTGGTCGTTAATAAACCAATAGAGCATATATGTGGTGAAAAACTCTATTTTATCAAGGTCATTGCATCCGATTTTTCTTTACTCCGGATTTTTTATTAGTTTTGTGTTTCTTGTGGCTTGTTATTGAGTACAGGTCACGTTTAATTCTTGGTTAATTATCACGAATTTGTTTCATTGCAATGAAGCCTCTAATCATTATTTGTTTCGCGAATAATGGATCTGTAGGTTTTGTAGATGCTCATGCGGGTATGCATAGTAAAATGTATGGCATGTGTGGGGTGTCTATCGCTAACCTGCTTCACAGTATTTCATTCTGTGCAGAATGAATCTGTAAGCATCACAAATGCTTCTGCGCTACTCTATACATAGGCTCATCAGTGGCTTGTCATGGAAATTACCAGAGCAAGAAATCAAAGATACAGAGAAGCACAGAACACAATGTCTCTCTTGATTTTCTCCTGTGCCTCTTCCATCTTGAAATGAAGCTGCGAGTCACCAATGATGAGAGCGGCATTTCTCACATCTCTGCAGATCTCGTCTAGGCGGGAAATGACGCGGACGATTGTTCCCTCACTCTCCTGGACTTCTTGGTTCTCAAGTTCCATAATCTCCTTGAAAGATAATCCTTTGGCCCATTGATATACCACGTTGACCAAACCGAATCTGTTTGATTCCAGAAACGACTCTTCGTCCGGTGTAAGATTCACTTGGAATTGTGAATAAACGCCCAGAACCTTTTTCATGATCTCCACAATCTTCTCCTGTCCTCTTGTCAATCTGGGAGTCAGAGCGTTGGGCACAGAAAGTTCTTCTTCAGCCTTGCCCTTGGGCTTTCTCTTTCCCTCGTACACAAACACAGAAAGTAAGGCCACCAGCTCTTCAGGGTCTAGATCACCAAGGAAGTTGGCCAGCACCAGTTCCGTCACCACCAACTCCCAGCCCTGGTTCACCTCGCACGCAACTCTGCCCTTTAAAGTGATTGTAAGTCTCGATGAGTATAGCTCGTCTCCTGCATCCTCTTCTGGGGACTCAAACGTGGTATCCAGATTGATGTAATCCAGGTATTTGAGCACCCTCAATCTCTGTTCATAGTCTGGGAGTAAATCCAGGTTGTCGTCAGAGATTAAATTCTGAATAGATTGCAGTTCTTGCTCCAGTCTGTACTTTTCCTCGTACTTCTCTAGGTGTTCGATCACTTGAGAGCATTTATCTCTGGCCACCAAAATGCTTTCCAACGCACTCAAAAGCTTGGCCTTTGACTCCTGCGTCTTCTGAAGACTGTCAGACATTTCTGGGGTCAACATGTTGAAGCCAAGTGCTCTCCACGATTTTTGCTTCTCAAATACTGGACCAAGTTCTTTCTTAATCAAATCAAGCTCTTTGGGGTCATGCAACTCAACGATCTTATCTACTCTCGTCTTGACTTCAACATTTGAAACAAAGTCCACCTGATCCATCTCAACCCTGGTGAAAAACAGGCGATTATACCCTCCAAATATGTTGGTCAAATCTTTGAAAAGTTCCGGAACAAATCTGTTCTCCAAGTTTCTCAAGGCAGAAATAGGTGAGCCTATATCCTCTGTGTCATCAGTCTCGGACTGGATGTCATCTTCCTCTTCGTCCTCTTCATCCTCTTCGTCATCCTGTTCGCCATCAACAGCCAAATCCATGAAGGGCAGCTGAAGGACATCCTTCAACTTCTTCTTCTTAGGATACTTCTGACCGTTTCCGCCTGTTATTGCCAGCACAGTCAGAGTCTTGGTGTTTATATCTGATCTCACAATGATCGCCGGCTCCGACGATCCCGTCTTCTCTCTCACAAAGATCAAGCGCCCACGTTTCATCTTCCGCATATGATATGCTGAGTCCATTGAGTTTCTAATGAGGGACCTGTAGTTCTTGAGATACTCGTCTCGAAGCTTGAAAACTTCTGTAAACGATCCTGCATCGCATAGATCGCAGTGAACCTCGGGAAACTTTTCAAGCTGAACTTCCAGTTTCGTCGCTGTCTTTTGATGCTCAGGAAGTAAACTTTGAGTAGCATCTTCACTAAAACTTCGCTTGATCATCTCTTCCACCTTCAATGCTTCAATACGCACCAAATTCAGAATCATGTTGTAGGTCAGTCTGAATTGGGATACCAACTTCGTTGGAGTTCCCAATGCCACATCTCTGAAACTGTTTTGTTCAATTGGAAGATTATAGGCCATCACTATCACCGTCCCTATTTTATCCAATCCACGGCGACCTGCACGGCCTGACATCTGAGTGAACTCACCAGGCAATAAGTCTCTAAACCCAGTGCCGTCATGCTTCCTCAGTTCACTGAAAACCACGGTACGAGTTGGAAGGTTCAGTCCCATTGCAAAGGTCTCTGTCACGAAAAGAACCTTGAGCAGCCCTCTGGCAAACAAAATCTCGATAAATTCCTTCACTATTGGCAAAAGACCACCATGGTGTAATCCGATTCCTCTGCTCAGCATCTCCTTTACCTTCAAGATCTGCGGAAGTTCTCTATCTTCTTTCTTGAGTCTGCTGATCGATTTTGTAATGAAAACGTGAATTTCAGACTTTTCTTTTGCAGTACAGAAGTCTTGGGAGCGCAGAGTGTCGGCATATTCTTCGCACCTCTTTTTTGAGAACACAAAGATCACAGCCGGCAACAAATCTTTGGTCTTTAAGTGCTGGACCAATTGCGTCCACGAATTCTTGTTAGGATTGTCTCTTTGCATAAACTGAGTCCGTCCTCCGCGACCACTGCCTCCTCTGTTTCCGCCTCTTCCTCCCCTTGCTCCCCTTGCTCCTCCTCTTGCAACTGCTCCTCCTCTTCCTCCGCGAGTACCACCTCTAGCCCCTCTGGAACTGTCGTTACCACCTTTAGAAGACCCCTCTGGGGTCTTTGTGAGCGCCTGCTCGTGCTGGGCATAACCATCTTTCAAAAAATTCCTATTTGCATCTATCAACTTGAACATCTTTTGCTTAGCAAATGCGTAGATTTCAAGGGGAACGGGACGTTTAGGAGTGGAAATAACATAGATGTCCTTCTGCTTTGTCCTTCCAACCCAGCTTGCAAATTCCAGAGTATTTGGGACCGTAGCACTGAGTAAGATCACCTTTACGTGATCAGGTAACATGATAATCACCTCCTCCCAAACGACACCACGATCAACATCGTTCACGTAATGGACTTCATCAAAGATCACAAACTCAACATCTCTGATCAAATCGGCTCCACGATACAACATACTTCTCAGGATTTCCGTGGTCATGATCAAACATCCTGCATCCGGATTGATCTGAACATCACCGGTCAGAACTCCAATTTCAATATCAGTGAAGGTCTCCTTGAAATCTCTGAATTTTTGGTTACTCAAAGCCTTTATGGGAGAGGTGTATATCGCCTTAGTCATATTCCTGGTGGCCATGGCAATTGCGTATTCGGCCACCACAGTCTTACCAGCAGATGTGTGTGCTGCCACGAACACCGAGTCTCCCTGCTCCAGATGGTAAATTGCTTCTTGCTGGAAAGTATCTAGTTCGAAAGGCCATGTTCTTGCCATATTGGGCACAAGTTCTTCGAAGTTTTCGATCTTGTGAGAAAGCTCAACAACATGAGCCCATTCTCTCTTTGCTGTCGCAGGTCCCAGGACGTTGTGTGACTTCGATACCAATATCGAGTTTGCCGGTATTATTTCGTCAATGATATCCTTTTCCCCGGAGGCTTTCGTCTCTTTCAACGAGACCAATGTGTTATCATCAAAGGACTCATCAGAGAGAGAATCCGGAGTGGAGTTATCATCGCCTTCCAGGTCCGTCTGTAGCATAGGCAAATCTTCGATCTCCTCAGTATCAAAAGTCTCCAACCCTTTACTGAATCCTGGTGGAACATCAAACAAACCGTCTTTGTCGCGGTGAAGTTTTCCGAAGAGCTCCTGGTTTGACTGGGAACTTGCTTCGGTAAGTCCACCAGGCTGGAACGGCAGAAAGTTGGAATGGCCAGTTGCGGCATTCTGGTTAGAGCCAAACTTTCTCCTCATTGAGAGAGAATTCATGGCTGTGGCTGCTCCCTCATTAGACTCAAACGATCTGCGATCAAAAACTTCCTCGTACTTGTAGATTTCACCACCAATGCCTCTTCGTCTTGATCTAATCACAGTACGAGATACCGGTGCCGGCGAAACCAGCAGTGACGAGTAAATGCGCGAGTAGTCGGTTGGTCCCAGATGAGGAACAGATTGCAAGTTATTTAGCAAATCCCACGGTAAATCGTTGGAGGGAGTAAGGAACTCTTTCCTAAGAAGCTGGTCAACCTCGTCAGTTGTCGGTTCAGGCTCAACATAGCGTGTACGGGTTTCCGGGTCTAAAGGGCCGTCGTTCACCGAAAGCTCGCTCAGCAGTTGCAGCACATCGTTAAGTTCGGACATCAAACAAAAGATTCCGTGAAAGTCTGCCTAATTCTACCGGCTCTGTGAAGTGTTTCTACCAGCATGTTGTGCCTAACTGTCACCTAGTAAAAATACTTTCATTGGTACACGACTTTCGGGCCCAAAGAATTTTGCTGTGCACTTCGATCGGTTAAATCTGGGGTAGGCCTTTGTTTCTCCCCTCGACGACAAGGCGCTCAGCTTTAAACAAAAGCTTTCTTGTTACACGCTCAGGAATTTTGATAGGTTTTTCAAGCAGAAGAGCCAGATTGATGCAATAGTCGATTCATTCAATTTTCAACAGCACCGAGTTTTCTGTTACTTCGCTACGTCAAGCGATACATTGGTATCCGAATATCCCCTCGCCTTCTTGAAAAAGTTGTCAAAATGCCGGTCTATCAACTAGGTCATGTCGACAATCTTCGTATTTGTGTTGTTATGGTTGGCCTCCCAGCTAGAGGCAAGTCATTAATTGCCCAAAAAAGTACGTTATACCCAAGGAAAACTTTCTTGAACACGTTTACTAACCGATCTCCTTACAGTCGTCAGATATCTTTCCTGGTTGTCAATATCAACAAAGTGCTTCAGTGTTGGTTCCTACAGACGGAAGGAATCTGCCCAACCGCCTGCTCAATTTTTTGATCCTTCCAACGAGGATGGGCTCCATATTCGGGGTCAGGCCTTCGAGGAGGCCATAACAGATATGCTTGCCTGGTTCAACAACAGTAATGGAACCGTTGGAATCCTCGATGCCAGCAATACCACCCGTGAACGCCGTGAGCGGGTGTTAAAGATCATGAGAGAGAACAAGATTGAGCCCATGTTCCTGGAAAGTTTCTGTGAGAACGACGAGATGGTGCGCAGTAACATACTGGATGTCAACGCCACGTCCCCAGACTACAAGGGTCTGCCATCAGACGTTGCTATCAACGACATGTACGAGAAGATCAAGTACTACGAAAGGTCTTACGAACCGATGGAGCTGTCCAACGACTCTGACTTGACGTTCATTAAACTCGTCAACGTCAACTCCGAAATTATCATCAACAGAATTGAATCTTATATGGAGAGCCGTATCGCATACTACGTCATGAACTTACATATCAGGCCGCGCTATATCTGGCTCTCGAGGCACGGTGAATCCCAGTACAATCTGGAGGGAAAGATTGGAGGAGATGCCGATCTCAGTGAAAGGGGTTTCAAATACGCACAGAAATTGCCTGATTTAGTCAAGCAGTATATCAAGGATCATGAGAAGCTGACTGTCTGGACATCAACTTTGAAGAGAACCAAGCAGACAGCACAGTATCTGACATACCCCAAAAAATCGTGGAAGGCGCTTGATGAATTAGATGCTGGGTCTTGCGATGGTCTCACTTACGAGGAGATTGCTGAGAGGTTCCCAGAAGATTTCAAGGCCCGTGATGATAACAAATTCGAGTACAGATACAGAGGCGGTGAGTCTTATAGAGATGTTATCATCAGACTGGAGCCCATCATCATGGAACTTGAAAATCAAGAGAACATACTCATCATTACTCACCAGGCTGTCTTGCGGTGTATCTATGCCTATTTCATGAACGTACCCCAGGAAGAGAGTCCCTGGATGTCAATTCCTCTACATACCCTCATCAGATTGGAGCCCAGGGCATATGAGACTCTAGTGACGCGTATCAAGGCAGATATACCTGCTGTGAGTACCTATAAAGAGAAGGGGACTTCCAAATTGGGTGAAAGTTCCAATCCCTCGAAGTCGATGGTTGGTGAGGTTATTGCCACTAGCAGTAGTGCCGACAAAAAATAAAGTAGCACTCTCTTGCTGATATTTTTACCAATTTTCGAGCGCATTACTTCTTTCTTCTGTCCTATAAAGTGCCAATGTAGTCCAGACAGCCATCCATACTTGCCCTTCCCTCTCTCTCTGCCAGATACGAGTCGATGGAGTCTCCGAGCCAGTCGTAGAGAAATATATACTCGTGCCGTTTTTTAATCATCACCTTCCAGAAAATCACAAAAACAGGAGTTGTCTTTGATTTTCTGTTAACAGTTACCGTTCGACAGCTGGAAAATGCTATTCCAGCAGCTAACATAGCAAGGATTAGATCGAAGAAACAAACCGATTCAAGCGAAAGATCCAGGTGTTTCTTCATCAGACTTGGACACAGAGTCAATGATATAGTCAATGTCAATATCATCAGCAAGGGAATGGCCACACCCAACAAAGTGGCAGCGGTTTGGGGTCTAACTAAGAATGCTGCTTTGGCCCTCTCGTCTATTTCCAGCATCTCTTCGATCTCGTCTGGAGTATATTTTGCCATGAAAGGATACTTCATCCATGGATTTTCCTTCGCATATCTTCTGTGGGCATTTCTTAATTGTGACTTCGACATTGTGAACCTTAGGGTTAAGTGCTTGGTGGTGGGATTCTCTCCAGCCATCATGGTCACGATCTCTCTTTTGGCTGGCCGAAACACGGATTTCCAGGTTCTGCCTCTTTCTTGTAAGAACCCGTGTTCTTCATCACGAAACTCGTTGAATCTATCAACTCCCATGTATTTTTTTGCAAGAATGGTCCCCAGACTGAAATTCAGATCAAAGCTGGCTGATTTCATCATGTCTGGTAATTCGTCTTCGGGTAACATTGACAATGCCATAGCAGGCTGGACCCTCTTTAGAGCTGGGTTTTGTATCTCAGAAGCATTATCAGTAATGCCAGACTGGTGGTTGAGTGAACCCTCTCGAACATTAGATACCCCATCCATCTCTCGAGCCAGTAGATCGGTCGCGCTAGGGTCTCCAAAAGTGCTCTGCGTTTGCTTTGGTGCTTTTGCTCTCCAAGTGTTTGTTTCCTGTATCTCAAAGTGGACTCTGAATCAATGTAGAACTCTAGATACGCATTCATATGTCACATAGGACTCTGTACTAAACAAGCGCCCAAACAAGCTTTGCGACTTGAGCTTCTGTAACGCCGCATCATATTTGGTATTGCACGATACAATATACAAGTCTATTCACTATTAACAGATTTGGCCCTCTCGAGCTCTCTCTTCTTCCTTTCTTCTAGCAATTCTTTTTGCAGACCTTTCACCGACTTCCATAGCGTTTTGATATCCTGTGACTCGGGATTGCCCGCTGCAAGCCACCTGATCTTGCAATCGGCATCGATCACGTAGATGTATCCGGTATACACGTTCTGCATTAACAGCTGATCACGTATATTTCTCTTCAGGTCTTTTCTACTTCCAATCAAATACTTGTTGTGTCTCACTTCGGGGACCATTTTTCTCAAGTTGCCGGTGGCTAGCTTGAGCGCAAACCCTTTGGCCGCATTCTCCGAAAGACTCAGCTCCACGATCTGCGCATCCGGGAACTCCTGCTTGAAGATTTTGTATCCCTTATCCGTAAGATATGACTCTGTGGTATCCTTGATCTTGAAATAGTCCTTGGTGACAGTCTCACCTTGAACATTGGCGTAACATCTAAGAACAGTCAGGTTTCCAGTCATCACGTCGAGTAACTGATATGGGGCATCTTCTTTCGACAAACTGGTATGGATAGGAACATTAGGAAAGTACAACGATTTTGCAGCCTTGAAGTATGAGACAGGAGAAACGAAGATCTTTCCTTTGGTTTTCCTAAATGTGTGGAGATCATACAGACCACCTTTGGCCATCTCTTCCTCTAAATACTTGATTCTCTCGGCCTTCTTTTCTTTGTCAAAGTATTCATTGAATGCCTTCATTAATCCAAAACCTTTCTCCTCGGCAACTTTGGCTACTTCCTCGGGGGTCATCTCGTTCAAAGGCATGGGCGGTTTATGCAGACCGACTGGACGAACCACCTGCTTAACTTCAAACGGAACAGACTGAGTGTTCTTCAGGGATTTGGCCAAAGAGCCAAATCCAAACAGGTTCCTCGGAACTGATGACGAAAAGAGCCTCAACTGAATCACCATTGTAGTCAGTCACCGTGCTATCTTTTTGGAGTCATGTCTGTGATTTAAAGCTGAGCTTGACTTGTTATTTCACATGTAGTGTGCTGACTAAAGGTCGTGTATTCGAAACACGGAATTTGATGCCGTACAGTTTTGGACCCCATGAGCCACGGCACTTCTAGAGAGCCACATGTAAATCAAAAGGGTTAACTATGACTAGTTTCTCCTGAGTCATTTTGAAGAAGCCAACAGGAACAAGAGGGTATTATTTAGTTATTCGACAGGGGATACTGGAAAAGACAGCATTTTACTTGAAGTGCTATAGGATCCATACTTGAGTCTTGTTAAACGCTAATGGAACCATGCCTATGAAAAAGATCATCTCGTCTTTGAAGAAGAAGAGTTCTGCAGATTCTGACTCGCAGTCTGAGTGCAGCAGTCTGAAATCTGGCTCTTCTTCTTCTAGGAGGTCGGCAATCGGTAGCCATGTATCACAACCTCATCTCCAGCACCAGAACCATCAACTAGACCATGCGAGTTTTCCTGTGAGTCAGCCTAATTTTCGTGATGACCAGTCCATGGCTGCTTCGACTATGGGCAACTCTTTCCAGTTATCATACAATAGCAACTCGGTGTTCAGTAAGGGAAGGACAATAGGCACGACCTCAACTGGGGTTTCTTCGATGCAAAGCGGTGGAGGGAAAAGATCTGAATTCCAACAGTTCACCAGTATTGGAAGACCTTTGAGGGTGCTTGATGAAGACGATTCTGAAGAAAGTGATGGAAGAGAGCAGACAAGGCAGGAAAGTAAGGTTAAAGACCCCGAGGCTTTGGGGCAAGAGAGTGCTACTGGAGCAATCCCCATCAACAATAGAAGACAATCCAAAGAGGCTCAGGATGAGGCCGCATCTTCACCGGTATCGCTTCAGTTCGGCTTTCCTTCTTACTCGCGCGCAAATGCTTTTGGAGAACCAACGATAAACCACGGTGGATCACTCGCTTCATCTCCTATTAACAGAGTCATATCGCATGCATCTGCCCATTCTAGCTTGAATGAAGGACCATCTCCAGAGCTGCTTCAGATGCTAGAGTATGTGGAGAAGCAGCTACGTCACCTTTCGCTAAGCATTAGCAACACTTTGCTTCAGGTCAGTCAGAGCGTGATGAACCTAACAAAAGCGGCTGTTGCGGTAAGCGAAAGCATCAAAAGCACCATTGCGGTTCTCTCAGCGAAAACGCAGATGAACAAGGTGATGGCAAAGTTGTTATTGCCTGGACAATTGACGACAGTGAACAGTCCAAATTTGAGGAGGCTGATCAAAAATATGTTATTCCTGGTAGATCATCTACTCGTGGGAAATGTCTACCAACGTTCTAAAGTGCTGATCTTGTCTAGTTTACATGATCTTCTCTTGAAACTCAAGCTGGCAGATCCCGCTTCTGATGTTACTGATTACAGCAACATTTTACAACCTACTTTATTCCCGTTGGGAGCTACTACGGCTCCGTTCCCTAACGAGGGTCAAACTGCTCTCATCATGGACTCTCTTGTGACAAAATTTACCTCCACTGGTGAAGATGGAAGTAGCGGGTTGTTGAGTGATCAGGAGGGTTCGTTTATCGCTCCAGTTCTTCGTGGTTTCCAGAATGTCAATCTCTCAGTCATAACTTTTGTGTTTGGATTTCCTGAGCTCACCAGAGAACACCTTGATGTTGTGAAAGTGTTCTCCAATTCTGTTGAAAACTTCCACTTTGTTTGCCAGAAGAACATGATCAAGCTTGCTGCCACTGCAGCCCCTGCTCCCACTGGGCCAACAATTCCTGTTGGCCGTACTCGTTTGGACGAGGTTAACGTTTCAGCCCAGAACTCGGCGATGTACACCTTCAAGGCTCCTTTTAGAAACGCTCTGAACCCTCAAGCACCACCTATATCGATGTCTTTAGCTTCGGAAAATGCTCTGACATTGAGTGGAACTCTGGGTGGTTACCTATATCCGAAGATTCCCAAGGATACTAAGAACCAAAAACTGCTGAAATATGCCAATAATGTGTTTGGAGTTACGTGTGCCCATGTTGCCCTCAACTCAGACACTACTTACAAAGGACCAAGCGACTACCCCAACATCTCAGTGCCGTCGCCTGTACTGGTGAACTTGTACAAGAGGGCACTTGTTGGGGAGCGCTCCAAGTATAACTCTTACTCTGAGGAATACAAGGCTTATAACGGTGTTGTGAATCAGATTGACTCGATTTTTCCACTACAAAACGTGACTGTTCAAATGCAGCAAACCGCTGAGGATGGTTCTACTATGCTTGTTGAAAAGGAAGTCAAGAGAAACGTTCCCAGTTCGAGATTTGGACAAATCGTTTGGGGAGAACGGATCATCAACGAGAGCAAGGGAATGTTATCAGATATTGCAATAATCAAGGTCAACAACCGGATGAAGTGTCTCAACTTCTTGGGAGATGATGTGAATTTCAGCGAATATGATCCAAGTCTCATGTTCTCAAACCTTTACGTTAAGGAGCTGGTTGACCTGTCTACGCTGGGCAAAAGAGCAACTGCAGCAGGCATAGGTGGAGGTGCTGGTCTAGAAGTTTTCAAATACGGGTCTACCACTAAGTATACCAGGGGAAACGTAAATGGAGTGAAGATGGTTTATTGGTCAGATGGAAGACTCCAGAGCTCGGAGTTTGTCATCAGGTCTTCCAACTACGGTGATTCCATCAACAACTCGGGAGGTCCTGGTGCTGCAAGTAACGCTAGGGGAACTGCGGGTTTGGGATTTGCAGCAGGTGGTGATTCAGGAGCATGGGTTCTTGCCAAGTTGTCTGATGTGGAATCCTTCAGCGAGCATCAACAGCAAATCTCACAACCAAAGCCAAAGACAGGATTCTTGGGAACGATTTTCGAACAATTCCAAGAATCCCTCATCTCTGGAGCCTTGAACGTCGGTGGATCCGGTGTTGAACAGGGACCTTCAGGAATTGATCGTCCCGCAAAAAAGACCCCAAAAACAGGTTTGGGAGTGGTGGGAATGCTTCATTCATACGACGGCGAATTCAAACAGTTTGGGTTATTCACCCCAATGACGAGCATTCTCGAAAGGTTGCAAGAAGTGACGAATATAGAGTGGGGAATCGTAGGAGTCGATAACTGCGAAGAGGATTTGGACGTTCGCAGCGAAAACGAGAGCGGATATGATACCGAGGAGGTCTCGTCTTTGAACGATGATACTTTTGCGAATGACGGGGCACAGCCTCCTACAATATAGCTATTAGGTAGGAGAGGCATTCAAAACAGGTGGGAAGTCACATAGTGGGAGTTCAAGTTAGTATTGAAATTAGTTTTTATTTTATCAAATGTTCGGACGGCGAAAGGCGCCGCAAATGTTTTGTCATTTATTTTCGTTTAATTGATAAAGGTATCTAGGTGTCGCAGGACCAGAGAAGCAAATGTATGTTTGCGCGCATATGCACTGTGTATCTTCTAAGCATCGAGGCGGTGATCTCCACTGCTGCGGCTATAGCCGGCGGCCGTTCCACGGAAGTCAGATGACATTTTGGGTTTGCACGGAAACGATACTCGGTGCCTGGAGAAGGCAGCAACCACTCGCTTATAACAAAAAAAAAGACTATCAAATTAGAAAGGCCTTTTTGAATTTTTAAACCAGTGAACCCAATTACTCGTATCGGAAGGGTTGGTCTGTAAGCGGAACCGCAGCTTCAAAATAATATTATACCTAGAGAAGTTTTTCGGTTGCCTAATTGGCCAACTAACAATCTTATCTCAACCTAATTACTCTGTGAAGAACCGGCGTACCTAAAGCTTTCAAAAAGGCCGAATCTGGGGTGTGGCTGGTGAAAAGTTCAAATGGCCTGCTGACATGACATTCTGCAATACTGCTTAAGCCGCAGATGTAAACCAGTTGATAATTACCAATAGAGGTAAAAAAATTGGAGTGATTAGTCCGAATTTTTATTCGCTTTGCGGGTTGGAAACACCTCAATTTGCATCTCAGTTGACAGTTAAAGTTCAATTCCTCGTATAATCTTCCCCAACTGGTTGACACTTTTTTTTAGCTGACCATTTCCGAAAGTTTACTGTAAGTCCCCCAGATTGGCTGTTGGTCTCATTATCTGGTGGCTCTGTACTCTCTCTACTCCACTTCTCTGGAAAGCTAGATATTTCAATTTACACCTCCGGGACGGTGGTTACCTGTGTTCAGAATCAGTGTAGTGAATTGGGATGACCTTTTGTCCTTCTATAGATAGCTTGAATCAGTGCACCAAAAGCCAAAAATGTCGCTGGCTCTCAGCGAATTATCACTATTTTCAAAGCAGATATGAAGCTGGGAAGTAACTGCTTTGGAAATGGACTTTCTGTCATGATTTGATTATATCAGCTGACCACTCTCCAGACTCAAGCATTTCTCTCTTCTCCCACCAACCTCCGTCTTACGATCCAAATCTTTAAAACAATCAGTTTTGTTGTTTCTTATAACACCTAAACTATTTTGTTAACCTATGTTCGTTTCATTCTCTCTTCCACCAATCATCTTGGCCTCTATCTCATTTCTACCAGCATTGCTCAAGCAGATCAACAGACTAAACAGTCATCACCTCCCATTTACTGAGGAGAGTCTTCTGGGTCGAGTGTGTGAACCCAGTAGTCGCCGAAGTATGGGATCTTCTGGAAGAAGGTCTGTTGGAACAAAGGCCAGTGCTCTGTGAAGGTGAAAACACCAAAGAGGGCAGCACCTCCCCAAAGTCCCAGGATTGGGGTCCACTTCTTGACGGTAGTTGGGTTAATCTGGCCCACGTGTGGTGCAGTTTTGGAAACAACGTTCTTGATGTACTGTCATAGTATTAGTAAAAGTCACTTCGAGGGTGAGCCGGAAAAGCTCACGAGGGCTGACAAAGGTGTCCCAGTCCGCGATCAAAACGCGACAAGAAAGTGTGAATTTAATCAGCAATATCCAAACTTCAACTTACACCTGACATTGTATCTATGAAAACGGATTTGTTGGTTTGTAATGTTGTTTAATCAGGTCCGGCAACGCTGTCTAATGCCCAGTGATTTCTTTCAATGGATTGCATCGTGATTGGCTGGGAAGTGTACAACCCAAAATATTATGTAATATATTGGTTGAGGCACTATCATTGCTGTGAGGAGATTCTGAGCGAGATCTGATTGCGATGCTGCATCTGTTATCTTTCAGAAAAGGGTAGCCCTGACAGATTAGCGCGCTATTGTAGTCAGCCTCAGATACACTTTGCACGTTATTATTGACTCAGGTAGTGGTTCCATGAATCCCCAACAAATTCATAGCCTTGTCAGGGTCTTGGGCCCTGTCTGAAAGATAAGGCCTAAGCCTTGGGAAAAACCCCATGCACCTCAGTGGAAATGGCAGACACCCTTCTGTGGGCCGGCTGTGACCCCTTCTATGGTGTTGGTTTAAAGTTCGTAGCTACTTTAAAAAGTGGTTAGACATTGTTTTTCTCTTTTTTTTCACTTGATTTCCAGCTCTTTGGAAAGTGTTGATCTCAGAGATTTCTATGGCCATATTTACCATCCCACGACTAAAGCCGCACGCAGGTGACCTTTCTGGGGTACCATTCTCTTTTGTTTCAATCTCGGACACCTCCTCGGATTCAGGCACCCTGAAGCATTACAGTAAAATGAGGAGCCCCTCTGTGAAATATGGAAATTCTGCGTTCATGCGAGTGAATGCTGCCTTCAAAAGACTGCTAGCGTTGTTTCTGTTTGTTCTGGCGCTTCCTATAAGGGCACTTCGACTGACCGTCATAGGCGTGTCGAAGAAGTTCAAAGCCAACAAAAAGCTCAGGATAGTATCGATACCGATAGCTGCATTTGTCTTTGTTGTTGTGCCCACCTTTCTCTACACTCGCCGAAGTTTGGTGTTTTTCAAGTGGGCATATCTGGAGCTGGAGGAAGGGTATACTACTGAAGATATCGGCGGCATACGGCGCTTGCCTCGAGAGACCAGAGAAATGCTGGCGCGGTCTGAACTGCCATCAGTCTTGACCGTGGAGAAGGCCTCTCAATCCTCTCCCATGTTGGATATTAATAATTTGCTGTTCCATGGTGCTAATTTCGACCCACGATTGGCGCCTGCTCTGTGGCTCTATACCGTCAGAGAGAAGGTGGAACATGATGGCGGCAAACTCGATCCTGGGTTGCAACTACCTTTTAGTTGGTCTAGCTGGTTAGATTTGGACTCCAAGTTATCACCAAACAGTGACTGGGTGACTTATTTCCAAAAATGGGTTGGCAACAGGGACTGTTTTGACTGTGCTTCCTTCAAGACACTTTACAATATAGACTCTGATATGACACAATGTGAGGACATTGAAGTCTCAAGACCACCATATCCACACTTCAAAATAACTGGACCTTGGGATATGTCCTTCTCGGAGGAAGCCCGAATCATATACGGCGCTTCCTATATGTTTCATTCTGCCCCAGCACCTCATAGGGTGATGTTTCTTGGTGTGGGTCCTCACAATGGAGCTTTAATAATACCAACAAAGGATATATCATCGACAAGCAAGGATGGAGCTGAGCTTGTGGAAATGGCCACAAAATATAGCGAGACCCAGGCCATTGTGGAGGACAATTCTCCGCAGAAGATACTTTCTGGAGGTATCTCTGTTTCTGAACAAGTGAGTCTTATGATAAAAAGGTTCTCCGAAACCCCATCCACTCAGCTGCCAAAATCTATTGATGATTGGAAAGTCTCCAAAGATATTGCAAGACTGGTTAATATGGACTATCAATCTCCAAAGACACTTACTCTCACCAGAGACGATTTCTTATGGGATACTGCAGGAGCAATGGATAAACTGCAGGCCGCAGTTGACAAAAGGAAAACTAAATATGAAGGAAGCAAGTTCGATCTCCGCACAGACTTGGACCACAGATTACTACAAACCATGAAGGAAAGTTTGGATGTAAGGGATAATATCCCTAAGTACTTCCATGAAAGTCTCATTGTGAATAGATATGCTGGGTGGCATTATGACTGGAGATTCACCAACGGTTTAGATGTGCCTCATTATGAGCATACAGCTGTTTTGCACCGTTTGGTAAGGGCCTGGCTGAGATTTGCTAAAGTTGCTGGGCTTAAAACTTGGATTGCCCATGGAACCATGCTTGGCTGGTACTGGAACGGAATGACCATGCCTTGGGACCCAGATGTGGATGTTCAAATGACCATGGCCTCCTTGTATCAGCTTGCTAGGAACTATAACCAAACTCTTGTTGTGGATACCACTCTGGACCAAAAGCTGGAGGACCAGACGGGATTCTCTGTGACTGGAATAGCCGGTGTTGGCAGCTATCTCATTGATATTGGGCCGTCTTTCTTTTCTAGGGAGAAGACCAATGGCAACAACGCCATAGATGCCAGGTTCATCGATACCAAAACAGGAATGTATGTTGACATCACTGCTCTTGCATTTACTGACTTTATGAAAATGCCAATGGATGAGAAAACCTCAAAAGAGTTCACACGGTTGCTCGATCCTGAAGTGGATAGGAAGCGCAAAATGAAGACTGTGGATGAAGGACAATTGGAGACGGAACTAGCTGCCACCAAACAGACACTTTATACACAACAGCTTGCTTACAATTGCAGAAACAATCACTTCTACTCTTTGGATGAGTTGAGTCCTTTGCTTCCTACTGTTTTCGAAGGAGTGAGAACGTATGTTCCCAAAGGATTCTCCCAGGTTCTTAATAGGGAATATCCAGGGAGTCTGACCGTGAGCAAGCACTGGGGTCATTTGTTCCGACCTTTTTTGAGGCTGTGGGTAAAAGAAACCGTTTGTCCCGACGACAGAAAAGGAGCAGATTGCGATGATGCTGTAACGATTAACGAATACAAACAGACAAGTCTGTTCACTGCAATACACCAAGAGGAAATGCAGAAACTGATGGTTGGCGGATATGTTCCATACGATGTTTCTGATGAACTACCACCCATGAGAATTGACCCGTGGTTCGTGAGGTACGCCAAAAAAATGCTACTGTTGAACTGAATCAGTCAACGGTAGATGCGTAGACTCTATAGCGCTATTTAACACTTGCATTACTCTGACATGTGTAACACGGATCAAGTCCACGCAATCATAGGAGATTATTTGCCGACCAGACCGAGAAATAGTAGCAACAATAACGTTATTCACATGGAATGAAGTATTTTTATTCCTATCTCGCCTATCAGAGTTGACGCACTATGACGTCATGATTTTAATGTGAGCGATTAAACAAGTTTCCGTGGCCTTTCAAAGAGTCGTGATTTCCTGGTCTGGCTGTTGACTACGTAAATATTTATATGTCGGTTATTGACTATTCGCAAGTCTTAGTTTGACCCTATGGGAAAGTTATCCTAAAATGAACGCTCAGGTTTTGCCATACCAACAGCCTAATCCTAGAAGCGTGCGACTTTCCAAAATAGCCCGTCTTATCTTTGATATAATTGCTTCGCAATGGTTCTTCATAGTATTAGCGATTTTTATTGTTCTCGCTCGGTTTTTTCCAAATTTTGCAAGACACGGAGGAATCATCCGTGCTGAGTATAGCATAGGCTATGGTGCTGTTGCTGCTATCTTCTTGATCTCGGGTCTTTCCCTCAACACGAAAGATTTCATGAAAAACCTCTCCAACTGGAGGGCCCATTCCACAGTGCTTACGTTCTCATTTCTGATTACCAGCTCCATAGTTTACGGCATTTTGACGGGAATCAAGAAGAGGTACAATCCCAACATTGATGAGTGGATGTTGGTTGGTCTCATCGTCACTGCATGCTGTCCAACTACAGTGGCCTCAAACGTGATGATGACTCAAAAAGCCTCTGGTAACGATCTTCTAACTCTTTCCGAAGTATTTATTGGCAACATTCTTGGGGGTTTCATAACTCCAGCATTGGTTCAATTGTACTTCGGCAAAAGCTCACCATGGGCATTTGCAAATCCTGCATCTGGCTCATACCAAACCGTCGATATCTACAAATCCGTGATGAAAAGTATTGGTCTTTCGGTGTTTTTGCCTTTGTTTGTGGGTCAGGTCATAAGAAATATCTTTCCTGCAAAAGTCATCTGGTTCCACAAGACCTTCAAACTGAGCAAAGTGAGCAACTTCTTGCTCATCCTAATCATGTTCTCTTCATTTTCGACAGCATTCTACCAGCACTCTTTTACAAGTGTTCCCGCAGCCTCTATCATATTTACTGCATTTTTTTGTGCGGGAATATACCTCTTCTTCACGGCGATATGTTTTGCGTACTCTCGTCCTACATGGCTGTTGACCTTGTTTCCACAAACCAACGAACAAGGTCTAGATCGGCGGCCAAGAGTTTACAGATTTCTATACAAGAGTTTGAGGCCTTTCTACTATTCACGAAAAGACACAGTTGCTGTTATGTTGTGTGGTCCTGCAAAGACTGCTTCTCTTGGTGTCTCTCTGGTGACCGCCCAGTACGGGAGCCAGAACCCCAACCTCGGCAAGTTGTTGATACCGTTGGTGCTCTACCAATCTGAGCAGGTCCTTATGGCCGGGCTTTTGGTGTTTTTCATGAAAAGATGGATCGAAAACGACCCAGACCTCGTGGAATCAGATCCTGGAACTCCTGCAGAAACTGCTGAGGCTGGTGATTCCACTTGGATAGAGCAGTTGTCTCAGCTACCAATTCGGCCATTGAAGAAAGCGCATGCAACAGATGGTGTTCCTGTATAGACCATAGACTACAATGCTGCGTAAGAAGAAGTAGCGCATTCGGCCCTTAATATATTCTAACAAGGGCTTCAGTTAATTGAGCATCACTAACAATATTGAGCTCAATTATCATTAATCTCATCATTTTTTTCAACATGAACAATATAGTATAACCGGTTTTCCCCACACATAGACCATAGGTATATTTCATCGTGTGTTTACCATTTGAATTAAGTCGTGTTCCACCTAGTTTCTACGACCGTGTCGAAAAGTCAGTTGGATATCACAGAGGAAATAGAATACTCCTGTTTATCGTCCACTACAACTCAATCGAAATCCAGAATATGGCGCCATACAAAGACGATCATTACCTGATTGTGCAGCCCGGTTCCCAGAACACGCTGGTTTTGTTTGGATTGGAAGAATCCTTGACCCCACCAACGTTCTCGATTCCGACCAAGGTGTACAGAGATGCGAACAAGCCGGATTATTTTCATACATCATCGGAAGATGAGTCCTTGGCAGTTTATCCAATAGTGAAAGGTGAGATTGTGGACATTGCTGCGTTTAACTTCTTCCTCAGGGTGATTGTCAAAGGGATTTTGAAGTCACACCCAACGCTGCTGCTAAACCAGATTGCGCTTGTGCTCTTGGCATCTAACAAATGGTCCAGAATCGCCATCGAGACGATAACACAATACGTTTTCGAAACTCTTCTTCTTACAGCTTTTCAAGTGGTGCCATTGGCATTGGGGGGCTTTTACGCGTACGGTGGAAACATCAACAACAGCGTGGTCGTTGATGTTGGTTACGAGAAGAGCGAAATCACTCCAATTATAGACTACCAGATTGTGAAGAGTGCAAGTGTGTATGTTTCAATTGGTGGAAGTTCGATTAACGAGAAACTTGGCAAGTTATTACCCAAGCTGTCTGCTGAGACGATCGAAGCTTTGAAGAAATCTCAGATTTTTGAGGTTTTGAATGAGGAAGACGCCAAAAACTCCTTTTTTGGCACGGACGGACTTGCTGACGCGAATCCTGAAGATGAGGGAGTGTTGGATATTGCGGCGATTGTAACGAGTGAAAAGTCCACCAGGGAGATTCTTGCCGAGAAGGAAAGAGAGAAGAAGAAGGGAGGGGCTAAGGCCGAGGCACCCAAATCCAACTCCGAGCTCGAGAAGAACATCTTCATAGATGCGGATGGAACAGAGGTTGAGATTGGGAAAGAACGTTTCCAAGGATCTACGGAGCTGATCGAGTCCCTGGTGGATGGCATATATACGGCTCTCTCAAAGATTCAAGACTCAGCCAAGAGACAGGACTGCTACGACAACATCATCCTGACAGGTGCCACTTCGAAAATTGCAGGTTTCCGCGAAGAGCTGTTATTCAAGCTGCTGGTTACCTATAGACTCAACTCAGTGGCCCCTGTGGCTGGCCAATCGCAGGCATTCAGAAACGAGTATTCTACTACTTCTACAGCCCTATCGCAAGTTCCTCAGCATGCCAAGTTTGTCAAGTTCCCAGAATATTTCTCTGAATGGAAACGCAATCACGAAGATGCCGCATTTCTCGGTGGTCAAATTATAGCCAAACAGATATTTGGTCACGGTAACTCGGGAGATTTCTTCTTTGCCAAAGACGATTATCTAGAAAAGGGTCCGCTCGGTATTTGGCAATATTCTTTTTAGATCCCACAAAAGATTGTATGATAATAGTGAATTCCTGCGGTAGTATCTGTAGCAGCAATTTTCTACGCTAGTCTGCTATGTTATAGTAGTTATAGTAGCCTTTTCCAGTCTGTTATATCAAGTTGTCATAGTTTTTGGGGGTATATTTACTTCTTTTGTCTCACCTGTTTCCATATTTTATGCCCATTTTTTGGTTTCATTCTCCAAATTTCGTTTTCCATATTCATTTTGCGTACGCGTACCACCAATTTCCGAAAGGGGTTAATTACCAAATTGAGCCATCGCCCTTTTTCTCCTGCCAACCCCCTTTGAAGGTACGAAATATTGATCTCGCTGAACATTTCCTTGAGGTTTGAGATTGTACAGTGTGAAATTTTCTTCTTCCATATTTTTTTGTGCCTATAATTCAATTGCGTTCGAATTTTCTCGGAATAGCTTTCTGGCTGCTCAGCATACTGGTTTTCATAGAAATCTGACATTTTTCACATATCCAGCGAAAACGAGCCTGAGACCATTTCGAAACAAGCCGCTTGCGAGAGCATAAAAAAAATTCTGCTTATCCTCAGCATCCAGAAACAAACCATTTGACATATCTCCTCGTCATCATGAACAGAAACAGAGGCAGTGCGAGGAATCCAAGGACGCCGCCTTCACCCACTACTCCCGTGCGCGGGAACAGGTCCAATCTTTCGGGGTTGGCCAGAAACATGCCTGGAGACCCAACCAACCTCAAGAGAAAACACAGATATAAGCCAGGAACTGTTGCTCTGCGTGAGATCAGAAGGTACCAGAAATCGACGGATTTGCTGCTGAGAAAACTGCCCTTTGCCAGACTGGTCAGAGAGGTGGCCCAGGACTGCATTGGCTACGACTATGCTCTCAAGTGGCAGAGCGTGGCGATTATGGCGCTCCAGGAAGCCAGCGAGGCTTTCTTGGTCCATTTGTTCGAGGATACCAATCTTTGTGCTCTCCATGCCAAACGGGTGACCATAATGCAACGGGATATCCAGTTGGCTAGACGCATCAGAGGCACTGGAATATGACGAAAACGAGAAGATAAAAGTGGAGTACCCGCACTTCCCAAATCTACATGAAGCTATTGAAAACTGGAAATCTGAGCAGAACCACTCTTGGTCAATTAACAAATCTAAGCTTTTCAGCATAACTAACCAAGCTAAGTAGAGATAGACAGGTTTACCCTGGACTACATAACCGCAATAGAGTACTAAGACATGAAATTTTTTGAAAGTAAATAGATAAACTTGTAACGATTGACACTGTTTTCTGATGAGAACAGATAATAGAAAAACGGACAACTATGGAAACAACTTGGGTGTGAATTCGAAATCAGCGATAATTAACCAAAATCAGTGATGATCGCCAATTAGCCATTAGAGCCATTGAAATATCTGCACTTCAATTAGGCTTGAACCTTCTCTTCAACATTCTCCTCCTTTGGAACGACAACATACTCCTCTTCCTCCTTCGCCACGTCCTTGGTGGGTGCCTCAACCTCAGAACCTTGCGAGAACCCGCTAAAGGTCTGTTCCAATTCATTCTCTTCCTCTTCCTTAGGAACCTCTGCTGGCTTTGCAACAGGCTTTGCAACAGGCTTTGCAACAGGCTTAGCCGCCGCCTTGACTGGGGCCTTCACAGGCGAAGCAGGCTTCGCGTCCGTGGAAAAGATGCTCTTGAGCTTGGATCTGAAACCACTCTTCTTTGGAGAGGCACCTGCAGCAACAGCAGATTTGGCTGTCTTTCCGGAAGCAGCTGCCTTCTGAGGCGCCGCTCTTGCCTGTGTCAAAATGTCCTGGATGTTGCCCGAGACCACTGCCGTCATTGGGGGCTTTTCATTGGTGGAAATGTTCAGCAAAGGGTCCATACCAGCCTCAAAGTTTTCAGGCTTCTTGATATCGGCCCACGTCTTCTTTGGAACAGAAGGCTTCTTCTCGGCGAAGCGAATCTCATCGTCTGCATCGAACTGATCTTCGGCCTCGGAATCGGCCTCGATATCGGATTCCGCAAATGGCTTGGTGTCGATCTCAGACTCAACCGAAACGGTATCCGTCACGTCCTTACGAAGATGTTCAGGGAGCACCGATTGGATGTGGGACTCCTCGTCAAGAGCAACCTGCTTCTGGGCCTGGAGATCTGCAACCACCTTAGAGTGTTCCTCACCAAGCTGGTCAATCTCACCAAGATGAGCAGTTCTCTTCTCGATAAATTCGGCCTCTTCGCGCTCCTTCTGCTCCAAATCCAAGGCAGCCTGTGCCTTGACCTTCTCGGCCTCGGCGGTCTCACGCTCAGAGTCAGTCTTAGCAGTAGCAAGCTTCTCCTCCACCTCTGCGATTTGGGCCTCCACCTCAGCCAACTTGGCCAAAGTAGTCTCGTAGGAGGACTTAGCAGTGGCAGCACGCTCGGCTTGCTCAGAAGCAAACAACTCGGCGGCCTTTCTCTTGGAAACGAGCTCATCCAGTTTTCCTGTCTCAACCTCCAACTCCTCAAGATGTGGAGCTAGATCTTCGTCGTGTTCAGACTGCAATTGAGAAAGGATTCCGTTTCTTTCAGCAAGCTTTTCGTCCTGCTCGCTCTTGATCTTGTCGAGCAGAGCCTGTCTCTCGGCCAGTTTGGCCGTCTGAGCTTCCTCCTCGGCGGTGGTCTGGTCAGCAAGCTCCTTTTTCTTATCGTCATGCTCCTGCTGCTTCTGCCTCGTGAGCTCAACTTGGGCCTGTTTCTCGGCCTCCTTGTCGGCAAGCAGTTTAGCCTTACGGGCCTGTTTCTCAGCTTCTTTGCGCTGCTTGGCCTCGATCTTCAGACGTTTCTGCTCCTCCTTGTACTCGATCCGCTTCTTCTTGAGCTCCTCGTGCTGGTTGTGCTTGGCCCAATCAGCCTTGCGCTGCGCTTCGGCCTTGGCATCAATGTCCACCATGATTGGCTTAACAATGGACTCAGCCATCTTATTCAGTTCCTCTGGGGAAAGCAAAAGACCGCCTCCAAGGTTGATCTTGTTGGATACCGTCTTGCGCTTGGCAAGGTTGGCCTGCGCAATCTGAATGGCCTTGATGTTCATCTCCTTGGATGAAAACAGGTTGTCTGCAGTGATGGAGTTCTCAATCCTGCCGAGAGTGGCATCTGCGTTGGCCATGGCCTTTGCAAGCACCTTGGTGTCGATCAGGCTGTTTCTGGGAACACTGGCCTTCTCCTTCTGCGCATACTCAAACTGCTGCGAGGCAAGCGCACCAACCGAGGCAAAGGACTCGTTGTGTGCATAATCGCCTGGAGTTGGGATTCCGTACTGTGGGCCGGTTCTGGTTCCCTCCAATCTCAATGTCATGGTACGAGTAGCAGATTTCTGGGCGTTAGACGTAATCTTGGAGATATCCACGTTGCCATTGGCAGTGTTGAAGGAATTTGCCGTTGCAAGCCCGGAACGGTAGTCCAATTGAGGGTTGGAACGTTTGTCCATGGTCCGAGTGGCTGACGACTGGGCGTTCTTGGACACCTTTCCAATGTCATAGTTCTTACCTCCTTCGTAGCCATTGTGAGAAGTTTGGATTCCAGAACGGTGGTCATAGATGCGACGATGAGTTGAGGCTGAGTTGGACATGGTAGCCGTGCCAAAGCGAATCTCGTCAAAATCATAGAGGTCCTGGAGCGCATCACGTGCGACCGAGTTAGTGGAGCGTTTCAACACAGATGAAGCAGCGTCCTGCGAGTCTTCGGTGTCAACAACAGAAGAAGAGTCCAAGAAAGGATACTTCTGACTTTTAGCGCTGATGGCAGCGTATTCAGCCTCGGGGGCAACCGACTCACGTCTCCAGGCCTTAGGCGCTGAGTCCTGCTTAGCAACCAACGCTGCGGTGGCGGCATCCGCGCTGAGTTCACGTTTGTAGGGGTGGATGGACAAATCAGTACTGGCGGCCAACAATGCAGCGGTATCTGAGGCTGAAGAGTCGACTCCAACGGTAGTAACGCCCGGTTTGGCGTATACTCCGTACTTGAGCTTGGCCCGGTACAGAGCCTCCTGCGAAAGGGGTTTTCCGTTGACCTGATATGCTGACTTCGATGATATCGACATTAGGGTGCGTCAATGGTAGTCGATTGACTTTTTTAAGGGCCAATTGAGTGGGATGGACGGGGAAAACGGAGAGATGGTTCTGCGAATTTCAAGTCAAGGATGGAGAATAAGGGAGGAAGGAGACTTTAGCGAAAGGGCGGCAGAGTCGTGCCCATGTAAATTTGGTTCAGCCTGAGTGGGATTACCTAAAGAGGAAGTTGTCCCAATCCGGACAGGTGATGGTGATGGCGCTGGAGACCGTGGAGAAGGTTACTAGGTGGTGGGCCGATTTGGGTGGTTTGGTTGGGTTTGGTAATGGCTTTGTAGGTGCGGATTCCGACTTCGATATCCTGGTATAGTAGCTCTAGTTTTTTGACAGATCATGCTTTTCTGCCAGTTCTGTTATGGCCTTCCCAATATGTCTATCTATTTTACTGTCAATTGCCTTCACTGACACGCGCAGCTTTGGCAGCTGCGATCAGAGGCGGTGCTTGGCGGTGCAAAGTGGTGTTATTGCTGGAGGGTATGGCCAAGCACAGACTAGGATGGAAGACAGAAACACCGGACTGCTCATATATCCAACCACCAAATTAAATCAAAGATTATCCCAAGGAAATAGCTGTCAGATTATTTACCTATGCCGTTACCATTATTCCCTTATCCCAATCCCATTATCCCCATGTCCACTATCTCAGATGCCCAGCCCAATGTGGAAATGCCTCCAGTGTGGCTCAGCAAGCAATCAGTCTCACGATAACGGCTGAGACAATCTCGGGCGCTTGCATCATCACTCGCCAAATCGGCCCATAGCCTCGTGATTGGGGCCATTTTCTCGTCTGCTCGTCCAGATTTTTGCATTCCGGCCGGATGTAAACCAGATTATATTCGTTCTGTTCAACATCTCCTGCATTTCGTAGCCCAAGCCCATCCGGTTTCAAACCGCACAAATTGCCGAGAAAAAGAGGGTTTTTTTTCAATCTCCAGTCATATCGTTCTGTGCTGTGATTGGTCCGTTGCGAACCCGGTCCTGTTTCCAGCACACACCCCACCGAAAGGCCGAAAACAGCCTTTCTCTCTTTCTTCGTCGAGTTAATTAACAAGAAACTCACCAGACTTTTGGACGATTTGCAAATAAAAGCCAGACTTTGTCGAAAAGAGTTGCCTGCCCGATTATCTGGCTCAAATTCCATTTTGCACCCGGCTCTCACAGGGCTATCTAAGCAAACAGGCCACCGTGATCAAGACCTCGTCGTTTGAAGACAAGACGGTCTCCAGCCATCACCGATCACAACCGATCACCGCCACTTTTCACCAATCACCACCTCGGCCAGGATTGTCCCAATCAGCCCTGATCAGCCAACCTGTGATCCCACTGCCCATACCATCATGACCACAACCACGCTACTCGTGGGCAATCAGCAAGCCAAAAAGCCCCAAGAGGAGCTGATCGCCTGGGACTCACTCAACGCCGAGTACAACTTCTTCCACCACTCCTTCAACAATTTCCAATTCATCCCCCGTGATACCGGCTCCGGACAGCCAATCCAGCTTCAAGAAGACTTGTACTCTCACCCGGAATACCAGGTGGATCTTCAGCCGAACCTCGGCCTGGGCATAGTGGAGCCCGCCTACCAAGATAATCTCCAGTTCAACTTTGACCTGCTCCAGCTGTCATCGCCCGCTTTGCACCACAGACGCCACACCATGTCGGAAGGAGACGAGCCGCCTGTGCCGATCTTTTCGAACTCGATGAAGGACTTTCAGAGACAGAATGCCATGCCTTTGAAGACGGTCAACCCAAAGGAGATCATCAACAGTTTCCAAGATGACCCAAGTCGGGGAAGCAAGCAGAAGTCTGATTTCTGGATGATGCAGGGGGAGGCCATCGGAGCCATAGCAACGTGGCTCAACTCCAAAGAGGACGATCGCGACCATAACCTCAAGCAGGAGTTCACGCCACCAGTTGAGGAACAGCATTCGATGGACCCTTCCGTGGACCTTTCTCTTGACATGCTGCATCACCAGCTGGAACTGGAGCAGCTGCAGCCGCAAGTGCAGATGCCTCAGGATCCTCCACAGAGGCCTCCAGTGACACCCAGGAAGGAAAGGCGCAAGCGCTCCTCCGTATCGATTCCACTTAAGCCTCAGACAGCTGCCAGACGTAAGCGTACCAAGTCGATGGATTTCCACACGCCATTTCAGTCCCCATTACTGTCCGGTGTCTCTTTCACTGCCATTGACGATGTGGCCACCACAAGCAGTTCGCGTGCAACGTCCCCCACGCTTTCGGAGGATCTGGAAAAACAGTTTCAGTGCGAGCATTGCCCAAAGAAATTCAGGCGCTCCGAGCATCTCAAACGTCACAACCGCTCGGTCCATTCCAACGACAGGCCGTTCCACTGCTCTTTCTGCGAGAAGAAGTTCTCGCGTTCGGACAATCTGTCGCAACATTTGCGGACCCACAAGCGGGATTGATCGTTTACGGTGGCGCTGGTAGCTTTTTGCGTTTTGAGGTTTTTTCGGCGTAGTTTTTAGTACTTTTGTTTCTGATCTTTTTGCTGTCTTTGAAAAGCGTGCGGCGGCGGCCTCGCCTTCCACGCCCGTCACTTGTTTGTATTTTCTCTTACATTACTGTTTATCATTTACTGTTCGCTGAGCTGTAGCGGTTGTCTCTTTTTCCTTGGAAGCTTATCGTTGGTTGCCATGATTTGTTTCTCGTAAACCCTGGCCGTGGGGTAAGAGAAAGAGAATTGAAGGGTATTATATAAGCAGCAAATATCTTAATGATGCAATCACATTACCCGCCAGAAACACCCGCCCAGTCTAAATGCGGTTACCGCGCACAAGTCTCAGACTAGGCCAGATTTTTACTCACAGGCATCCCCATCGCAATTCCACGGTGATTTTCAAAAATTTAAATTGTATTCGCGATTTACTGCTCGATATTCTTGTTCAAAATCGTTTTTTTCAGCCACGACTCAACCCAGTGCTGCCACACAAGACACGTCCAAAAGGGGAAGCATATGGCCGACCACTGGAGACTTACCCGAAACGGATAAAAGTAAACACACTGACGAAAAAAGACGCCAATAACACAGCGAAAGAGTCCAATCGCAGGCCGTGTACACCACTCTAAGCGAAATAGGCAACTCGATTCAGATTAAGAACGTCTATTCATTTTTGCCGTACCCTCGGTTTGGTGGTTTCTGAAGTGTGTTTTGCCTGAATCAGTCTGGGACTTTTCTTGAAGTTCATCCCTCTCCCGTTTCACCTCAACTCATACACCCTACTTTTTTTTTCCTTTGCCCAAATTGTTCTTTGAAATTGAATATAACAAGTCGGATCTGAGTCCTGAAGAGCGGCTTCATACTGTCATTAATTAGAGTTTTGGTTCGCATTCAGCTATCTCATTCCATCTCTGCCTGTCCACAGAGAAGTCCCAAATCGGTTTGTTGCAAACAGTGAAAGGGGTAAGGAATTGTGCTCCTTTTTCAAAGCATCTAGTATTTGAACAAATCACAAGACGATCCCTTTATTTTACATCAATTCCATTACCATAGCATATCGGCATTTTTGGCAGGAAAATGGACATAGATTCACCGCGCAAGAACTGCCTCTTTGCTGGTGAAGCAGACAGTTTTCTCACAGAATCACCATCATTTTTGCCGCCACATATGGTCAAGCAATCTGGGAAATCGAGACCAGACTTTCTGTCGTTTAAGAGGTCGCAGACATCGCAGGGAATCATCACAACCTCAACGTTGAAGCGGCCTCTCCAGCTGAGCCCGAGGTTTGACTCTCCAACTTGCACATTAGCAGCTGATTTGTCGCAGAATTTTCACATCGACCAGCACGAAAAGAGAGATATTCCCACGCCCAAGAGATATCTTTTTGGCGGGTCTCAGGCCCAATCGCAGTCCGAAAGAGCGCCTCTCGGACCGGTGTCCACAAACCGCAAGATCAACTCTAGGATGAATTCCATCTCCAGTCTTGGAAGCACAAACTCGATTTTTTCGTTTCAATCACAATCGACATGTTCATCGCAATCGAGCATTTCCATTTTTGAAGAAACAGAGTCGAAAATGGTGCCTCCAGCGCCTTCGTATCGGAAGCTTTTGAGACGAGCAAACACCGTCTCGGTGAGGTCTTCGTCGCTCTCGAATATCTCTGCTTTTCAGCCAAACCGCGGCCAGCAAAATCTACAACAGTCTCAGCAGTCTCAGAAATCTCAGGAGAATCATTCTGACGAGGATTTGGACGCCTTGTGTATCCCCTCACCCGTTGTTGAGCGTGATATCTCCATCGACAACTCGGACGGTGATGACTCTGCGAATAATTCTATAGGATCACCTCTTCAGCACCGTTTGAATGCTAAATTGCGGCTGTTTGAAAACAAACCCTCCAATAAGGCCAGACGTACTCACTCGATGTTTCAGACCCCTCAGGAGCTGTATGTTGGCCCAGCACAGGTCAACTCCATTTCCAATGATATCTGCGGTCTGAGCTTCAAGCCTGCGGTTGACCCTCCTTTCGTTAGGGCCGCAAACTCCGTATTGCCTTCTACAAAAATTCGTACGTTCATGGTTCAGGATGATTTAATTCCACGGATAGACACACTCCAATTTGTGGACATCCTCCAGGGCAAGCACGAGGGTTTTGACAGCTTTGTGGTGGTTGATTGCCGGTTCGAATATGAATACCGTGGTGGACACATCGATGGCTCCGTTAACATTACGTCGCAGACCGATCTCGAAAAGAACTTCCTCACGGAGGGAGTGAAGGCGCATCGTCCGGGAAAGGGCTCCAATGCTAACGGTACGAAGTTGGTGATCTTCCATTGCGAGTTTAGCTCGTACCGTGGTCCGCTAATGGCGAACCATCTTCGCAATCTTGATCGCTCGCTCAACAAGGATAACTACCCATATCTGTACTATCCAGATGTTGTGATCCTCCAGGGAGGCTACAAACAGTTTTTTGACCAGCATTCGGAACTGTGTTATCCCAAACGCTATGTTGAGATGAACGACTCGAACCACATCGATATGTGCGAAATGGAATTGGAACGCATCCGCAGAGACTTTAAGCTCAATAGCAAGAGCTCTCTCAAACGTGCTATGTCGCTGAACTCTGGAGTATCGACTCACCAGATCCACACAACTACCCAAACAGGGCCTATTGGAAGACCAAGTACGGATATCTTTGGAAAAAGTCTCGACGCGCTGTTCGAGAATACCTCGAGTCCACAGCGGTGGGGAGCAAGAAAACCTCAATCCGCCAATGCTACTACCCAATTTGAGTTCAAGTTCCCTCTGCCGAAAATCAAGCCCGCACACATTCGCTCAATGACATACCATCAGACCAGCCTGACCAAGTCGCCAATCAGGCCGATCGATAAGCACGTCGATACTCCAGTTGCGGAGAGGAATCGTCTGGGAGAACAGAACCGTTTCAAGTTTCCCAAGTGTTGAGTGTAGGATACAAGGGCGGAGGAGAATTGCCAGGCCAGCTCCTTATTTCTCGCTGTTGATGAGTCAACATTTAACTAAGGACAGTGCTATAGAGAATGCAATGACGATTCTGGTTATTCCTTCGGTCATACATGCAGACTTCACTGAAACCACGATTGAATCGATCAGTCACACCATATTTAATCTCGCCTCTAATACCAAGAGACCCCAGTTCCCCACGATATCCGAACTGCATTCAGCTGCAGCGAAAACAATGCATCTACGTAGTGCGCCAACTCTAAATACATGCCGCAGCCAAAACCTTGCATTGGTCGTGCTTTAGCAAATAAATATCGTGTGGAACTCAAATATAAAAGTAGACAGATAGGTTCCGTCAATGAGCCGGTGAGAAGCTACTGATACAGTCCAGTCGGCTGTGTTGGAACCAGTTAGAAAGACAAAATAGCAATTTATGCTATGATTCCCAGGATATTACCATCTTCAACTTTTCTAGTTGCCAAGAAAACCCATGGGCCCATCATCCCACCACGGCAAAGCTTCCATTTTCCAAGCACGGCATCATCATTTCCTCCTTAGGCCTCCCCCTGTCTAGATGCTAAAAATAACCCTAGCGGGATCAACTGTCGTCATAGTACTTTATTTCGATGGTTCGAGCATTGAGACGGTTAATAGGGGACCTAGACTTTTGAGCAGTACCTGTAGAACCTCCACCTCGAAATAAATATTGCCATTTACAAGCATCTAACAAACTGGGCCTGGCCTCACTATCGCCCTATAAAAAATCGTCCATCTACAAATTTATCTGGAATTGTCTGGGTGGAATTCTAGGTACCCTCTCTCTCGAGCCTTACTTCGTTACCTCCCCGTCTTTTCCTGCCAATCCGGTTGAGAAAGAGATTGAAGTCTGCATACATATATTGCAACGGCATCCTGGATTCTTCTTCTCGGGTTTATTTTATTTGCAACGCAGAACCCCCGTTATATTAGGATATTCTTACCGCCAGAGTCCCCCATCTTGAACAAAAAAGTCTCGATTTGAACTTGTGCTCTCTGTTCTCCAATCTATTCCACCAGATTTTTTTATTTCGGATTATTTCAGCCATCTCGTCTGACTTATAGAAAATAGCTGGATCTTTTATTTTTTATCCTGATTGCTACCCTGCTTTAAGCTTCTGTGCCGTTGTTTACACAGGCCCGGAACTTTGGAGAACACTATTTAGGCTTTCTGTCTCCGCTGACTTTTGACCTGCAAAAGTTGTTTTCTTGTTTACCAACGAACGCATCTAGCCTCTGGTACTCCCATCGCCTTATTCACAATCATTATGGGTAGAAGGAAGATTGAGATCGAGCCCATCTCCGAGGAGCGCAACCGGACAGTCACCTTTGCGAAGCGCAAGGCCGGACTGTTCAAGAAGGCTCACGAACTCTCTGTTTTATGTCAGGCCGATTTAGCCGTCATCATCATTGGAAACAACCATAAGTTGTTTGAATATTCGTCCGTGGACATGGACGATTTGTTGACTCGATACTCAGGCTACGACCAGCCCCACGAGCAGAAGACCCCGAAGGACTACGGTGATTACGAGAAAAAATCGCGTGTTTCGAGCGACCAGGACTACAAGAGGGGTTCTTACGATAAGAAATATGTCGCTGAAGAAGCCGATAACGATGAAGAGTCAGAAGACGACGATGATGTTCCACCATCTAAACGAGTCAAGAGGACCAGAGCTGAACGTGACGAAAAACCAGTGATCAGAAAAACTCCAAATCGCGGATCTCGACTTGCCAGCATGGAAACTCCTCCATCTGACAAATCCACGCTGCCCCCATTCACTTCTGGATTTGCTTCCCATACCCCAAAGAACCCGCTAGCTGCTTACCCCACTTCAAGTCCCATCAACGAGTTCCATGCCCGTCGGCCGCAATTGCGTGTGACCATCCCCAAATCTCAGGAGAACAAATCCGAGAACGATAGTGCGGTTACTGTCTCTAAAGGAATACCAGAAAATGGTCGCAAAGGATCCTCTCCTCAGCAGCCAAGCTCTCAGTCGAACTCCTCCGACTCAACGTCTAGGAGACTGTTTGGCAATCAGTCGGACTCGTCCGCAGTGCTGGGCAACTTGACTAGTAACGGAAATAACCAGAAATATTTTGCCAATGGCTCAACTGTTTTGCCGCAATTGGATAACGATTCTGCAAAATCCACACCTTTATCAGCAACGGCTCCAGGTGGGAATATCTTTGGCCTTCCACAACTATCACCTTCATCTCAATTGCCTTTGCCCAACCCGACTCCGTCTCAAAATCCCCACCAGCAACAGCTGCAGCAACAGCTTCAGCAGCTCCAGCAGCAACAGAACCATGGTAATCCTCGGAACGGGGTTTACGGTGCTACCTCCAATCCTGGAACGAACACTGCCAACGGCTACGGACCCACGTTCATGTCGATATACGGCAATGGTCCTACAACTGCTCTATCAAGACCGTTCCTGTCTGGTGCAAATCCTGGAGAACAGACGCCTGTGAGCGCACTTCCTTCCAAGTATGTGAACGACCTGTTTCCATCTCCTAACAACTTCTACAGCAACGAGTGGAATATCCCTTTCGGAACGGGTACAACCCCATTACCAACGTCTGCCCCACACCTATTGCCTATGCCCAACGGTGGGACCTCGGCCACACCATCGACTCAGCCAGGAGGTGCCAACCACTTGATTTTCAATAGAAGTGGCTCCACGGGTGGAAACTACTCGGAAATGCTGCCAAGTCCGCTGCAGATGATGATGGGAACTACTGGAGGTAATCAATTTCCTCCGGCGTTTAATTCCCAGGCCTATGAGACTCCAGCGAAGAAGAAGCGAAGATGAGATTTAGAGACCGCTATTTATACATCCCTCCCTTTGATACATAGAAGCCAGGACTGTACATTAATGCATGATTGCAGGTACCAAATGTAGCATAGCAGAGAAGTTCCCTTCAGACCAGAAAGCAATTTGACTGTGTGCAGTCAGTTGCATCACGATCTCTGTGGTGTCGAAGTTTTAAAGCCAGATCCGACCACGGCATGATCTATTTAAAGAACGAACATACGTCATCATGTCCGATAGCCTGCACGGAACCTTCTTGCATGCTTCACAAAAGTCGTGCGTAGTCTTGTAGCAAAATAGTCGTGTGCAGTAACCAACAAAATCAAAAGGTCCCTTTCTCACGTGTTGGGCATGAGGGCTGCAACCCTTGAATGCCCCATCTCCCAGGCCCTCCGTCTGTGAAGAGAAAAAACCCACCAAAAAGTGGTTCCGCACGACCAATCCGCTAGTAGGTCTATCACTGGCTTTTCTGAAATAGTTTCAACAGTTTTCAGTTTTCACAAATCAACTATCTTCACGGTCCGTGGTAATTAATTCAACATGAAGGTATGTTACTATGATATATTCAACTGGTTGATTTCGATTCCACATACAGTTATGCAGAAAATGTCTGGGTTTTCCTGAAGGTCGGAGAGCTTGAAAGCCCGACCTTTTTCAACGAGCGAGGGCTTGAGCACCAAGTGAAGAAAAACGTCACCAACAAACAAGGCTGGCATAGTCGAGAGTAACGAGACTGGTGAGAGAATGGCTTTACATCTCCATGCTTTGTCGCCTTCTCAAGGGTGTTTCTGAGCTTGATACTTGAGTTTTTCGGTTTTTTGCACCTGATGTGAATCGGATCTGAAAAGGACCAGAATCGTCAAAACACCTCTTACTAACACTTTCAAACAGCTTAACATTGCTTACCCAGCCAACGGTACTCAAAAATGTATCGAAATTGATGATGAGCACAAGCTCCGTATCTTCTACGAGAAGCGTATGGGCCAAGAAGTCGAGGGTGAAGGACTTGGTGACGAGTTCAAGGGCTACGTCTTCAAGATCACCGGTGGTAACGACAAGCAGGGTTTCCCAATGAAACAAGGTGTTATGCACCCAACCAGAGTTAGACTTTTGTTAGCCAAGGGTCACTCCTGTTACAGAACCAGAAGAGCCGGTGAGCGTAAGAGAAAGTCGGTCAGAGGTTGCATCGTCGGTGCTGACCTTTCCGTCCTCTCGCTCGTTGTCGTCAAGCAAGGTGAGCAGGAGATCGAGGGTGTCACCGATGCCTCTATCCCAAAGAGATTGGGACCAAAGAGAGCCAACAACATCAGAAAGTTCTTTGGTTTGACCAAGGAGGATGACGTTAGACAGTTCGTTGTCAGACGTGAGGTCACCAAGGGTGAGAAGACATACACCAAGGCCCCAAAGATCCAAAGATTGGTTACCCCACAAAGATTGCAGAACAAGCGTCGTCAACACGCCTTGAAGAGAAAGAACGCTGTTGCTCAACGTGATGCCGCTGCTGAGTACGCTCAACTTTTGGCCCAACGTTTGCACGAGCGTAAGGCTGAGAAGGCTGAGATTAAGAAGAGAAGAGCTTCGTCTTTGAAGAACTAATTTTCTGGAACCATTACAAACATACAAAATTGGTTTTTTGTGTAATCAAAATCTAAGTTCTTTTATTTGAAACAAGATTGTAGACATTAGAGCATGATTGGAGGTACTCTCTATCTGGGAGACTCATGATCGTGATTGCAAATGTATCGGCAGTAAAAATCAACATCAAGACCACCACTGTTGCATCTCCGTTCGCTATTGACGTCGTGTAGATAATAGACGACGTCTCTGCCTCTTATACATGTCTGCAGTTTTTGTGATCTGAGTGTATTGGCAAAAATGTAGACTATTTGCTCCCTAGATAGTTGTTGTCTGCGAGTACATGCTAAACTGGCATGGCTTGACTTCATCTATGTATTTCCCACAGATATGGGCTCGCATATCAACACCATTGCTGCTTTGTCATGATTTCAGCCGGTTGATCTCTTAGTGAGGACCGATAGCTCTTTCTTTTTCTCTCCTTTCGCGCCTCATCTCCTCAATCTCTGACTTAGAATACATTTTCGCTGCCTGCTGCTGAACAGTTTCAACACTGGACTTATACCCATCCCACCGAGGAACAACCTTCGCCTTTTTGGAATCTGGTTCCTCATCCTCTTCGTTTCTGCCATTCGCCAACCTCTTGATATTCTCGTAAATCTCGTCTGTGCTGAGGTTTGTCTGTGTTACCTTACTTTCATATCTCTTCCTCTCCTCCTTGAATTTGGGATCACGAAGCAGAATCGTGATGTGCTGGGCAAATTTCGATTCCGGAATCAACTGGCCTGTCAAAGGGCATTTCAACAACTTCTCGCCACTAGATGTAAACTGTTGCTGTTGCTGTTGATACTGTCTCTTCAAACGCGACTCTCCTGCTGACCTAATTTTCATTCCCTTAGGAACAGGTCTGGCAACAGACTCACCCTCCTGTACCACCATCTCTTCACCACTGTCTCCAGAAGCTTCGAAAACTTTCCTCTGTATCTCTTGATTGGGATCAAAATCAGGGGGTGCCTCCTCCAACAAAGAGTTCGCCTTCTTCTGCTCCAGCGACCTATACTGTAGCTCGGCTAGCGATAACGGCAAGGGTAGTTCAGCAACGTCATCTACCTCGGTGAACTCGATGGTTTCAACAACGACAAAAGAATCCCAGTCAATGGAAGCATATTCAATCCTCTCTTTGAACAACTGAGCCTCATTATCAGCCGCTTCAATCTCCTGTTTTTTCAAATACTCGGCCCTAGCAAATGCCCGATCCAAAACCGAGTACGCATTTCGCGCACCTGTGCTAAGCTTTTCTTGAATATCTTGAGTGGGATGAAGAATGAGCCGATATTGCTCTACAAAACTCTCAAAGACCGGATACAACGAATGGCCCTTCACCATAAACTCGAATTGGACCGAGTTGGAAACATGCTTCCTGAGCGCAGCGGCGTAATCTGGACCATTCTTTGCCACAAACTGCGCACAAAGTCGTATCACATCCAGGTCTTGCGCTGATACTGGCGGCAATCTGGTAAAGAATTTGAACTCTGGAGGAGCCGCGATCTTGTCTTCTTCGGTCTGGGTGATTGTGGTAACTACAGAGCTCTGCTCCGTCCCATTAGTCTTACCCTCACGTAACTGCGAGAGACTCCATTTGTAGTATTCGTTGTACGGATCATCGTCAAGAAGAAAGGCAAACTTCACATTCTCCCGTTCTTTCTCTCGTATACGGATCTCAAAAGAAGGACCGTTGCGGAACACATAGCCGGCAGTTTTGTCGATTACCTGCCGGTACTCCGGGGGCGGTATGGTAATATTCTCAGGTGGATCCTGAGATGTCATTGCAGCTAGCAAAGCAAAAAAATCGAGCAACTGATCTGGTACTGTCTTGTTAGCTTGTCTTAATCTGAGTTTGTCTTTAAACAAGACGAGAAATTGTCATGTAGTGTACTTACTAATGATACGGCGCCACACGACCACGATAGCGAATCTAATCTATGATAGACAAGGGCCTTAAGGGTTTCTGGACAAAGAGTGCGGCAAAACTGAGCCTAGAAAGTTTCACTGGATGAAACTTTATGTCTCAACTCCAGACTTCAATGGCTGCTTGACAGGTGAGTCATTTGCTAAAAGCATTACCAGAATACGAATCTAACCTGGGGCACCCCCGCAACACAGTGATTGATCTAGCGCACCGGGCTGCGAAGAACAGGCTGAGCCTTGTGTCCAGTCGCAAATTGAAGGAGCAGACAAAGGCCTCATACATTCAGAAAATGCTTCGTTTCAGTCATAAAGGTGTGAAGTATCTCGTATTGGGCAGGAGAGGAGGCACTCTAGAGGTGTATACTGAGACCGCAATCCCCGGGGAAGCAGATGTCGATTTGAAGCCACTCGGTCGATGGGACGGCAACACAAAGGACGACAAAGACTTTTTCGTTTCTCTCATCTTCTGGAACGATAATCTGTGTTCCTGTAGCAATCGAGGGCTTTTGGTGATGCGGAATCTAGATGTCATGGTTCACAGCACCGAAGTAAGCGAGCAGGAAATGAACACTTTTTACGTACAACTCAACGAGCCGATCACCGTCTTTAAGCCTCACTCGGTGGAGAAATGGTGGGCCATTACCGGTGGTTACAGCAATAATCTGCGGATTTACAATTTCACCAATATATACCAATCGTTCGTGGCTATGGTGCGAACAGGACCTCAATTTTCGAAGGCTGTGTTGAGTGCGAGACCGATATGGAAGGCCAGCCTTTATTGGTCTTTCAACCAGCCGATTGAGGAGTTTCCGTGGATTCAGGAAGTGATCTTTTTGGAACAAAAGGCTGATGCTTCGTCAACTGAGATCTGTTGTACGACCAAGTTTGGTCAACTGTTACTGTACGATTCGTCCCATTCCTACTACCCAATCTCAGCTACAACTGTTTCCAACCATCCCGTGTGCTATGTGAGTCAAATTTCGCCCAAATTTGTGCTGTTTGCGGATTGTGCTGATACCGTGGGAGTATTTGACCTTTCGTCTCAGAAAGTACGAAATACCTTTAGAATCCCTACTGGTTCACTGTCTTCGATGGAAGCTAGGGTATCAGCGACGGATTCCAGTTTGGTTTATTTAATGGTTGTCAGTATTCTCAAAGTACTTCGAATATACAGATTGGACCATTTTGGTGGTGGTGCCGATCTATTGTTGGCCATTGACCTGGGCTCTACTGGTCTACAGCTTCTCACATTGGCAGAAGATAGTTGGGATGCCGTGGATACGTGCCGGTCATTAACGAGAATCCCATGTACAGTGGTTGGTGATGATTTCTAAGACATGGAGTTGATTTGATACATAAGATCCATTTTGGGACCGTCTTGAACCATCAATTTGATTTTGAAGAGATGCCAAATAATTAAAACCGAATCAAGTTCTAACCCTTTCACTTGTTCATCACATCAACATAGCCACGACGAGGACCACGTTTGCCTTTCTTTGTACCAGCTGTGGTGGCCATGCTCAACAGATCATCAATGTTGCTATCCGTCTTCTTGATCGGAGGACGGCCTGAAGGAGTAGACAAATTCGGAGGAGGAGTGGAAACTGCTGGAGTAGCAGGCGAGGCTCTCGCACTTGGAGATGCACTTGGCTTCTGACTGCTCACCTCGGGCATCACTGAAGGCTTACGTTTGATTGCTGGTGGAGGTGGAGGGCCAGATGCAGCTTGTTCTTCTGCTGGGGCGTTCTTGTTAATCCACCTTCCAAGAGTTTCGTCATAGACGAAAGCACTTTCCTCTCCCAACTTGGCCTTGATAGCTTTTGGTTCGTCGTTCTTCTTGCCCAACCAGGTAAACCAGCCCCTCTTGGTATTCGCGGCATCTTTGGTTCCATTGTCCTTATTGTTTGATTCATCCTCGTCATCTTCGTCCTCGACAACATCATCAGCAAACTGATCTTGTTCTTCTGGAATATCATCGAAATTATTAGAACTGTGCGATTGTGGCTCAAAAGCTGGCGGTGTGTATGCTGTTGGCCCAAAGTTATTCAAGCCTGAAGATTGCATAGGATTGAAGGCGTGGGTGCTTTCTATCTTGTCGAGATCAATATCTGGGTCAACAGGCGAGTAATCACTTTCTGCAGGTCCAAAGTTGTTATTCTCGGTGCTTCTGAAATCAACAACGGGATTGTTATCCAGGCGTGCGTTTATTTCTTCTTCCTCTGGTTCTTCTTCTGGCTGAGGAGTTGCCTCAGGAACATGGTAGCCTCCATAACTGTAAAAGTCATAGTTGTCGTCATACGTCTCAGCTGGCACTTTCGTGTCCTTCTCCTCTGTATTTTCAGGCGTGTAATTCTTTGCAGCAACGGGTGCATACGGGTTGGCCTTTGCTCCCTGAGGCTGGTATGAAGTTGTCTTCGGAGCATACGGGTTGTAAGCAGATGGCTTTCTCGGCTTGCTGACAGGTGGAACGGGACTCGAGGTTGCTAAAGGCTGTTGGGATAAATTCAAATTTTTCTCTAGCGATTCTGCTAAGGCATCAACTTGGGAATTTTGGTCAGCCTTGACTTCACCAGGATTGACAGCAGGTTGAGAAATCTCAGAAACCTCGGGCACGATAGAAACATCAGGGCCATCGCTCTTCACTGTTGGAGATGTAGGAACAGGTGGATGATGAATCTTGTTGGGAGCTGGATGTTTCATTTGCTGTTCTGCCTCCATGACAACAGAGGCAATTGAGGATGGTCCAAAATTGACATGACTTCTATCTAACTTCGCGGCAAAACTCTGTTCCACCTGTTTAGCTGGTCTTGCAGTTGTGCCAGAGTATGGAGCATATTTCGACTGTTTGGGGTTTGGGCCAGAAGTCAAACTTGAGTAATCGTAAGATCCATATAGTGCATTTTGTTGATAGAGATTGACGGAGCTTGCAGGAGTAGACAAAACCAATTTTGGATCTTCTGGACTGGCAGCTGTAGACGCCTGGACAGAAGCCGGTACAGATGCGGGTGCATATCTTTCGGAAGCAGACATGCTGTTGATCAGAGGCGGTCTGTGGGAAACTGGGTTGTATGCTGATGCTGTCTGCTGACTTACCACATTAGGTATCCCATAAACAGTACCCTGACTAGAAGCAATAGAGGTGTGATCCGAAGAAGTAGTGGGGGCCGAATATGGGGGAAAGCTCTTTACGCTTTCAAGTTGGCGACCCTGTTGAGGTGCCGAATAGATCACATTAGGGGCCGCATGTCCTTGAGCATGCAGATCAATGGTAGACGGGTTTCGAGAAACTGCAGGACTAAACTTGCTAAAAACACCTTCTGTAGCATTGTTGGTACTGTTCGTACTATTCAAGTCCTCTCCAGCAACAAACATACTGAAACTCTTGTCTATCTGGCCCCATACACGGTCCAGATTTGGACGTGTGATCTTGTTACCAAGCCAACCGCCTTCTGAAGCTGCAGACTGCGATAATCTTGGAATCAATCTGCTCAATGCATGAGTCGATTTTGCAGAGATCGCAACCGTTTTCGACCTTGCCAAAGTGCCAATATGGTCGCAATAGCGCTTGCTTTCTGCAATGAGACCAATGTCTGCCAGATAATCTGCATGGATCAATTTTGATTGGACAAGATGAGGAAATCCGTTTGCCAGGTTGGGTGGTAGAGTTTGTGTAGAAAGCAAGACGTATTCGTAGATCTCCTGAACCATGATAATATCAAGATTCGTCTTATCAAGAAGTTCTTCTGGAGGAATGAATGGAATTCCAGACAAAATGTAACACAATATCGAAAGCTCTGGCGAGCCCTGTTTGGCGAACAGCTCACCAAACTGAAAGAGTAATGACGATGGAGATGGGTTACTCAGAATGACAAACGGAATAACAGAAGAGAAGTTTTCAGCCAGCCACTCTCGATCCTCGGACAGCAAAGATTCCACGGATAGCTCAGTAGATCTCAAGAAGAAAGCAAGTCCTTGTTCCAGTGGGTTTTGCTTGGAGAAGTTTGCTTCCGTGTAGAGTTTTACAACCTCAGAAAACATCGCAGGTCCAATCACATTGGCAATCAGAAGCGACATCGCCCAATCATGTTCTGAAAGAGCCTGCATCAAAGCTCTCTGCTTCTCACCATCTTGAAGCAATTGGTGGATCCCAGCCAGGTTCTGATGAGTGGCTTTATGAGCATTAAAGGGTCTGTTATTCGCCAAACTCAAAACGTGTGCAATCTCACTAAGGTTGATGCTTGTATCATCCTGCCTAGTCTGTATAGTTGGATTGATAACAGCAACAACATTTTGTAAGAAATCCTTGCTCGAAAAGTCACCAGGCTTAGATATAGTTGAGACGATAGTACGAGCAACACCCCACAGTAACAATTTAGCCGTGGAATCGGGCGTAGAAAGGTTCTGTAAGGAAGCTACCTTATCAATTATCCATTTCTCGAGATCCTTCTTCTTTGTGCGATTTTTGATCAATGGGCCAGGGAAACTTCGCAAGAAAGGATCCACAGTAACAACAGAAGATAGTTCCTTAACGGCAATTAAATTAGAAACATTGCCATATGGATCAATTGTTGGTGTCATAACTGAAATTCTTGAGCTTGCGGAGAAGTTGAAAATTGGAAATTGCCTTTGTCCCAAGTACTGTTGTCCCGTTGGGAAGCTTGCAGAGTCACTGTAAGCACCAGCACCGGAGCCATTGCGATTACCAGATGCTCTCTTTGGAGGGGGGAGCAGTTTCTTCTTGCTAACAGGTTTGGCAGATATAGCAGCCTTGGGCATAAGATCAGACACATCCACCGACTTCTTGGGCTGATGACCATTGCTAAAGCTGGATAATGTTGGAGATGTCAATCCATAAATGCTGGATTGAGCATTAGCTGTATATGGAGAGTACTTATTGGATGGATTGTACTGGTTGCCATAAACACTTTCCTTAGCAATTGGAGGATTCACGGGTAGAGTTTGGTGATGTGCACCAACAACAGGGGGGATAATACCAGATTGCATAACTGGAGAAGTAACTGGAGGGGGTGAGAACTGAACATTCTGTGGAGCATACTTGCTTGAGTTGGGCAAAGCTGGAGCATATGGATTTGGAGGGGCATGTATCTCAGGAATAACAAAATCTTGATTCGTTGAAGCAGCATCTGTGGATGGTGGCCTCACATGCTGGCCTTGTTGTTGGTTCATATTCTTTTCAAATGCAGGAGGAGGAGCGTATGGGTTTTTCATGGTCGAAGATCTGCTTCGGTATACCTCAGCCGATGGAGGAACGGCCTGATGGAGTTTGTGTGTTTCAATAACCGCATATGGATCTTGGATCGGCCGAGCAACTTTGGGAGCCTTGGAAATTGAAGGTGCAATAGGTAGCTCTTCAAAAAAGCTCTGCTTCTTTCTCAAAATTTTAGGAGCTGGTGCAGCAGCCGAAGTTGCATTCTGAGCTCTTGGTGGTCCCATTATTGTTTTATCAATAGACCCAGTCACTGAAGGTGGACGATATGGATTCGCAGCAGAATGCAAATGCCCCACAGAGGCTCTGCTTTTCTGGGGCAAAATATCAGCAGGAAAGTCGTATGCATCAGACTTCTTCTTGGTTGCTTCAAAAATGGCACTAGATTGGGGAACAGGTGAGTGAGATGAAATAATTGGTGATTGGGTAGATGCTGGTGGAACATACAAGTTGGAGGTCGATGGGCGATACTTCAAGTTCTGGGGTGCCTGGTTAGGTACAGGAGGAAGCTCATTAACAACATCCTCATCTTCCAACAGATCATCATCCATGACATCATCCCAGAGAATGTCGTCATCTTCTTCCAGGAAATCAAACTTGTCTTCGTTGATATCTTCAGCCTCAGTAGGCACTTTAATACTGTTCTCGGTGGGCTGAATACTAGCCTCGTTAGTATCAGACTTGACATCATTGCCATCCTCAGATGTAGACCGCTCTGCCTCATATGACGCTATGGTGCTTGCATTCGTTTCATTAATTTCCCAAGGCATGGTCTCAGCAGATTCAGAAGCTATGAAGTCTAATTGAGCGGTATCTGCAGTAGCGCCGACATCGTTCTCATTTTCGTCTGATATCTTATTTTCGGTTTCCCAGGGCATGGTCTCCTCACCAATGCTGATAAACTCAAGACCCTCTGCGGCATGAGCTTCATCGACTAGAGGCGCATCTTTTACATGTGCTGAATCATTTTCAAAAACGTCAACCTTTTCTGAAGGGGCTGGAACAGCAGGAACTTCTGCCTCCCATGGCATAATCTCTTCCCTCGCAGTTTCCACATCCCATGGCATGAATTGTTCATTGGGATGCTCCTCTTCAACAATTTTTTCCTTTTCAAAATCCTCGTTTACGTCAAGAGCGTGCGTCTTCGTATTCTTGTGTGCAACAATATCCGATTCAAATTCCATCGCGACATCTTCATTCTGAGTGAAGTTGTCGTGCAGATGCCCTTCCAAACGGGAGTCTGGCTCCAGCTGGCCCTGTTCAGTTTGAAGATTTGAAATATGAGTATGTTTCTTGAGAACTTCGCTCTCAGCCTCCATAGGTTTCCCAACAGGGCTGGAAAACTCTTCCGTAGATAACCTGGTATGGGTCAGAGAACCTGGAGTGGATTCCAAAGTCGGTCCCAGAGTTGGTTCCAAAATGGGTTCAGCAACCTGTGACACGACCGGTTCTTCAGAGGGCTCTTCAGTGGGCTCTGCAACTGGCTCTGTCACTGGCTCTTCCACTGGCTCTGTCACTGGCTCTTCCACTGGTTCTTCCACTGGTTCTTCCACTGGCTCTTCCACTGGCTCTTCCACTGGCTCTTCCACTGGCTCTTCCACTGGCTCTTCCACTGGTTCTGCAACTGGCTCTGCAACTGGCTCTGCAACTGGCTCTGCAACTGGCTCTGCAACTGGCTCTGCAACTGGTTCAGCGACAGGTGCTTCAACTGGTTCAGCTACAGATGCTTCAACTGGTTCAGCGACAGGTTCAGCGACAGGTTCAGCGACAGATGCAGCATTTACTTCAAAAGCAGGCTCCATTGATAGTCCCTCTTCTGGCTCCTCTATGGGCTTTGTAATTGGCCGATCAACACTATCTTCGACAGATACTTCAATTTTCTCACTTGCAGGCTCCGACTGCCGTTCAGCGGCGCTTTGCTTCGCTTCCACGGCTTTTTCTAGCACCTCAGGTTTTTCTGAAACCTCGGAATCATCGTCATCTATATTCAGTCCGTCAACTAGGTCCGTCGCCAGATCTTGGTGTATTATATCAGCTGCATCAGCATCTTTTGAGGATTCGCCTTCATTGTGGATAATTGGATCGCTCACTTTTGTATTTGGTTTGTCTTTTGGGGTCTCTGAGACTATAATGTCATTGATCTGAGACGCAGCACTAGCCTCTGCATTCAAAAGATGGTCATTCGCCTTACCATTGGTATCACCATTGTAAAGACCAGTGGGGTCCACTTTGACGTCACCAACTTTCGACATGGGTGCGTAGAGATCAACTGTACTGAACCGTGCAGGCTAAGATCTATGCAAAACAAAGCTGGAAGGAACCGTCCCAATTACAACGCAAAACGTGTTGTATCAAAACCACAACTGTAATTGTATCCGTGTTATTACACAAATCTGACCAGCTTCTGAACGAGCTAACTGTCAAGTGTATAGGTTCAATGCGATTAGTTCGTTATTGCTAGCGAATCGACGCTCTACGTGTCCCGGTGATGGGGATTGAGACGTGCACCACTCATTTTGAGTCTGAAATAAATTTTTGGGCCCAAATCTCAGAGTTTAGAACAAGGAATAACACCATTTGATATCTGTACAACACCACTGGACGTTTTTGGCTATGGCTGTTGGAGTGGGAAAGTCCAAACAAAAGCTTGCTCCAGAGAAGGAGCGGTTTTTGCAATGTTGCGGAGACATTTCGCTGGAACTGGTGTCGTCGCTCAAGACGTCTAAAGACATCAATCTTAATGGGTTGATCATACGCTTTGCCAAGAAGTACAAGCTGAAACAGCAGCCACGGCTGACTGATATCATATCCTCCATTCCCGACCAGTACAAGAAGTACCTTATTCCCAAGCTTAAGGCCAAACCGGTGCGGACTGCTTCAGGTATAGCAGTGGTTGCTGTCATGTGCAAGCCGCATAGATGTCCACACATCGCCTACACCGGCAATATCTGCGTTTATTGTCCTGGAGGTCCAGACTCAGATTTCGAGTATTCCACACAGTCATATACTGGGTACGAGCCCACCTCGATGAGAGCCATCCGTGCTAGATATGATCCCTACGAGCAGGCCCGTGGCCGCATAGAACAGCTCAGACAACTTGGTCACTCCATTGATAAGGTGGAGTATATCATCATGGGTGGAACATTCATGTCGCTCCAAAAAGATTACCGTGAGTCGTTTATCACGGAGTTGCACAATGCCTTGACTGGGTACAACGGAAAGGACGTTGACGAGGCCATCAAATTCTCACAGCAATCTCAGACAAAATGTGTGGGAATAACTATCGAGACAAGGCCAGATTATTGCACGGAGACTCATTTAAGTGACATGCTGAAATATGGGTGTACCAGGCTGGAAATCGGAGTCCAATCTGTCTACGAAGACGTTGCGAGAGACACCAACAGAGGCCATACGGTCAAGGCTGTCTGTGAGACTTTCGCCTATGCCAAGGATGCTGGATATAAGGTGGTGAGTCATATGATGCCAGACTTGCCCAATGTTGGCATGGAAAGAGATCTGGAGCAGTTCAAGGAATACTTTGAGAATCCCGCTTTCAGGACTGACGGTCTCAAACTGTATCCTACACTGGTGATTAGAGGAACGGGTCTCTACGAATTGTGGAAGAACGGCCTTTACAAGTCGTACAATGCTAATGCTCTGATTGACCTGGTTGCCAGAATATTGGCTTTGGTCCCTCCATGGACGCGTATCTACAGAGTCCAGAGAGACATCCCAATGCCTCTGGTGACCAGCGGAGTGGAAAATGGAAATCTAAGAGAACTTGCTTTGGCCAGAATGAAGGACTTTGGCACCACATGCCGAGACGTTCGTACCAGAGAAGTGGGTATTCAAGAGGTGCATCATAAGGTGCAGCCCGACCAGGTGGAGTTGATCAGAAGGGACTACTATGCTAACGGTGGTTGGGAGACGTTTCTATCGTACGAGGATCCGAAACAAGACATTTTGATTGGACTGCTGAGACTTAGAAAAGCCTCCAAGAAATACACCTTTCGCAAAGAGTTCAAATCACAGCCCACATCGATTGTTCGTGAACTCCATGTGTATGGTTCGGTCGTTCCATTACACTCCAGAGACCCACGTAAGTTTCAGCACCAAGGCTTTGGCACTCTGCTAATGGAAGAGGCCGAGAGAATTGCTAGAGAGGAGCATGGTTCGCAGAAAATCAGTGTCATCAGTGGAGTCGGGGTTAGGAATTACTATGCCAGATTGGGGTACGTTCTGGATGGGCCATTCATGTCGAAACAGCTCGACTAAGTACGAAGATCTCGAGGCCTTGGGCTTATTATAGTATTAATTCATTGGCAGGTTAGCCTAAGTTGTTTTTGCCCTTCGTCTCTATCCTTCTCGCTACCATCAATGTTCTCTACCGATACCATCGCTTCGTAGTCACATCCTATCATATTGTTTTTGCGAACTCGTCCCAAGCGGTCTGGCACAAACTCAAATACCGTCTCTTATCGTTCAAGAAGTCGCCTGTTAGCGGCAGATCGTACATGTAAACATCGTTGTCGATCTTGATTTCACCCTTGAGCTGCCGAGGAGGACGCGTGATCCCGCCTGGGGTAGCTTCGTCTTCAATCGCTTTCGATTCCACATCCTCTGTGTCTGAAGTGGTCTCTGTGGCTTCTGGAGCTTCAGCTTCTTCAGGTTGATATCCTTCTCCAGACTGGTTGGCTTCTTCACTAGCATCTTCCTTTTCGTCAAGATCGAAAGTGGCCCTTTGAGCAGAAAGCGGCTGAGCAGCCATGGGTGCCTTGGTCTGACGCTCGTCCCGGAAAACATCCATTACCACCTCCGACTCTCCCACCGTAGCAGAACTCATATCTGTAGCTTCGCGCGCCTGCTGAAAACGCACACGATATCTGTTTTGCGCTGTAGTCACGGGAGGATCCAGATAGAATACTCGCGGTTTCAACGGTCTTCTATGCGGAGCAAAACGAGCCACTGGTGGGTATCTGTAGCCCGGAACGGGAACGGGAACCAGGTGCTGTCTGGCGTGGGGATGGGGAACGTATTCTTGTTGGTAGGGATGTGCGTAATAGAGCGGAGCAGATTTGATCTCTGGTCCAGAAACAGTGCGAGCATTCGGTATTGCCAGGGGAGGTGGTGCTCGTTTGCGCTTGAGCCCTTTGACCTGTGGAAACGATCCTATGGAACTCGTATTCATCTCGTCCGTCAGTCCGGTTCCGGAATGCTGCGGCAAAACTGACATTGCTGCCGTGGCAGATCGTGGTAAAACCTGCTGTATTATCGAGGCCGGCTCTCGGGCAGAAAGTCCTCTCATTCGTTCCAAAATGAGGTTCCTCTGTTGGGCCTCAATGGACCTGCTTCGTTTAACGGTGTCCAGCATGTTTGAGCTCAACTGGGGCAATCCAGGCGATACTATCTGAAGTGCAGCTGACTCATTGTACTTTGCTGGTGAGTTGGGTTCCGGAAGTTGTAAATCCTGGGGCTTTGGGCCTGGTGTGGGTGCAATTGGAGGCCTTTCCTCAGACATCTCTGGAGCCGCTGTGATATCAGCCATAATGGATCTAGACTAAGTGAAATTTCGCGTTAGAAACACGACGGGCAACCCGAGCTGGTGATAATTGCAAAGGCACAATATCAAAGGGTGCTCCAAGCTGTATAAAAAGATAGAACCGTGGTGGAATAAGCGCAAGTGAGAGACCCTAAGCAAGACAAGAGATTCCTCAATAGGTGGCCCCCGTAGGCAGGACGATTTAAAGTTCAAGTCTGAAACACGTTTGTTGCACGACCTTGTTTGGAGCGGGCATGAATTTGAATTTGAATTTGGCGGGATTTGTGAAAAACGCATGATATTGGTAGCGATTTGTAGGAAACGAAGATAATGCCGAGATTGTCTTGCAGCTTCCATGACTGTTTAAGGGTTTCAATGAATTTTTCTGAAGTTTTCGCAGAAGTGTGACATCTCAACTAGGCCAGCGGAAGACCAATGGGTGCGGCGGTCGAACTGTGTAAATGATAAAGGCTGAAAAGGATTTTTTGTGATATTTTTGTTGAGTTGATTGATGATATTGGCTGATCTTACACTTCCCCCATTCCAGCACTTTTGTTAGCCATTCAAAACAGCAGTTGTTGTCTGCGATCGTAATTCATCAGGGTTCTTGATCTGCTGCTTGTGCGGCCCCGTGGTTAGATCGATTTCGCTCTAACCAAAAAAGGCGAGAAAGCAGTTGAACATGAGACACTTGGCCTCATGAGCACCAGAAAGTGGCTGGAAATGTCGACAACCTCAAACAATATAGCAACATAGTTCAACTCTGTATTCCGAGAGCGGTGCCAGATTTGGTAGTGCAGAACTCGTTTCCAAGCTTTGCCGGTACACTAACTGAATACGATTTTCATGCCTTTAGAACAAAGTCTTGTTCTACTCCTACCAATAAACCCACAGCATCACCATATCCTCGTCAACAATGCTCAGATTGGTGTCAAATGGACCGTTCCTGCGGCACTATTGTCGTGGTTTTTCCACTACCGCTTTAGCGGCGATAAAGTCGCAACAACCGTCCAAAACCACCACAGCCTCCCCCATAGGTATAGACCGCCGCGCGCAGCAGCCCCTTGACATCCCCGTTTCCGGCTTCAACAGTGAAGTTATTCGCCAGATTTTTGATGATGAGAACTTCTGGCAGCAGTTTAACGGGGCTTCGGCAAAATCTACCTCTTTTTTCAATTATAGAACAGCATCTGTGGGGCTGTTTCAAAACCCGTACCTGGTGAAGCCCAGTGGGCTCAAGGACTTCTGTGCGGAATCATTGGATAAGGCGAAAGCGCTGGTCCAGCACATTCTAGCAGACGAATCGCCTGCAGGATATCGCACTTATATCAGAAATTTGGACCGACTCAGTGACATTCTATGTCGAGTGATTGATCTTGCGGAGTTCGTGAGAGTGGCCCATCCCAACAGGGGTTTTGTGAATGCGGCGCAGGAGTGCCACCAGGAAATGTTCCAGTATATGAACATTTTGAACACAACCACTGCATTATACGAGAAGCTGGAGCGTGTTTTGAACACTCCAGAGATTGCATCTGGGCTTTCTGAGGAGGAGGTTTCAGTTGGTGAGTTGCTGCTTTCTGACTTTAAGAAGTCTGGAATCGACATGGATGAATCCACCAAGAACGACTTTGTGGAACTGAGTCAGCAGATAGCGATCATAGGTCAGCATTTCAACAACGGACTGGGAGAAAGCTCTAAGAACTACGTGACGGTACCGAAGGAGAGCTTGAAAGATCTGGACGTGTCGCTGAAAACCGGGCTTTCTGTTGACAAAAAGGAAAACTACAGAATTCCTGTCTTTGGTCGTTTACCGTACGAGATACTGAGAACTTGTTCGAACGATGACGTGAGGCGTGAAGTCTGGTCTGCTCTTCACCAGAGTCCAAAACAACAGCTGCATCTTCTAGATACAATGCTGAAATACAGAGGAATTTTGGCTCGTCTTATGGGGAAAAGTGGATATTCGGAGTACCAATTAACCGAGAAGATGGCCAAGACTCCGGAAAATGTGATGTCTTTTTTGCAGAACCTGATGAACGAGATTCGCGACGATGTGATGCGCGAGCTAAGAACACTCCAGCAGGGCCGCACACCGGTCGAAGGTATCTCTGATGAGGAAATATTAAACCTTGTGAAGCCCTGGGACCGAGACTACCTTGCAATGTTATACATGACGCGTCACAGACACAAAAATACCGAGGATATCAGTGCATATCTCTCTCTGGGGACGGTGGTCAAGGGACTCTCGGATCTTTTTGAGTCCATATATGGAATTTCTTTGAGACCTGCAAGTTCCGGTCCAGGTGAAACATGGTCTCCAGATGTTAGAAAGTTTTCTGTTTATTGCGAGACCGAGGGTAAGATTGGTGTGATATACTTAGACCTCTTTTACAGAGAAACCAAAACCATGAACCCTGCCCATTTCACGGTATGCTGCTCCAGAAAGATTTACCCGGAAGAGTTGGAATCTGAAGATCCCTTCAGGCTGAAACTAGAGACGATCATGTCATCTAGCTCTGAATCAGGCGACCGGTTCCAGCTTCCCGTGATCTCAGTGGTGTGCAACTTTTTGTCTGACAGGTCAAACCGAAAGACTCTGCTGACTCTTTCACAGGTGCAGACATTGTTCCATGAGATGGGACATGCCATGCACTCGATGCTTGGAAGGACGAATTTGCACAACGTGAGTGGAACGAGATGTGTAACTGATTTTGTGGAGTTGCCTTCCATTCTGATGGAACATTTTGCCAAAGACCCACGGGTGCTGACTCGATTTGCCAGACATCATGAGACCGGCGAGCCACTTCCATTGGGACTTTTAGAGAGTTTCCAGGGTGATAATGATTTCTTGAAGAACTGTGAAGTTTTTGGCCAGATCAAAATGGCATTGTTGGACCAGGTTCTCCACTCAGATGCGGTTTTTGCGGCAGACTTTGACTCCGCCAAGATGTACCACCATCTCGAGGCCCAACTACGTGTTTTTGCCGATACCAAGTCTAATTGGCCGGGTAAGTTTGGCCATCTGGTTTCGTACGGATCAGTGTACTACTCGTATCTCTTTGACCGGGCCATTGCATCCAAGATTTGGGACCATCTCTTTGCAGAGGATCCCCTTAGCCGTGCTAATGGTGACAAGTTTCGGGATTCGGTGCTGAAATGGGGTGGATCCAAGGGAGCGTGGGAGTTACTTGCGGATGTGTTGGACAATCCTGAGTTGAAGAAGGGAGATGAGCGGGCGATGGAGTTTATAGCAAAGACGCATGGGTTGTAAGGAATGAGAGAGGAAGGAAGATTGGATGTATATAAAAGCATGGTGAAGACGATATTATGGTCAACACAAAATATTAATGCCGAAGTACGCTTATATATTTGAACATAGACGAGAAAAGAGTATTATGAACAAAGCGGAAGACTATGATTCTTTGCATTGTATTATTTTGAATAGAAGATTCCCTGCAGCTACATGGCCCACCCTGCGCGTGTTGCATGGTGGGCATGGAGAGACTTATATTTCAATTCAAAAGCTGGTGGAGAGAAAAGATTTCGTACGGACAATGTTATTTGCAGGCATACTAAAGCATCGAATGGGTATTTATTGAAAACGCCTAATTTGCGTTAAGCACACCGGGTATGTTGAGCGTTTTGAGCACCTCTCCGGTCTACACCGCTGCTTCACCGCTGCTTCACCATAATCAACTAACAAAGCCCACGTTATGTTACCTTCGTCTACATTGCAATTGCTTATCGAATGACAGAATATTGTTATTTGACTAGTGTGTCTTTTACCATACTCCCAGCGCTTTGGTATGCTTCCATGTAGGTTGCTTCCACTTAGGTCTGCGTCTTGGTAATCTTGATACGGATAGCCTTGTACTGCGTGTAGTTGTCCAAAGCCTCGGCACCCATCTCACGGCCAATACCAGACTCACCGAATCCACCAAAAGGCACCAATGGGTGGAAATCGTTGTAGGTGTTGACCCAGACAGTACCAGCCTGCAGTCTGCGGGCAACGTCATGGACCTTGTTCACATCAGAAGAGTGAATACCGGCAGCAAGACCGTATTGCGAGTCGTTGGCCTTCTTGACAACCTCGTCAACGGTCGAGAACTTAGAAACAGTGATGATTGGGCCAAAGATCTCCTCCTTGACGATTCTCATGTCCTCCTTCACGTCAGCAAAGATGGTTGGTCTAACGAAGTATCCCTTGTTTCCAAGTCTCTCACCACCAGTGACCAGGGTAGCACCCTCAGACTTTCCGATGTCAACGTATCCCAAGATCTTGTCAAGCTGCATTTGCGAGGTCTGGGCACCCTGGAAGACACCTTCCTCGAATGGGTTACCAACCTTGAGGTTCTCGGCAGCCTCCTTGAAGGCAGCCAAGAGTTCGTCGTAGATGGTGTCTTGAACGTAGAGTCTCGAACCAGCAGAACACACCTCACCAGAGTTGTAGTAGATACCCTGGATGATGTTCTGAACGGTCTGCTTGATGTTGGCATCGGCGAAAACGATGTTTGGCGACTTACCACCAAGCTCCAAAGTAACCTTCTTGAGGTTCGAGTCAGCAGCAGTCTTCATAATGTGACGACCAGTGGCCGTGGAACCAGTGAAGGCAACCTTCTTAATCTTCTGGTGACTGGCAATAGCCTCTCCTGTGATCTTACCGAAACCAGACACAATATTGATGACACCGGCTGGGATTCCAGCCTCGACACAGAGCTTGGAAGCAAACAAAGCAGACAATGGGGTGGACTCGGCGGTCTTAAGCACAACGGTGTTACCAGTAGCCAAGGCTGGACCAATCTTCCACGACCACATCAGCAATGGGAAGTTCCATGGAATGATCTGACCACACACTCCGAGAGGCTCACGTCTAATGTAGGTGTAATGGGTGTCACCGGTCTCCACAACAGAGCCCTTGATCTTGTCAGCCCATCCGGCACAAGATCTAAGGTAGTTGGCAACGAGACCAACATCACCTCTGGCAGAAGCAAGAGCCTTACCGTTGTCAAGAGACTCAATTCCGGCTAAAAGCTCCAAGTTCTCCTCGACAAGGTCGGCGAGCTTGTACAAGACTCTGCCTCTGAAAGAAGGGTCCTGGGTGTTCCAGTCAGAGTTGAAGGCCTTGAGGGCAGCCTCGACGGCAATGTCGACATCGTCTTCACGCGACTCGTAAATGTGAGTAATCTCCTCTTCAGTGGAAGGGTTCAAAACGGCAAATGTCTTTCCCTGCTTGGAAGGAACAAATTCATTGTTGATGAACAAACCGGTTGGTTGGTCATAGGTGATTCCGTTGGGCAAAGTAATAGGCACACTCAAAGGCAAGTTCGAGTAGAGCCTCTGGAAGGCAAAGCCAACAGCCCTCAACTGGGCTGGGCTGGCAAAAGTTCTGGTCGAAGTTCTCAACATTTTTGAAGCGATGGAGAGAAGAGAAAAGAGGGAGCGAAAAACCCAGAAAACTGCATTGGGGAAAGACAAGGGCTATTTAAACGGTTCGGCGAGATTTTTTCTTTTGCTGGGCAGGCACTACGGGAATCTGAGAGAACCCCGCATTTGACGTGGGTACGACCGTTAGACGCCCCGTCTCGGGTTGAAGATCTGGGCCGAACTGAGAGATCTAGGGTCGGCCGCGCGAATTGTTCGAGCCGATGACAATTCAATTGCTAATATCAGGCATTTTGTTTTTAGCGAGTTTTGCAATTTATTTTTCTTGTTCACATGTTCGTCCGTGTACGGAGCTTGAGGGAAGCTTACAGATCGGAGCTGGGGGTCGGAGAAGGGGTGACACCCCCTCTCCGACCCCTCTTTTGTGTCCCTCCCCCTCCCCCTCCCCCCAGCCGCCCCTGCCGTCCGAGCCTGATTGGCCCGAATCACTGCTTACGGTTCGCTCGGCAGGCTGGTCCAAACGATTCAGCCAATGCTGACAAAGGTGTTTTGGAATGATCATCAGGACCGATACTCTATAGAGACCCGGCCAAGAGGAGTTGGGGTGCGGTCCGGGGAGCAGGTGGGGTGTCAACTGACACCCTGGAATCTCCGCGTTCGGATCATTGATAGTCCGGGGACACGGAAAGAATTTTGTGCTGGAATTTTATCACTGTTTAGTAAGATTTTGACCAACTCGATACTTTTGCTCGTAACGGCACCGGCATAACAACGCTTGGCTTTTTCTGCGAGACCCTTCTGGGTCCAATCAAAGCCTTGTAACTGCTGGTGCCGTATGTTTAGCAATGTCCGGTTTTCGGCAATGGTTCACGCACGACCTCATGAATTGTTTGACTAAGAGAGTGCTATGCTCTTTAGCAATAGATCAATTGAATCGAAAAGCTTTATGACTTAAACAGTTGCTGGCCTAGCCTATTTTAACAGCCCTATCTTTCTAAACTCCTCTTCTGTGCTATCGTAACTCTCCAACCGCTTGAGATCCTCCTCGGTTCCAAACTTTTCACCATTAGCAAAGATCGTAGGTACCCACTTCCTACCAGAGATCTGGGTGAATGCCTTCTCCAATTGTGATGCCTCGCTCTCCTCAAGCTTGTCCAGCTCCAAGATGTGCACTTTATCCAATACCCCGTACTTCTTGAAGATAGCTATTGCGTAGTGGCAGTCGGGACACCAGGACTTGGACAGCATCAAGAACTGATGCTGCGAGATGAGCGAGTGGGCCTTTTCCGCGTATGAGACCATTGAATTCGGTTTTTCCTGCTCTATTCAAAAGGAAAAAAGGGTCTTCACGATGGAGAAGCCCTTGTCTTCTCTGACCTCTTGCCAAACTCTCGACTAGTCGATTCCGCCATCGACATGCGCGCTGCCGTTATTTTTGTCGGTGCACTCTCGCCGCACCAAAAGTTCTCAGTTAGAAAATACACTACTTTACAGCTCATCGACGCTTCACTCGCCCAATGCGGTAAATTGTAAACATCCTTCTAGGTCTCTCCAAGACGCCCTTGTGGTCCTTCTGTCTGATCTGTTCTCCCCCAAGGCTTTTGAAAACCTGCGAATCCGCTGCCAAGTCATCTTCAGGTCTTTTTTGTGCCACCAATGACTTCTCAGGACTCCACCAAGCTGATCCTGACGGTTCCGCTGGTGTACAACGTCTTTGTCAAGCCAGCCTCAGTGGTCTTCGAACCTCCGAGCTCCAGGCTCCATTGGCGGCCCGTTTTCAGTGAATTGCAGCAAAACAATCCTTTCTTCGTGTCATTATACGAATCCTCAAAAGACTGTGCGGTTATCGACAATTTGCCCCAGTTGAGAAGCGCAGTTGACAGGGTCAACACTCGCTACATAGACCAGGGAATAGTCTCTATTGTTAACGAGTACCGGTGCAAGGATGAGGTTTTGTCGCTCTCAATTATCGGAAAGTCGGCTCACCAGGCTGAGATGAACTCTGCTCGGTTGGAATTGTTTCAGAGCTACACCCGCATTGCGAAAAGACGGATCTCCATAGCTGCCGATAGACATCCTTTTCTCTTCGAACACGGTGGGATTTCTCAATCGTTTTGTGACTCGCTTGCCCAGATTGCGGATTTTTGCAATGTTTGCCTCTACGTGACTGCTGATGTTCCAGGAAAGCTCCGGATTAATGTTATTGCTGAACAGAATGCTGCCACTATGGCTGAGAACAGAATCAGATTGGCCATAGATGCATGTAACCCTCAGGCATTTGTCGACTTCGTGGACATTGGCCATGTCTCGCTGCTTCCACTCATTGGAGGGACCCATTACTTCAATTTTAAAAACATCGTCAAACGCACTGCATGTCATTTGTGTTTGCCCCATGCGACCCCAGATTTGTTTGCCAATGCCAGAAAGGAAGCAGCGACCAGAATTTATATCTCTGGTATTGAGCCTCAAGTTGTCATTGCAAAGCACATGCTGAACGGACTATTGGCTGCAGTCACCAAATCGCCTTTCGTGAAGTCGGTTCTGGTGATGCCTATCAAGAGAGAGCTTCTGTTGAGTATGCGCACTGACTCTTGGCTGCAAGATATCATGTTTGAGACCGGTTGTTTCGTCCAAGTATCACCATACGGTTCAGCTGCTGACATGTCCTGCAATGGCCAGGACGTTGTACGTTTCCAAGGTAACTCCACCGAGTTGGTAGAGTCTGCCATAGAGAAGTTCATGCTGTCAATGACGAAGGTGTACACTGCTCGCTACACCTTGAAGAGCAGACCCACCAACATATTGGATGTCCAGTCTATTGATGCCTCAACTTCACAATTGTTTCAATTCACAGATCTAGTATCTTCTCTGACTGGGACGATCTTCAGTGTTGCCTACCAACGCCAACAGGACGGCACCTACTGTCACACGTTCGATATCGTTGGTGAGAGTGCAGGAGTCCTCAAAGGTGTAAAGAACCTCGAAAGTCTTGCCAATGTGATTCCTCATATTTCCTTAGAGGAGGAGATCGTGTACCAGCTTGAACTGCCCAATAAGGAGCGCGAGTTCATCGGTGGAAAGAAGAATGGAAAGATCCTCAAGATCATGAACTCCGTTCCGGTTTCGGTCAAAATCGTTCCTTTCACTGATTACGACTTCTTCGTCGAGATCGCTTCCAAAACGCTCAAAGACTCAATTGCAGGTCTCCAACTGTTTGAAGAGGAACTTCCTTGCTTCGACACCTTCAACATACCAGAGAGTTTCCACAGGCAGATCATCGGTGCTGGCGGAGCAACCATCCAGACGATTATGCGCAGACACAATGTGTTCATCAAGTTCTTCAACAGCTACGAGTTCTCAGACACTGTTGAGTTCAAGAACAGGTCCAACGTTCCCCAGTCATTGATCCGCAAGAACAACGTTGTGATCAAATGTCCGGCCAAAAACAGTGCCGAGATTCCTCTTGCAAAGGCCGAGCTGGAGAAGCTGGTCGAGAGGGTTGCAGAAACATGCCATTCAAAGGCTTTTGTCAAGCTCTCGCGCTCCGAGTGGAGATTCCTCACTACTCTTGGTCCTTCCACCGAAAGACAAAACTTTGTGAGTGAACTAGAGAAGAAGCACACTGCGTGCATTCGCTTTCCTATGGAAGAACCCACCAGTTATGCTGATCTCGAGATCACCGGCCCCGACTCATGTGCGATCAACTGTGCTCTTCAATTGCAATCGCTGCTTCCTCACGAATACGAGTTCAAGCTCGCTCCTCACAGAGATATCGGTATTTTGAGTGAAGTTGATGCCAATGCAAAATGTCTGTTAGACTCGGACCAGAGCGCATCCCATAAGATTGCTCACGACTATCTTCACCAGATCGTCACTCCGCTCAAGCTATGCTATGGAGCTGAGGTTCAGGTTCTCAAGGACCCCAAGGTTGCTGAGTTCGGCCTCGGCTCAAAATCAACCGAGTTTGGCGATAATGTCGTGAATATCGCAGCTCCTGGCCAATTGAGACGTTCTAGTGCCGCAGCCAATGGTGAGCCCGAGTATTCGTCGTTGGTTATCTCATTCATTCCGTCAAAAATATCGCCAAACTGGGTGGAGGGCTCTGATATCACCTCTACGGCGGGATTCGGAGATCTTTCAGGTGCAATCACCAATTTCTTGCGCATGCACAAGTTCATGATCATCGATAAGGGTCTCAAGGACCGTAAAGCGCAGATTGCGCAGTTGATAAGAAAGCCAGTTGACCAGCAGAAGGAGAGGTTTAATGTTCGCAATAAGGAGAATCTCTATGACCACGGCTTTGGAGATAACGGCTTCAAGCCAAAGGTTCAACAAACGTTTGACTTCAAGCAGAACCATTACTTCCAGAACCCGATTCAAATGCCAATCACGCATCAACACCAGCAGCAACAGCAACCACAGCAACCACAGCAGCCACAGCAGAGCTTCCAGCATTTTGCGCAGCAGCCTCACCATTCTCAGCAGCTGCAGATGCCTCATCAACCTCAAATGTTCCAGTTTGACCACATGAAGTTTCAGTCCAATCGGATCAACTGACGCCTAACTGGCCCTCAGCTCTTCGCAATCTAGTCCATCAACTATCCCTTTTTGTTATTCCCTCTTCGTTTTTGTTGCCCTATGTTTTATCTTTACTATGAACCCTATTGCCAGATACCCCCAAAAAGTTAAAATCGAAACTTGCTCCATTCCTGCCTTTCGTAGTAGTCATGTTCCCCACTCCCCACTGTGAAGAGCGTTCAGCTTCGACGCGAACGATCCCAACAGAGGCGTTTCCGTTAACTCTTCTGCCATTCCAGGCACTTTTATTGCTGGCCTGGCATCTGCACTGTGGCGCCGGTGACTGTATTCTAACCCAAGAGTTCCAGCATAGGCATCGTACGAGAGATTCAATCTCGAATTGCAATCGTAGCTGCGACTGGCAGTATTCTCTTTATGGTCAGGTTTGAGATTTGCAGAATCTCTGGTACACGTCATTTGCGAATAATAGCGCGTTCCTTTCCATTTGGTGGACCGGCCCGTGAACCTATAGCCGGCCTTTTCAAGCACGTCTTGAATCCGTGCGATGTAGTGAATCCGCAAACCATTCTTGAAAATCTCCTTCATGGCACCCACAGCTTCCATATCCTCGTAATTCGAATTCGGGTGAAGAAACAGCCCCAACAACGGGTTTCTGTCTCCAAGAGTTTGCAGAACATACTGTGGAACCTTCCCTTTGAACTTCAGCGAAGCAACGTCCTCAAACGCATTTCGCGATAATCCCTCCAAGAACCCGTTGAAGTCTGCTCTTGTATCTATCACTCGTGCGGTGTTGGAAAAATCCTTTTCAAAAAGAGTTTCCTTGGAGAGCTCGTAGTCCACGGGATCCAGAATCGACGACTGTCTCGTTTGATACCCAGTCTCGGAGCCTATGCTGTTCAACTTCTCCAACATCCGCAATTTTTGGTTCTTTTTGTACAGTTTGTTTCTGTCTCTGCACTCATCGCAGGTTTTGTATTTTGCCAGCGAGTCTGGGTTTCGATCTGTTTGTGGGGAGGTTCGTATCTTGTGGCATTTCGCACAGGTTGGAGAAGTCGTGGTGGAAAGGGATTGATCGGACATTGTGGTCCAATGACAAGTAAATCTCGATCAATAATAGTTAAAAGTACTTCGGGGACCAATACAGTACCAACGAACCTTTCGTTCCAGTCTTGGACGCGATATTTCAACGTACAACGCCAACAGTGTGTTCCCCTATCAGATCAAACAATGAGATACCCAACACCAGTCTGAAGCCAATCAACTCAATGTCGCTTCAAAGCAATATCAAAAGTGCTGTCTTGACACTACCAGCTCAATTTCAAAATCCCACGGCTTCAGGTCAATTAACCCCCAACTTACACCCACTTGTAGGATTGACCTTTGTTCTCCTCTAGCATCATTACTTTCTCGGATATCACCTGACTTCCGATCCAGGTGCCGCACGCCAACCAAATTTTGGCAGATGTTCTGTGGAGAGATGGGCTTGAGCTTTGGCTTGTCTTGTGTTGTTACGTTCTGGACAGTTGGCTCTCTCAAGTACCGTTGCTGTTGCTCATTTTGTTTGTTTGTTTTTTTCACATGACTTCTTTATATTTGCCGAATCCGTGTTTACTCGGAATATTGTTCACAATCAGCACGCATGATGGCCACCAATTGGTGTTCAACTACCCACCAAACCCCAATGAGTATGGCTACAAAGCCACGCCTCTAGCACAACAGCTCACGGATCTCCATAACGGCGAGGACTACAGCACCTCGAGCTCTAGCGGTGAAGATGAGTCTGGTGATGATGACGGTCAATTTTCGAGCGATCTGGGCTCTTCCACTGATGAAAATACTGGTAGTGGAAGAAGTAGCTCTGGGGCCTACAACGGAGGAAACAACTATCTCTCCGGTCGGGCTCTTCTGGACATGCTCGATGAGCAGGATCGCAAACGCAAAAAGAAGGAATCCAAGAGGCGAAATTTGATGAAACATATTCTGAATAATGAGCGAGAAGCCCATGGTGATGCTAGCACTGTGCTCTCTAATGGAGACGATGCCTCCAAGGCAAGCTCTATGAACAATTCGGGGACTTTGGGCAGTTTGCCGAATACCAAATCGCTAGCCTCTAACAACAACGACAAAGACTCGGATGCTGGTGATATTAGCAAGGTTTTTGGGTTTGATATTGATTTTCTGAGCGAGGTGGTCTCTCCTCCAAAGGGTCTGTGCAACACCCGGTTTGAATTGACCGTGAATGACATGGCATTTTTGGGTCTTCCTATACACGTGCATGATGATGGAAACTGGAGGACTTCCACTAGAAAACATGTGCATCATTCGAAGAGCAAGACAAAGGGCAGAAGCAGAAAGGATAGCAGAGCCATCCAGCACAAGAGGTCCAAGAGGTCCATTGCCAACGAAAACGATGGAGCCGATTCCGGGCCTGAAAATAACGAATCTGATGGTGAATTGGGCTCGGATGATGCAGACGAAGCCAACGACTGTCCAATGCACATGTTTCATTTGGTTTTCGTGATGAATCCACCAGTCATGGAGTATAACTACAGGACAGACGAGATGTACCATTACGTGGTGAGCAGACTCAGTCTTGTGTTGAGATACGAACAACAGAAGAACAATTACATCTGGCACGAAGCCTCCAAGATACTGAAACTACGCGAATCTCTATCCTCTATGTCTATCAACGAAAAATGGAACCAAATAATAGAGCAGTCCTCCCTTGCAAACGTTATTGCAAAGACCTACCGAGCCATATCGAACTCGGAAATTGTTAATGTGGAAATAAACGGAAAGATGAGATCGTTCCAGATACCCACAAAGACAGAATTCAAGTCTTTACCTCTCAGAACAACACCGGTTCTTCCTGGATCTACACTGTCTTCGATTTCTCCGACAGGCGATGCTGATCTGGACCAGAACTCGGACACCGAGGGTAGCCTTGTATATTTCGCTCTCATTCTTTTAGATGATGCAGAGACAATCATCAGAGACATTGGTGCCGAAAAGGATAGTGTTATTGCGTCTTTTATACGGATGATCAAACCGACCGAAAACCTCATCAAACTCTCTTCTCAGAGTGGTCTTGAGCTATCGCAAGCACAAGTCTTTGCAAACCATCTAGTTTACTGGAGAAGAGCAAAAGCTATCTTGCCGCTGCAAGCCAGAAATGTGTACATCGTTTCACCAATGGCACCTTTTGAAAACATGTTTAGAGACATGGAGCTGTTCAAACAGCAGTTTCCATCGCTACCTTTGCTTCCTTCATTTCTGTCTCTGATTTCCTCGTCCAACAAACCAAGACAATTGTCTTTGATCATTCCCAGCAGAGACCACAAGGACCTCTACCTTGATGCAGTTTCGTGGCTAATTAAGTCCGGCTATCTTTGCCATCTGCACACTTTTCTGTGGCTGAAAATATCAAAGAAGATCAAGATGGAGGTGGACGAGGAGCTGGAAAAAGAAGGCGCCACCAAAAAGTTTTACGACGGCTCTGTCGACACCTCAAGCCAATACAATGCCTCTTCTGGAGACGCATCTGGAAAAAGCGGAATCCGTAAGGTCACCGACAACACTTCGAAAGACGGGCCCGTGAATCCTTATAACAGGCCGCTGTTGACAAGTTCAGGCTCAAATATTTCAGATGATTTGGCCAAACTGTACATAGAGGAGGAGGAAGAAGAGACGATTCTGCTCGATCCAGAAAGCGCATCTGCGTTGGAGAGAAGGTGGATCGCCAAGTGCGTAGAGGGCCAGCCTCCAGACGTCTCCAAACTTTTCTATAGAATTCTCAAGTACATGAATGGTCGAAACGCTTTGGAGATGTTTATGACAAAGGATAACATTTCTCGGCAGGATCTGAGGAAGCTACTTGTTTCGCTGGAAAGCCACATTGTGACCGTGAGGCATTGGTAGCTGGAGGAGGTGATGAAAAGTAGCATGGACTGGTGATATTGGATAATAACTAGGATGAAGATGTACCTGCGACTGGCATAAATTTGGTAATATACGTACCTGAATTACTCCCAACTGGTTAGCTCATATTCAATTTCTTGAGCCGCACCATCTGGCTAGAACACTCTCGATGGTGGCTGAGTAGGCTGAGCACGACTGCACCAGCCACGAACCGCGATCTCTTGTTATTCCCAGTGACTAGACCGTTCTCTCAACCAAACACTTCAACAAGCTCAGTACGCAAAACATTCGCTTTAAACTTGCAATATGCCTACTGAAGAACGAACTCAACGTCCTCGCTATGGAGGTGGCTGGGATTCAGATGAAAGCGAATCTGAGGAAAGTATGGTTGAGGGGCATCTGGCCAGCCCGCGTTCTGTTGCTGCGGCCAGCTCCAAATCTCACCAGGAGACCGAATTGACAAGTGCAGAGATTGCTAGCGACATTGCCGATGTCCACAGCTCTATTGAAGACCCCACTGAACAAGAACACACGGTTGGTTTGAGCAAAGAAGCGGAAGTTCCTCTTTCTGGTCTGCCGTCTATCTCAGCTACTCCCAAGGTTGACTTTGCCTCAGTTGGTCTACATGATGGTGCTGTCGATGGTGCTGTCGCTCAAAAGGTCTCCGAAAGCAATGATCCTGATGGCATATCAGAAGACACGCTTCTGGAATCTCAGCGGAAGGCGTTTTACATGGAGTCTGAATCGACCCTGTTGAGTACCCCAGTTCCTGAGCCAGTTGATTCTGAAACGACTCAACAAAGTCCAACAGACGATAACAGCTTCCAGATTGAAGAATCAAGTCACCTTGAACCCGTGACACATGATAGCTCCAGCAATCATGATGGAAACAGCTATATTTCGGTAAATAACTCTCACCTTTCTGAAGCCGACTTGAGCTTGAACCGAAACTCTTCCCTCAATTCTTCCGGGTCACTCTCCACGGCTAGTGTTGCCGTATCCCAGCTTACCGGTAACAAGGTTGAGACCAGCAGCAAAGCCTATGACCAGTCTGTGGACGAAAGTCGGGATCTTCACTATAGCGACGATGCCGAAAGCGACTCTTTTTCATTTGGAAAGTCCGTACGCTCCTACGACAGCTCGAATGCAGCTGATTCCTCTGATAAATATGACACTACAGCTGATGTTACTCCCCCTGAGCCACTTAGGATAGGGAAGCCAAGACAAACACCTTTGAATCCAGACATTCCCGAAAACGAGGAGGATAAGCATGATACCAGCTACGATACGGACGAAGACGACGACGACTTTGACGAGAGGGCAGACAACGCGACGATTGCTTTGGATGATAAGTACAGGAATAAGTTTCTTAGTGGGAACTCGATGATTACGGTCAAACCTTCGTATCTTGAAAGGAAAGGCAAGAAGGAAGCTTTGAATGACCAGCTAAGAGATTTGAGTATAGCAGAGTCTCAAGATTCTGAAGATACCAGGATTGATGACAATGCGGAACTTTCGAAGACTTCTGTTCCAACCACGGCTTCGAGTGTTGTGAAGAAGAAGGTACCCACTCGAATTCCATCCGAAGGAGTCCGCGCCCAGAACCTAGGTAACATCACCTACGCTTATCGCTATGACAAGCTTGAGAGTACCACTGAAACTCCTGAGCAACGTATCAACAACTTACTAGAGGACCGCAAAAAGCAGGCAGCTCTTGATACTGGTCTTAAGTCATGGTTGGAATTTGTGTCACAGAAGCAAAGCGTTGTAAGTACCAAGACATTGGGACAAGAAGCTGCTGCATTCACCAGTTCTGCCAAAAATGATCCTATCAAGTACAACAGAGGTGTTGGGGAGTTGTTGAGTGATAACATTGGTGCGGGAGCAGATGGTATCAAGTATACCTTCAAGAGTTGGAAGACAAAGCTGTTCAAGGACAAAGCGTGAGGCCATGAAGATCAAATATTTTGAGCGATGTATATTATGTGATTAACTTCTATTTCTTGATATCACGTATAACCTCAGGAGCCAGGCTAGTCTCTAAGGGTGTCTGAATCGTTAATGTACATTATGAAAAATTCTCTTACTTCTCTCTTCTTGCTCTCATTCACTGATTCGCCAGCTTTGCGACTTTATGTTTTCCATAGTTTCGGACCTGTATATCCATCAACTCCCGTATTCTATGACTGCCAGCTATAGCTATAGCTAGCACTTTCTCCAAAGAATCCATGCCAACCCTGTCCTCCATTAGCAATAAGGCTAGCTTCTCGCTCTCACCAATTACACCAACCGTGAGAAATCCCAGCTCGTTCTCTTCTATAGTATTCAGATCCAACAATGGGGTCTGGCCATCGAATATTCCAGCAGTCACACTAGAGATATAGTCATACATGCTGATACCGGCGTCCATAAGAGCCAGCGTTGTAGCATTCGTGCAAGCCGCCAGAAGTCCACCATCCAGTGCTAGTACCTGCAAATTCACCTGTATCAAACTTCTGGGATAGTTTTTCAGCACTATAGCCTTATTAAACGTTCTGGTCAGAGTAGCAGATAGCTCTTGAATACGGCGGTCGTTTCTGGGCCTTTTGTTTCTCTCCACTGTGGCAAACGGTGTCACCGAGACGTTAACTATCAGCGAACCTTGAGCTGTGGATGATTGCGAACGCAATGCAGGTTCCATTGGTCCTTGAACTAGACAAAGAACTTTGGTATTGCCCTGCTCAACATATGATGATCCATCCGAAGAAGTAGGATGCGAGTTTATCCTGCACTCAAACCTGCGGATTTCATTCCATCTCCTTCCATCTACTCTCAAACCTTCAGGCGAGTAAATTTCAAAGCGCGACATGGCTTTTTGGTGTTTCTTTCAGCAGAAGCTCTAACCATCTCAAACCTTCAGAAAAGTCAGGGCCTTTATTTTTTGTTATGAGCTTTTGGTTAATCCACACTGTGTAGTGTTCCACTCATTTTGGAATTCAGACCGCACGATGAAACGTTACTGGATCTACTGAAACTGATATGCTGGCTAGTCATTGAAATTCGTGGCAAACATATTTTAATACGCATTTGTGTGTTCTATATCTGGCAACCTTTGTGGGAAAAAGTCATCAGAGCTTATTGCCTATACATCGGCCTTATTGCCCCCCATAATGCGCAAGTTCGACCCAGATTCGTTGCCTTATCTAAACCCAAAACAGATAAGGAGAGTGTGTGTGATCACTGGTGGAAATAGTGGAATTGGGTGGTTCACCGTGTTACATCTATATCTACATGGCTATGTGATATACATCGCGGGAAGAAGCCGCTCGCGAGTGAGTGCTGCCATAGAACAGATCAGCCAGGAGGCCGTGAAGAGACGGTCTAAGCTCTCGGAAAGAGTGTTGAAGACAAGGTGGCTAGGCGAACTCAAATATTTGGAATTGGACCTGCTGAGTCTTAAGTCTGTCGATAGAGCAGCCAAAGAATTCAAAGCGCGAGAGAAGTGCCTGCATCTGTTGATCAACAATGCTGGAATCATGGCTGTTCCGTTTGAGATGACCGATGATGGATTCGAGATCCAGATGCAAACCAACTTTGTGTCGCATTTTCTCCTAACACAAAAGATGATTCCATTGATGGAGACTCAGGTTGATCCACGTATAATATATCTTTCTTCTGTTGGACATTCGCTGATGCCACTGGCTGTTCCAATGGACTCGGAGTTCAATTATCGCCCTAACATGCTTTTCACGTGGTTTCGCTACGGGATGAGCAAGACTGCGGGAATCCACATGATCAAGTGTCTTTCTGTTAGAAATCCCTCGGTGCTGTCTCTCGCAGTTCACCCAGGCTTCGTCATGAATACCAACCTCTTTAGCCATCTCACCAGATTGCCTATACTGGGAGTCTTCTTTTGGTTCTTCTTCCAGTTCTTTGGTTACGTTTTTGGAGTCACCAACGAGACCGGGAGCTTTTCCACAATCAAATGTTCTTTGAGTCCCGATATCACTGCGGAGAAAGACAATGGCAAATACTTCGCTACCTATGGCATTGAAAAGTCCCCAAGCACTGTTGCTTCTAGTATGGCCTGTGCCGACGCAACTTGGGCCTGGGCCACTGCAGAGCTTGCCAGACGAGGATACTCAATATGATGCCGTGAAAAATAATCGCTAATATCACAGTCGCTAATCAACCTTTCATCTTGTGCCTCTCTCTCTATTTTACTTGCTCCCATTGGAGATCTACGTTTCGAACGCTCTAAAGAGGACAAATTTAAGTTATTGTATAAAAGAAGAAACTCACCGCTCTCACGATTTGACTATTTATAAGTTGAAAACGGTGATGCCAGGCTCACCTGGGACAGCCGAATCTATGGTCTTACCAGTAACGGTTATCTCAACCTTTTCTCCAGTAACGATGTCCGTACCGACCTTGGAACCGCTCTCAAACGAAACAGCTCTGATCTCCTTCACGTCGACAGCAACAGCAGCCTTCTTCAAGACCTCCAAAACGGCCTTGACCGTGCCGGCCTCGTCAAACGAAAGCTCTCTGTTGAACACCTTCTCTGCTGATTCCACAGCCAAACGCTTCTTCAACTCAGATATGAAAGGCATGGCACGCTTCATATCCTTACCGGTCTTCTCCTTGAAAAAGGCATTGTCGTTGAGACTCTGCTTGGCGAAGGCCTCACGAACAAGCTCGATGTACTGATCTTGCCAGTCTGGGAACTTTGTCGCAACGTACAGAGTCAAGACTGCTGGCTTGGAAGGATCCACGTCGGCGTTCTTGCCCTTCTTCTTCTTCAAAGCAGCACCTTCGGCCTCTCTGATCGCTCTCGACATGTTACGGACATACTCCAGGGCATCGAGTCTGCTCTTGGAGACTGGTTCGCTCACCGTAGGGAACTTTGCAGTCTGGATAGAGCCTTCCTTGCCCAAAACGTCACGGTAGATGTACTCGGCAAAATGTGGGGCAACTGGAGCAAGCAGAAGGACTTGGGTCTCGATGTAACGCAGAACAAGGTCCTTGTGCATTCCGATGGTGGAAGTAGATTCACGGTAGAAGTCACGGGCGTACTGGTAGTCGAACAGACCCGACTTCAAAGCATTCTTGTAGTTGGTCAACTCGTACTGCTTGTAGGTCTCTTCTATCAATGAGTTCATCTCGTTCTCAAATGCCTTGTCGAAAAATGGGTCGTACGCACCGGTACGCAAGCTGGTGGATTTGACCACCTCCTCGGACCATTCCTTCAGGTTATACAATCTCAAGATGGCGGCGTTGGCATTACTCTCGTCAAAGTTGGCATCCTCAATGGTGTCACCAGCATCAGCAAGGGCAATACGCGAAGCATCAGCACCAAACTTCTCGACGATCTGTTCCAAAGTGAGGAAGTTACCAGTGGACTTGGACATCTTTGCGTTGTTCAGCAACAAGTGACCGTTGGTACGGATACCTCTTGGCCAGAATTTCTTTGGGAACAGAGCAACATTGACATAGATGAAGAAAGTCAAATGGTTTGGAATCAAGTCCTTACCGGAGACAGAAGCATCCAATGGGTAGAAGTACTCAAATTCTCTGCGCATGATGTTCAATTTCTCGACTGGGATGGATGACTCAATGTCATCGCGACGGCAGAAGACGTAGTCAAACACTTCATCGGTCATCTCCTCGGGAGTGATTCCCAAAGGACCAATGTCCTTACCATAGTAGTCGGTGTGGAGCAAGTGGTTGATTGTGTAGAAAGACTGGTAGACAGTGGAGTCCGAAAGAGACTCGACCAACCACTTTGGATCCCATGGGATCCTGGTTCCGAGACCATACGATCTGGAAACGGCCCAGTTTCTCAGCCAGTCCAAGACACCTTCAAAAGCATTCTCACTCTCAGAACTGAAAGTGTTCATGCTGTGAAGAGCATCGATGGCTTGGGCCTTCCAGTGCTCTTCGCCGTAGTCCAAGTACCACTGGTCTTCCAGAGAAACGATACACTCGTCACCAGAACGGGAAACAACCAGGGATTCAGGCTCGTTATAAACGAAGGCATCACCAGATGCAACAAGATCGGCCTTGACCTTTGGCTTAGCAGCCTCAACCTTCTCACCAGCGTATTTCCCAAGCAACATAACACCGTTGTAGTAACCTTCCTTGTAAGCCAACTCCTTGGCCTTAGCAAGTTGTACGGAGTCCTTTGGAGAGTTTATCTTCAGTTCGTTGACCAAAAACTCTGCACACTTTTCACCGTACTTCTCGGTCTTGACGATGGCCACAGCCTCAACGTCGGCCCACTCCTTCTCAATGCCGTAGTACTCAGGCTTGTTGTAAAGATCCTTCATGGTGATGAAATCATCTGGGGAGTCGGATGGAACACATGTGACAACACCGGTACCCTTAGAGGCCAAAACAGTCTCCATGGGCAAGACTCTCAGCTCAGGGTACTTGGACAAAGGAGCGTGGATCTTGGATCCGATCAAGTCAGAACCCTGGATATCAAGAACGGAGGAGAAGTCACCACGCTTTGGTGTCAGCTTCTGGTAGCACATGTTCTTGAACGAGCGCTCGGTGCAAATGTAGTAGTTGCCGTTTCCAGCATCAAAGATACCGTATTTAATCTTTGGAGAGACGAAACAACAGGTCTGGCCATACATGGTTTCAGGTCTCAAAGTGGCAGCAACCAGAAAGAACTTCTTTCCATCAGTAGAAACACCAGCCTTGGAAATGGTCTCCTGCGCATTTGCGGCAAACTCGGTGATCTGGATCTTGATTCCAGTGTACTCCTGTGGAGTAACGGCCTCACCAGTCTGTCTATCGTGGTCCATACATGGTTGTCCATCCTTGATAGAGTACACGGTGTATCTCTCTCCAAACTTGATCTTTCCCAAGTCCTTGAGGCGGTTCATTTGCCATCTGACGAAGGCATCGTAGTAAGCGTTCATGTCAGTGGTAATCATGGAACGACGCCAATCGACACGGGCACCAAACGAGGTCACGTCATGCTCAGTAACTGGGGGAAAGAACGTGAGCCAATGGTATGGGTCAGCAAACTTAGAAATTTCCTCCGTCGGAATTCCCAGTTGTTGCATTATCTCGAACTGGTACTTTCCACGGCCTTGCTTGGCAACAGCCTTGGACTTCTTAGCAGTGAACTTTGAAACGTCCTCACGAGCGGCCTTTGGCTCTTCCTTCTTGGGAGCCTCTTCCAAATCAGCAGCTGGAGCTCCGGAGAAATCAGCACCAAATTGTTCGACCTCTCTGGCAAGCTTATCAGCAGATGCACTGATAGGCATACCAGTACAGTGGAATCCCAGTGGAAAAAGAGCACGCTTTCCTCTCATACGCTCAAATCCAACAGCAAACTCAACCTTGGAAAGAGTAAAACAGTGACCTGCATGCAGAACACCGTTCATGTATGGATAAGCCATGCTGCTGAAGTACTTGGGGAACTTTGCCTCCAAATCTTCGGAGGGCTCTCCGAACTTGGCTTCATCGAAGGTTGGGGCGTTGACCTCAAATACCTTCTCATCCTTCCAGACCTTCTGGTACTTCTTTTCAATCTCAATAAGAGCATCTCTACGAGAAGTCTGTAGGGATCAGGGTTAGTATGCTTCCATGGGGATCAAGATGAAAAATTTTGGGCTATCGGTGATATAATATCGGCCAACCAAGCCTGCATTTCCATGAACTTTTACTCATAAAGTATCACTTACGTTTTCAAGAACAAGTGGCTTTTTATCAGCAGCCGCACTCATCTTTGAAAAATATGTCTTTTGCAGTGAAGGACTGAACAGGTTAAATTGTCTTGTCTTTGAGAAGAAGTGGACGGAGGTGGAAGAGAGTGCACGGGAGAGAATGGCAGAGCCACAAATCTGAGCCGCACCAAACTCTGGGGTGTAGGCTTTGGCTGTCTTTCAATCATTTAGTAGTATACTCATTACTTGTTGAATTACTGGCATTGTTTATTGAATTTTTCTGTTTCTTACTGTTTAGTGTACACTAAAATATAGTCTATGAGGTTAGTCAAAAAAAATTGAAAAATAGTGAAAGCAGCGCATGAAATATTTTGGGAACAAATTGGAAACTTTTTCAGTTTTCATGTATTTTGAAGAAATGTCCAAACAATCAATTCCTTGATTTTTTTTGGCTGAGATTTCTATCAGGAATCTTTTTTTCCTTTGTTCTTCTTGAGATTATGGTACTCTAGGCAATGTCTCATGTAACCAAGCAATCTATTGGCATTAGGCTCACTAGGTCGGTACGGCTGAACCTTAATGCATTGCCCGCAATTGGCATAAGGACAGACGACACAGTCGGTGAACGAGATCTTAGCTTCGCATCTTCTGTTAAACTTGACTTCTTTGCCCCAGCCAAAATCAGCTGGACTTTTCATCAAGTCTCCAGTAGTGAATATCCCGTGCTGCTTGGTTATGTGGTGAAGATAGTCTGAATTGTTCATGTCATGGAATAGACCATTTAGGTCGTCATCCCAGTCTGCCTCTGAAGGCTGGCAATATGGACAGAGCCCTTGCCTTCTAATTCTGACTTGGAGACTTTTGGTACCGCCAGCAGCTAATTTTTCGTCATAGGCCTTCCTCAGACAACGAAAAACCCTTGGACTGTAAGCCGTTGCAGCAAGATATCCCATTTCGCCTCTTTCGTACTTCCAGAAGCTTTCATCTGAATTTTCAAAGTCAACAATAGTGACATTGTTTGGTATTCTAAGATCGCTCATCTTGACGTAAGGGTAAGGTTTTTTCCCCGTGGAGTCAAACTGCGAGATGAACTGAAGATCTTTCCCCTTGGTGTCTGCAGCGACAAGAGAGGTTTCAGAATAGGAATGAGCACCTGTATGATCCCTAGAAAGCCGGCAATAAGGGTCATGAGGGCAGATATTTGCCTCATCAAAGACAGGCTCGATGGCGAACTCCTGTGCACCAGCAGCCTCTCCTGTGGGGACTGCGGGAAAAGTTTGGCTGGGCTTATGGATGATCTTGGGAGAACCAGAACGACTAATTGTGAGAAATGTATTCTGACCGCTGGAAAAAGTAACCGGCTCTTTAGCATTCTGAAACATAACCTTCGGATCATGATTATCTACAATCTGTTCTAGACCAGGGTCGTGCTTGAGAATGCTTGGCTGATTTTTATCTGAAGCTTGTGCTGCTTCGTCTTCGCTCTCTTCGACAAAAAGGCTGAGGTTATGGCTATTATAGCACTCATGACGTAAAGAGCTATTCTTTCTGACCGCTCTGTTCAAGTCTGAAAGAGTTTTAAGATCTGGGTTCAACGTAGAATCGACATAGTGTTCCTTCATGACGGATTTTGGGGAAATACCTTCCGCACTTTCTCCATTTGGAAGCACTAGCCATGAATTGGGATTATCTTCGAAAATGGTGAACTGCTCATTATGACTGTCTTCTGTTAAGTCTTCAGGTATTGGAGACAACGGAATACTGCCGTTATTGTAGTCCATGCAGAACTCCTCTAATTCTTCATCAGTGCACATTCGTGGGTCCATACTTTTCATAACGGTGACGAATACCTCCAAAGAATCATCTTCAAATGGAGTCTCGGAGTGGGATTCGAGCTGAGTCTGAACTTCGGTATCGAAATTGGAATTTTGAATACCAGCTGGCTCAGCAGTTCCAGTAACGTTTAGAAAATTCTGGGGATCAAAATCAGATTCGTGTGGTTTTTGGAATTCAGGCTGCTGATCGATCAGCTCCCTCTGCTTCTCATTCTGGTTACCGAGAACTTTATCTTCATTTGGATTACTCTGAACATCCATCGAACTTCCAAGATCATAAGTTTGATCTAGGCTAGTATTTTTGTCTTCATCTTCATCTTCGCTATCAGCTACATCATCGTCTGAACTCACTGCTACGTCGTACCCAATCAAGCTGCCTCCTTCCATCTCCTCGTCCTCAACTTCTTCAGGAAAAAGGGCAAAGTTTCCGTCCTGGTCCTGGAAATAATTTGCAGCCAATTCCTCGTCAAAAATTTCGGAAGAATCACAAACATCTAATTTAGAAGCACCCCCAGAAAGCGCTGATAGAGAGTTTTTCTCGAGGGAACAAATTTCTTCGAAACTTTTGGGAAATGGCCAATGCGCCTCAAATCCAAAAGGAATGGAAGGGTCTCTTTTCATAGAAAGGAAATCATGCAATTGGTAAGAATTGCTGTAGCAAGACATTTTCGGAAAAAATCCCGGAAACGGTCAAAAGCTTTTACGAAGTCAGTAAACGGAAACCTCACGTGAACTACATAACGTGTGACGAACATTGACCGCAGAGAGTGAGCAGATCCCGTAATCGACCAAGAAGACTTGGGGGATGGGGAGGGGCCGACTGAGTTTTTTTTCAAAAAACTATACTTATATATTAAGGGGTACCACTTGTATTTATAGTGAAACCGGAGGATCGTATTCTGTTGGCATTGCATAATGCCATTGCAAGCTGTTGCGTCGTCGATGACCTTTTATGCAGGGTTTATATCTCCCTTTCAACGAGATTTGTAACGTTCCAGCGAAAAAATGAGCACTTTCAATTAGCTTAATCTCTGGGGTGCATGAGCCGCACGCTAAAATCAGATCTTGCATATTACCTACAGGTGGAAAGATGACGAGAAAATTTTGCTCACATAGTAACGACCTACATATTGCATGACCATGTTGTCACTAAAACGGTCACTCTTGTGGTCATTCGTTTTCAAATTATTTAATCAGCCGCAGCAAAACTGCAACGGCTTTCGTGCGGCTTTCGGGCGCGTAGAATTGCGCAATTGTCTTACGAACTTTCCAGCGGCTGTACTTTTAACCTTGAAAACCAATTTTCAATTTGATTTATTTTAACAAGATTCCACGTTGTCTGAATCCAAGCTTCAAAACTCAATATATTGGCTCTAGAAAATCAGGGTTTGACCTGTTTTGTAAGCGCTAAGGCTAAGCAACAGGGTAGTGTGAGCCCCATGAGATCCATCGCATCGCACGCGGTAGCATGCGAGTTTTCACGTACGAGCCGACCACTTCAACGCCCCCAGGACTAGCCTTCAGACAACAGACTCAAAATGGTGCTTTGGAAAATATGATGATGAAGAGATATATATATCAGGTATCTGGATTACGACCGTTGAGTCGTGCCATTTCGGGAGAAGCGTGCAAGGCTAACACGAAGACGCTGCGGATGAGGATACCGCGTCCCGTATCAAGGTACACCGAAAATGAACCCGCAACAAACAGTCAAAACGTTCCAGTTGAAAGCGTAGACCAAGAGAAGGTGATTGTTAAGCCGTTCAACGAAAATTTTGCCTTTCAGACAGAGTTGTTGCAGGTTACTCCGAGCAAGACAGTCCCAGTTCAAGAGAGTCAGCCTGCTCTAGCACCTGCCATAAGTTCAAAGTACCTCCCCACCGACCAGTCGAATTTGCTACCCTACGAAAATTTCCCGGATGGACTGGATACTCCCATAAATGTGTACAACTCGATAAGAAGACCCAGTGGGCCATATGTTCAGGAGAACCGACTCTCGGTCACTTCGTTGCTTACGGAGAGGTGGTGCGAGCTGAAGGAGTTTTACCGCGATTTCGTGATTGGAAAGGAAGAAAGGCCGACGGAGGCGATGAAGAGGGGATCAGAAGAACACGAAAAACTGGAATTGACTTCGCATACCGTGAGTGTTCATGATTTGGAGCTCGGTGAAGAAGACAAAGCTACCACAGTCACCACAGATAAGGATGGTGTCAGACGCTTAAATTTGAAGCTGGATGACACAACCGATGTTCCATTGATTAAGCTTCCAGAAAAACTGGAGCACATAGAAAATGATGATGCTGCTTTACAGGAAAAATACCTCGAGAGCAAGAACCTGTTGCTGAAATACTTATCCAAGGACCGTCTGAACGAATTTGAAAAAAGGGCATTTGAGTGGAATAAGAACATTTCAAGACTATGCAGTCTTCTCAAATACGGCGAGTCAAGAGAAATTTTAGTTCATGGAATGATCCGCCCATCGACATTGGCGTTTTTGGGATTCAAGGATGTTCCATATGCTTCAGATGAGTCGGAGTTTGATAAAGATATTCTTGTGAGCGGAATAATAGACCATCTGGTTTTGGAGAGCGCTTTAACAAATGGAATATCTGAGTATCAGAAAACTTTAACAAGAAAGCTACTGCGAGATATAGACGATAAACCTGTCCAGAACGATAGAGGTGCATTTGACATGAACAGGTTCATTGCGGCTGTCCAGTCAACTACGGCTGAAGACGGATGGAACAACTCAAATCTTGCAAGACCAAGGCTAAGAATCGTGGTGAAAGATATTAAAACACGGCGTTGGAAAAATTTGCCGAGGCAGGATAGGGTCAGACGATCTTCCAAATACCAGGTGATGTACTACAGAAAGTTCTTAGGACTGCTGTCTGGAGAATTCGCATCCAACAGATATGCCCCACAGGAACAGGAGACCAATCCTGGAGAGTTTGGATATCTCATGATGTTGGCAAATGCCAAAAAACGAGGTTTTGACGTGGACCAGCCCATCAGACCGGAGCTGGCTCTGGTTCTCTCGCTGAACAATCAATATCTAGAGCAGGACCTTTTGAGACTTCAGAAAGGGCAAAGTTTGGGGTTTATGCCTTACGATGCTCATGGTGGTGATCAAAGTGTTGGCTACAGTCTTTCTGGACTATCGATGATGGTTCAAAACTACAATAACCAGACCACGTCTCAACTGGATAGTCTCATTCTGGAGAGGGTGGATTCAGGCTTGTTCACCGAATGGAAGAGACCACTGACACTACGGACTCTTGCTGCCAGAATGGCCCAATTGTACTCGCTTCTTCAGCCTCTTCTTAGCGAAAGATGTGCTGTTGAGTATGTTGCCAATGGCTCACCATTTGTCCAACTAAAGTTTGACTACGACGAAAACGCTTTGAACAAAACCACCGTCTCTTCAATGCAATACTGGTTGGGACTGAGACCGCCAAAGCCAGTTTCGAAGAACGAGACCAAGATCTATTGCTCGTATTGTGACTTCAGGCCCAACTGCAAGTGGTATCTGGACCAACAGCCTACGAATTGAGCACGCTCACTCAACAAACATAGTGAAAAATAAATCAAATAATGATGAAAACGGTTCCAGACTCACAATAATTACTACCCAAAAACTCCCAGCATAAAAATTTCATATCATAACCCATATCAGCACTTGCGATCTTCCGGCACCGTACCGCTTGCCATTGGCTGGCCAAATCTTTTGATAGACTGCTCCAGCACCTTCTGCATAAACACAGGATCAGTCCTGAGAGTGTCATTCAGATAGTTGATTTCGTAAAGATGGCCCCTCTGCATGAGACTAAACCTCGCTCTCGTCTCCTTGATATCCCAGTCATCGTCCTGCGAGAAAAACATGTTGGAGGCCGCTCCAGATGATCCAGACCTGACTCCGGTTCTGTTCAACGTGAAAGGGTCCAGCATCGGGTCAGAGTCGGTAAGAATGTCGCTGCCGTCGTCGCTCGTCTCACCCGCAGAGTACTCGTCCGGGGCCTGCACATATCTTCTTCCCATCGACTCCGGGCTGAGAGGAAGCCGTATTGATGGAGGCACTGGCGCGGCATCGAACGTCTCGTATCGGCGCCGCAACTGCGGCCGCATCCAATCGGGATATAGCATTGACTCGAGGATGTCTCTCGGCAGAGTAGTGGAGAGATCGCGAACTTGTGGAGGTGATACCGCTTCGGCAATAGGGGAAATTCCAGAATCACCGTCGTTTCCAGCAATCGAGGCGTCACTGCCATGATCATCGCCATTCTGCTGCTGGTTGCTGTCGTTCTCCATGGCCGCAGCCGAAGCTGTACCAGACCATATCTCAGCCAAATTAACCCGTTGTTGACCTGAAGAATCGTCTAAATCGGTCAATCGCGCCGCATTATGCCTGCGGTAAATCGAGTTTCGTCTTCGCAGAGCTCCTGATGGTGAATGCCTCAAAGTATCACTCCTCACGGTAGGAGTGTATCTCAAAGGGCGACCTGCCCCTCCTCTTAGAAGCCCAGTGGTGCCTGCTCCGTTTCTCCGTACAAACCCCTGGGCACCATCGCTGGTAAATATAGGAATACCAAGACGAGAGAACAGCTCGTTGTGGTGGTTTTGAAGAGTCCATGGAGGCGGATCCAACAGCATGTCGTTTATCTGTTCCAGATCTTCGTGATGTTCTGATGAGGCGGTCAAATGCATTGCCGATCGTGGAGTTGGTGGTGTCTGGGTATCAGAAGTGGGATAAACATATGCCCCGTTCTCGGAAATCCTGACCCGTTTGTTTTTGGAGTGGCCAGAGTGCCTGTCTTCTGAGTCTAGCGGGAGCCCCATGGCCTACTATACAGACTTGATGATGGTGAGAGCAGTGGTTGAAAGTATCAGACAATGAGATGAGAGACTCTGCAAACAGAGTATTAGTTCGATCCCAGTTGGCTGAAAAAAAGAGGCTGGTTCCGTGGATGTAATGCTCCAGAGCAGTCTCCGTGACCAGTAGCGGAGCAGGCTAAATAAAGCAGGATACCTTGATTGGGAAGCCCTGTGCATGATACGACATGGGAGTACACTACCCCACAACTGGTTTCCACACGCCCAACCGTTGGGGAGGAGGATTTTTTTTTTCACGCTTCCACCTGGAGTTTTTCACTTTCTCTTCTCCTCTCCTCGATACGACAGCTCTCCATTCACTGCACCGTGCGTTTCAATGGACGATTGGAGGGGAAAGGAGAGCGAGATGAACGATTCAAACACGACCTCACACTGGGTTATTGCAGAGGTTTCCACGTTATTACGATTGGTTCCTCAAGCATAGGCTGGTAACTGCGTTTTTGATACATTTGCAGAATTCGATGAACCTGTTGGCTCGATGGCTTGCTACTAGCATTTTGTGAAAAGTTGTCCATTAAGCTAAATTAAAATCGTAGTATGATACATGATAGTTTACATAAAGAGGTCCGACTAGATCTGGTCACTCGGCTATATCACGAGCACCAGGCCGAAAATCAATCCAAAGACCCCGGAAGTGAGTCTCAGGGCACCGGCTGCGTTCTCAGCGGTCTGTAGTGCAGGAACTGTGGTGGAGTTGTGGGCCGACGTGAACACAGTACTGATGGAAGACGAAACTGTGGAGTAGGTAGTCAGCACCACTGGTACGTCCGAGATGATGGAAGTGAACACCTTGGAAGTCACGCTAGGAGTTCCCTCAATGATTTGTGAAACGGTCGCAGGAGACACCACTGGAACGGTACTGGCCGAATATGGGCAATACGTCGTATAGACAGTAACGGTTCCGTCCGAAGTGGTGGTAGCGGTCGTGAGACTTCTCGTCGAGGTCTCGAGATGACACTTATTGTCACTGCAGGATCTGATGGTAAGGGTTGTCAGTGATGGGCCGTAAACCTCTGTCTCGGTGACCGTGACGGTCGAATCGCCGATGGAAGAATCAGCAGATTTGGAGGGATTGGGCACAACGCTTGTGTAGACGACTTCACTGGCAGCACCGGTGATGGTAGATGCAGAAACCGCTTTTTCTGTGGTCCACGTAGTACACTTGCCCTTTGCTCCACACTTGGTCAAGGTGACAGTGACGAACGAAGTAGGGTCGACAGTTGAGGTCACCGCGACGGGGTCGTCAATCGAGGAAATTGTTCCAGTGGAGTTGAAAAGATCGCACGAGCTCGTAGTCAGGGTTTCAGTCACGTAAACGTCTAGTGTAACATCTGAGCTGGTGGTGTCTTTGACGTGGTGGTCCGTGGCTGTGGCTGTGGACAGGGGCACGTCGCTCGTGATGGTGGTCAAATGACCATTCTTGGAGGTAGTGTACACACTGACAACTTCCGAGGTCGTCCAGGTCGAACACGAGTCTGGATCGTCGCAGTCGGTGAGAGTCAAGTACACGGTTTGTCCATTGGTGACAGTGGTTGTGGGGTCAGCAGTGGAAGTTGGGAAGGGCACAACCGATGTAATAAGAGTCACGTGACCACTCACAGTTGTCTCGTAAGAGTATTCAAGTTCTTTGGTGGTCCAAGTAGAGCATGAGGAAGTTCCATTGGAGTAGCCACATGAGCTGAGTGTCTCAGTTAGAGTCACGTATTCGGTGGTGGTGGCATCGATACCAACAGAGTCGGTGTAGGTTGGGTCCGCATACACGTCGTCGTAGGTGTAGTAGAGCGTGCTCGTGGAGGTGTGAGTGGTTGTAGAGTCAATCACGCAGCTTGTGCTGGAGGAGTTCCAGTAAAAACCAGGTCCATAGGAGGAAGCAGCGAGAGCGCGGGAGGCAAATGCTATCACAGGTGCAATTCTAAGACACTTCATGGCAGAGCAATAAGGCAACTAAGACAATTGCAAATGGATAGGTGGAACGGTGAAGAAACAGAACAAGGGATTTTTGCTCTGCCCCGTGCAAGCCATCCTTATATAACAATCATCTCCCAGAAAAGGCTGGTATATTTCCGGAATCATTTAGCCCAGTTTTTGATCTGATCTGATGAAATCGCATCACCAAGCAGGAAGGCTGGTCATCGCTGCGGCCGCAAAAGGAAATTTGTCGTGCATCAATCAATATAACCGCATAATCCTGCCGAATGCGGTAATTCACCGACCCGCCATCCATCCCCACGCACCAGCCACCCGGGGGCTTTTTTCAACGGCAAGCCATCTCACTGTGCATCAGTCACCGGCCGATTTTCGATGGCCATTGATCAGGGTGCATTGCCTGACAGTTACTCGGGCTACGGATTCGGTACTGTGATAGGGTCTTAATCTTTTGCATGTCAGCCTGTCTTCTCTATTATTTCTTAATCTTTTCTTTCTTAACCGAACAACCCATCATCAATGTCATCCTCAAACTCCTCCAATCTGTCGTCATCATATGAATTATCAGAGTCTCCTTCCGCTTCGGAATCATACTCATCGGACGAATCTGTGTTCACATTAACAAGTCCACTCAGCGTGATATTGAGCAAAGTTTCGCCCTTGACCTGTGTAGATTTGGCCACTATATAGCTTCCTTCAACATTGCAATTCGTCAGTCTACACTTGGAGTGTAATTGAGCTCCTAGACCAACAATGCAGTTCTCCAACTGAACATCGTCTTCCAAAACAACGTTGTCCATGAGAATGCATCCAGTGAGACGACACCTCTTGCCAATGCGGCAGTTTTTGCCCACGACTGAGCGCTTGACACTTGTACGTTCTCCAAGCTCGGTACCATCACCAACCAACGAGTCTGCACCCACAGTAGCAGCTCCCTTTTCCTTTGGAGCCATATGTCCGTGGCCAGCCCCGGCAATGTTCTTTGCCATGGCTTTCAAGAACCACCTATTGACCTCCATGTAAACGGCCAGGTTGTTGCACCGTGCGAACGTGCACACATCAGGCGCGATGAAAAGCCCCAGGGTCTCCTTAGGATCACCGTGTTTCCATGAACGTCTTGCAAGTTCACGTTTGACCTTGGTAATCGATCTTCCCGCAACGGCCACCTTTTCTTCCTCCAAGATCTTAGGAACTTTTTTGGAGAAGAAAAATATCGAAGAGTCAAGTAGCTTAGTCGAAACAGATGCCCGTGGAAACCTCCACAGCATCTGCGTCCGCACCTTCAAAGCCTTGGAAACACTCACAGATTGCTTTGAGTACAGATCCAACAGGCAGATCGAGCCGTCCTCTTGGGTTGCGTAGATGGTGTAACCAGTCTTCAAGGTCTTCTTATCGAGATTTTCAAGCGTATTGTTGTAGTGCACACCCATCCCCAGATCAACATCATCTCGGCTCCGATATGCTTCTATCAGCACCTGTGGCGGTAAATCAGTAATAAAATCGCACGGCAGTATCACCGTGTCCATATTGAGCCGGTCTTTCAACGCTGTTAAAGCAGAACCTGTGTTGGAAGACTCGAACAAGAAGTAGTCCATTCCACTGGACTGCACCAGTTCCGGGTCACGCTTGGCTTTGTAGGTCTCAACAATCTTCGCGATTGAACCATCGTCCTTGTTACAGGCCACGGTTACCTGTTTGAATGGAGCCTGGTCGCACCATTCCAGTACGTACTCCAGCATCGCCCGGTTGGCTATCGGCAGACTCGCCTTCGGAATGCCACTTTCGCGGGTAGCCGAGAACGGCGCGAGATCGCTGCCGTCACCACAAAATATGACCGCGTGGAATTCCATCTCCAGCTCTTGACTGTGGTTTTATGCTCTTGTCCCCGTCAGTGACTAATCTGGAGGCACCAAAAATCATTGGGGCGTGTGCCAAAGTTGAAAAATGCCTGGGAGACCGGGTAACCCAAACAATATGGGGTTCACACGACAAACATCTCGTCCTCGCCAGTGGCAACATCTAAGGACTACGTGTGGGTTCTTATTTGATGCAGAACAACACCCCAATTCCCAGTTCAATTGAGCTTTAAATCGAGATTGGCAGACCATAATGAGCTCTGAAAATGATCCCCTACTTGCCGCATTGGCTTCCGAAGAATCGCCGGATGTCGCGCAACCAGTGGACGAGGAACGGGAAAGGGCTCTGACCCAGTTCAAGAACAAGCTGATCGAACACAGACAATGGGAGTCGAGACTGAAACAATTGCGGATGAGCATACGAGGACTGGACAAGGATTTCCAGAAGACGGAGGACGATATCAAAGCATTGCAGAGCATTGGCCAGGTTATTGGTGAGATTCTGAAGCAGCTCGACGATGAGCGGTTCATAGTAAAGGCCTCTTCGGGACCACGTTACATCGTTGGATGCAGGAGCACGATCAAGAGAGAGAAACTCAAGCAGGGAGTCCGTGTGGCGCTGGATATGACCACTTTGACTATCATGAGGATCTTGCCAAGGGAGGTTGATCCTCTAGTTTACAACATGACCACGTTTGAGCCCGGTGAAATCTCGTTTGGCGGAATCGGTGGTCTGACAGAGCAAATCCGTGAGCTTCGTGAGGTGATTGAGTTGCCTTTGAAGAACCCAGAACTGTTTTTGAGAGTTGGAATTAAACCACCAAAGGGTGTACTCTTGTACGGGCCTCCCGGTACCGGAAAGACACTTCTGGCGAAGGCAGTGGCAGCCACCATCGGTGCGAATTTCATTTTCTCGCCAGCCTCTGCAATTGTTGACAAGTACATTGGTGAGTCTGCCAGGTTGGTGAGGGAGATGTTCAGCTATGCCAAGGAACACGAGCCTTGTATCATATTCATGGATGAGGTGGATGCCATAGGAGGCCGTAGATTCTCCGAGGGTACCTCTGCGGATCGTGAGATCCAACGTACTTTGATGGAACTGTTGAACCAGATGGACGGTTTTGATTACTTGGGCCAGACCAAGGTTATCATGGCCACCAACAGACCAGACACCTTGGATCCAGCTCTGTTGCGTGCCGGTAGATTGGATCGTAAAATTGAAATCTCGCTTCCCAACGAGAGTGGAAGACTGGAGATCTTCAAGATCCATTCGGCAAAGGTAAGAAAGCAGGGCGAGATCGATTTCGAAGCCGCCGTCAAGATGTCAGATGGATTCAACGGAGCAGATATCCGCAATGTGATAACCGAAGCTGGTTTCTTCGCTATTAGAGAAGAGAGAGACTACATCGTTCAGGGAGACCTCATGAAAGCCGTTCGCAAGGTAGTTGAGAGTAAGAAGCTGGAAGGTAAGCTTGATTACGAGAAGCTGTGAAGAAGCATGAAGCGTGATTGGCTCTTTCTACGTACTAGAAATGATATAAGCATCGGCCAACGAAAATAATATTCGTAGATGTTCCGTAAATTCGGCATGGTGTATATACAGGTCGAAAACTCGATTACCTCTCTTTGAGGCACGTCTAGTTGTCGCTCTTCTTCCCCTTCTTCTTCTGATCGCCAGCCATCTTGCTGAGGTAGTAGCGCATGTCTGGATCCTGGATCTTGCTGAAGTAATCAGCCACCTTCTTTCCAATAAACTCTTCCACTTCTGGGCTGATTTCCTTGATCTGCTTGGCCCTGATATCGGCTCTCTCCTTGAAGAAGGCCTTCTTGGTCTCCGAGAACGGCATCTTTGGAGGAGTCAGCCTCTTGAGATCGCTCTTGGTTATCACCTTGCGGTCCCACTTGTATGGTCTCTTTGCGAGTGGATCTCTCAGACTGAGATAGGCCTCTTTGGAGACATCACAGCTCACCAGAGAATCAGGGAAAAACGTTCTCTCCAGGACGGTTTCTTGCGGCGTGCAAAGACCATCATCCGTGATAGGATCTGGGCGAGGCCATGGAATGATGATATGCTCGTGGTTCTTTATACATCTGTAGGGCAGCATCTTGTTGTAGTCCGAGTCATAGTACTTCCCTCTGTAAACGATGTCGTCAGCAGCAACATCCCTCTCGGTTCCGTCTTCCTCCTTTATTGTAGTCACAAGCTTGAAAGAGTCAGCAGTCACAGGAACTGGATAGTCAACCAAGTATGATTCCTGCTGGCGCTCCCACAAAAGGAACGGAATCGAGGCCTTTTTCGTCTGGCCATGCTCCAAGAAGTACGAGTTGTTGGACTTCTGCAAACTGAGGATGCTTGTCACTGTGCCCTTGTTTGGACCGGACGTAAGCAGTACCCTGTCACCAACAACGAACTTCCAGTCCTCCATGGTTTGGTTTTGTTTTGCTTCTGGAAGAGGTTCTCTCCCGTCCCTCAGGAACGGCAGCTGGCCCTTCTGAAACATGTTCTGGAATGCGGAGGCACGGTATCCGAGCCTCTCAAAGTTGGCCGCATATCTACCTGCCTTTGCAACTTTTGAAGACATGTTTGTTTCGGTGGGAGTGGAGTTGCAGGATGAGAGAACAGTTACGGCTTTGTCGTGCGAAATTGTCGTCGAGGTAAAAAATGGCGTCGTGTATTTCCCAAAGTGAAAACCCGGACGCGCACGACGAAATCTGGGGTGAAGTCTAGGTTGGAGCCAATTACATGCTTAAAAGGAGATTGGAACGGAAGTAATAAAATATACATTGGCAATTAGAATAGTAACACAGATAGTCCAGTGGATGCCATTTTGGAACTCCGGGCAGTGGCGGAGCCACCCACTGGCATCTAGTTCTCCGTACAGATGTTGATGAACTCTTCCTCGTTGACTGAATAGCGTTAGTAAAAGCAAAAAACATCCCCATGAAAACTGTCTTTTACCTACTTTCTCCATCCTCATCCAGATCGAACTCATCGATCATCGCTCTAAGCTCGTCGTCGCTGAGATTCTCTCCCAGCTCTTTGGCAACCCTTCTCAGGTTGCGGAGACTGATCTCTGGTTAGCACATGATGACTGAAAAGCTGGATAAAAAAAACTCACCTTATCTTCCCCGTGTTATCGTCGTCAAATAACTTAAAAGCCCGGCGAATCTCCTCGAGTGGATCTCTCTTCACGATCTTCTCTCCGACTATGGGGTGGAGTTAGTATAAGACAACAAAGTTGTGGCTAAAAGTAGGGACAAAACCCGATATTCTCCAACAGAACAATTGCTGTATCACTTACCAACCCTGTAGAAATCGTCATAGTTGATAAGCCTCTTGTTATCGCTGTCGTATTCATGTATGATATCCAAAACTTCTCTTTTAGACATGTCAAATCCCAAAGCTCTCAGAGCCACCTTGAGTTCATGATAATCCAAATATCCATCGTTATCCATATCGAACAGAGAAAACTTGTCTTGTTAGTCAGAGTCTTTGATCCACAAGAGATCATACAACAGCTCAAACCATTACTTACGGCCTCGCGAATCTCCTGCCTCTGCTCATCCAGAAGCTCCATGCGAATCTGTCTGCTGTTCTTAATTCCGACAACGCCCGCGCTCATCTCGTAATTGAACTAAGGTTTATCACCAATCGTAAAGACCCCGGCTAAAACGAGCCGTTTTCAAGGATATGCGGTTCACGAAAAACGCGTCGCGATGACCGGTAAGTGCACGACCCACATGTATTGACTATCGCGGCTATCACAAGACCAACGCCTCACCACGTCTTGAGAAGAAGATACCCCTTAACAACAATGGAAGGATTGCGTTTGGAACAAAGGGTCAGTATCCAGGGAAATGCAGGTGTTGTGAGGTTTGTAGGCAAAACGGAGTTTGGGAAGGGTGATTGGGTTGGCGTTGAGCTAGACCATGCTGTTGGTAAGAACGATGGTTCTGTCCAAGGAGTTCGGTACTTTGAGTGCCAAAACACAGATTCAGGAGCTTTACATGGACTGTTTGTCAGACCTACTATTGTGGTTTCTCTTTCAGCCGATTCAAAACGCGAATTGGGCGAACAAGCCTCTTCCACAGACATCTCAAGAGAGCAAAAGCTGGAGTTGTTGGTTCGAAGGTTGGAGTTCAAGCTCAAAAGCTCCACCCAAGAAATAGCTGCTCTCCAACAGAACATTGCAGATTTTGGTCTTGAAAACCAGCGATTATTGGTTGCAATAGAGGAGTTGGAACGTTCCATGGAAAACGTGGTGATGGAGAGAGAAACATTTTCGGATTTGAGTGAGAGTTTACAGTCTCAGTTATCCGAACTTGACAATAACTACAATCTGCTTCTTCAGGAGTATGCCAAGGCGAAGAACGAGCTTTTGAACAGTAAGGAGATGGAGGAACGGTCTGTTGCCCTTGGGCGAGCAGACCCGAACAATGGAATGATTTTGGCCAAAAACGAGGCTCTAGAGAGAGATATGGAGCGATACTCTTCCCGAGAAAAGTCACTTTTGGAAAAGATAGAGCTTTTGGAGAAGGAGACCGAAAAGCACACCGATATTTTGTCAACCTTTAACGAGCTACAGCAGAAGTACGCGGAATCGCAGAGTGCATTAATAGAGCTGAAATCCCAGCTTGCGCTTCTGTCAGAGTCTCAGGAACTCGTGGAATCGTTGACTGAGAAAAACGTGGCTCTTTGCGAGGAGATCGAAGCACTGGAGGAGAGTATTAGACAGGGAGCCGAGTCTAATCTCACAATTGGAAGCCTACTAACTCAATCACAGGCCAACGAGTCAAAATTGATGACGCAAATCGAGGAATTAACTCTCGAGAAGAAAAAATGTCTAGAGAATCTTGAAACTGCTGCTGAGGAGAATAACAGCCTTGTTCAAGAAGCTGAAACTTTGCGTTTTCAGCTGCGTTCAAATGGTGCTCAGGCTCTGGATGGGCACGGGATCGCAGATAAAAGCGGCAGTTCTTTACAAAGAGAACTTGCTTTGAAGACTGATCGTTTGAAAGCGCTTCAGTACCAATCTCGGAGGCAGCAAGTCAGGCTTGAGAAAGTCGAACAGCGACTTCTCACTGCTCAGCGTATGATTCCTGATTCGGATGTCAAAGAAGCTCTGACCAAATTAGGTGAACTTTCTCAATTGGAGCAACTTGCTGAAGAGCTTGGAGCTGCTTCGTCTCATTTGCAGGCCAGAGGTCCTCAGTTTCATGACACTTCTGTGCAAGTTGCACAATTGGCAGCGGAATATGACTATGTGTTGCACAATTGGAGATACAGCTCTGATGGATCTTCCAGAATTGCAGACTTCATTAGTCTAATGTTGTCAAAAACACAGGAACTGCTTGAAATTTCACAATCCGGGGAACCCAAAGAACTCGATTTGGTGCTTAGCGCTATTCATGGAGACACAGGCTTCTTCATTGATGAGAATCTGGGACCAATCAACAGACGCGAAAACATGATATATCGCCTCAGGGTGGAAGCTTTCATTCCCGGGAAACGTTGCTTAGCTGTTCTGGAAGCTCTCCCTCAATCTGAGCAGACCAAGAATCTCCTCGAACTTTTGTACAAACTTTGTGGCGAGATCGAAGAAAAGCTTGATTTGCTCTTGCAGAAAAGAAAGAACTTGCAAGAGGTGAAGAGCACGTTTGGTACGGATACAGGATCCGTTTTGCGTGATGTTCTCGCTGAAGTGCGAGGCAAGGACCGAGCCTTTTTAGAGGTTTCAGCCGAGTTCACTAGACGTATTGAGCACTGTTTGGAGGAACTAACCAGTATGGAAATCACGATACAGGGTACGTCAGTCTCATACGTTGATGGCATTTTGAAATTATTGAAGCAGAAAGAAGAGGAAACGCGATCCAACATCGAAGAGGCAGAAAAGCTTAAGAGAGACGCTTTGGATATGGCACTCAGACTGGTGAGCCAGAATAAGCTTTGCGGCGAGCTAAGTGCGCGGATTGTTGCTTTAGAAAGAAGACTGGAGAATACAAAACACAGCGAAGATGATCTTCTGTGGATCAGGTCCAAACTGGATGTACTGAAGAGCGAAAACGAAAATCTCTTAGAGATGAAGCTTGATCTTCTGTCCAAAAATGAAGAACTCGAGACGAAAATGAACCAAATAAAGAGAGATAACAAACTGTTTGGAGACTTCAATACCGTCTATGAGGAGAAGGAATTTGCTGGGAAGGCCGAACTAGTTTCAGAGATTCATTCGCTGAGAACGGCTGTGTCGATCTTCCAGGATCGGAGGAGGAAGACGGTTGATCTTTCATGGCTGAACGAGGAGGTCTACAAGGCACCAGAATACGTTGCTTCGACGTTGGAGGCTGGCACAAGGACATTGGCTCGTACAATAGTGGGTATCCAGTCGCGATATCGGGTTCTCCCCGTGGGAAGATACGAGAACTGGAGACCCAGGGCCTCAATGCCGGGACACCAGGCAAATCTTATGAAAGAGGAGTTGGGAAATTACAATTCATTGAAGGCGTTGGTATTTGGAAGAAAGTTAGTGGGTTAAAGGATCACCATGCAAATGTTGGGCGTGGCTTTGGCGGAAAGTCAACTGAGTGGAAACTGGTGACGTTAGTCACGCTCCAGTCCTATATCTGAAACTTCTTCATCCCATTCCTTTTCTTTCTCGGCCACTTCTTCACAATCTCGATGCTATCGCCAGGATACCACCACTCGAGCAAAGTCCATAGGAATATGTCAACCACTACACATAGCACAAACAATTTGCCTGCAAACAGTCCGCATTCATAGTGGCCAACGAGTCGGGTGAGAAGATCAGGCTTGTCCTGAGCATCAATTGCCCGGTAAACAGACTCGGTTCTTGCTGCAACATCGCCCCAGTCATACATGTCTTTAATTCGTCCGTGAAACCTGGAGGTGTCGATGGTGCCCTCTTTGATGGAAGCAACTGCTTCCGTGAGCGCATCCACCAACGAATCCTCGTCTGGATTGGCAAACACTGTCATTTGGCTTGGAAGAACTTCGGGGATTCCACCAACTTTGGTGGTGACGACTAGCAAACCGCAAGACGCGGCCTCAACCAAAACGGTGCCAAAGGCCTCTGTTAGCGAAGCATGTAGGTAGATGTGGCCCTGGATCATGACATCGCGAACCTCTTCGTGTTTTACACTTCCAATGAGCTCAACTCGATCCTGGAGCTGATATTGTTCGCGCATCTGTTCCAGATCGATGAACTTCGGGCCATCACCAGCAATCAAGAAGTTGAGATATGGAATCTTGGAGCAAACCCGTGGAATTAGTGCCGTCAAAAGGTCCGCACCTTTGTTTTGGAACAATCGCGACATTACCACCACTGTTATATGGTCCGTTGAAGGTGGCTTTTGGGCCGGCTGAAAATCTTCAGCGATGACAGCATTTGGGATAACTGAAACCCGCGTCGGGTCAATAGTTGCCCGCAGTACAGTGTTCTCCTTGCAAGTGTGCGAAACACATATGACATGGTCGATGTCACTGAGAGTGAATTTGAGGAGTTTGTTTCCTAGAATTGACCCTACATCCGCAAATCCAAACAGCGAATGGTCAGTGAACACCGTCTTGAGCCCCATGGTATTGGCATGGAAGATGCCCTCGTGGCAAAGCGAACTGAAGGTTCCGTGGCCATGAACAATGCTAATTTTCTCGCGAATGTATATATTTCTCAGAATTGGAAACGCCGAGAAGACGGAAGGAAACGTAGCTTCACGGTAGAGAACCGCGAACGGAACGTAGTAAACCTTGAGTCCATTGGTCAGCGTTCGCACGCCCGTTCGGTCACCATAAGCGTGTGTAATAACCACAACTGAGTGTCCTCGTTCAATCAGTTTTTGAGACAAATGGTAGATATGTAGCTCCACCCCGCCAGGCTGGGGGTAGAAGAAGTCTGAGAGCATGCTGTAGAAAGACGGAAGGTGATTAGTACACTGTGACGATGATTGGCAGTGAAATTCACTTACGCTATATTATACGGCATCGCGGCATGATTTTGGAAACAGACTGTATGATTTGGGTAAATTGAAGATGCAGTTGTAGGTGAATGTATGATGCTGTTTGGATGATTGTAGGCTCAGGCTGGGAATCTGGAGAGGTGGTGATAATTGCGGCATATTTGGTTGGAGCACTACTGCGTGTATTTTCAAAGTTCTAAGTTATCTACCGGTTGTGGCACTACTACAACATTGGATGCCAAATGGCCTGTTCGCCAAGCTACAACTCCAGCACAACTCTCTTGCAACAGCCAAACCGGAGATGAGTGGCTACAATCATTTGCCACTAGAGCCTCCTCCATATGTGCCGGACTCTGATGATGAGAGTGCACCGCTGAGGTCGGGTACTGACACCGGCACCGGCACCAGCACAGAAACAGCCCGGCCGTTTGAACCTTTTGAGATAGAGGAACCTTTGGCCAATGGAAGTGGTTCCAGAGCCGGGGGATTGCGAGATGCCACAATTAATTCGACACAGGAGGTTTTCAATCGTGCAGGGGAAGCCGGGCAGAGGTTTGCCGACACGTTCAGTTCCAAGGTGGTGATGCCGATCACCAATGCTTTGGACCCGCTTTGCGCAGCATACAGGGCGCTCCATGTGCGATTCGACCAGCTGGTCGGCAAAATAGGCAATCCGTTGATTGTTAAGAGACTTTTTTATGTGATCGTGGTGGCGTCCGTGGTATATGTGGTGACGCTTTCGGGGCTATACCCAGAGTCTGCTGGCTCATACAATGGCGATTTTTTCGATCAGCAACAGCTCCAGCAGTTTGTGGACGACAACGTCGATGTAAAGAGAATGGAGGAGAACTTACAGTATTTTTCTTCGATGCCTCATGTTGCCGGAACGGCTGGCGACTTGACCCTAGCCAGGTACTTTGAGAGAATCATGAAGGATGCAGGTGTTTCAGTTGAGGAGTTCAGTGAATTTAGTTCATATGCTGAGTATGGGGCTAACCAAAGCTTGAAACTTTATAAAGGGAATGATGTTGTTTTTGAGTCTCCTTTGATTGAGCAGACAGACGAGAAAAAAGCCCAGAAGGAGGTGAAGAGAGCTGAAAAGACAGAGCAAACAGAGTCAATATCCGGAACGGCTCAAAAAGCCCAAACGACCGACGCCGACCCCCTTCTTTCTTTCAACCCTGGATCATGCTCTGGAACTTCAACTGGACACCTCGTCTACGCCAATTACGGAACGCGTGATGACTTCAAGTTCCTGGTGGAGTCCCAAGTCGACCTGACCGGCTCGGTTGTGATGATGAAGTACCATGGTGCCGACTCCGCCACGGGGGAGTCGATACAGGAGGGAATGAAGGTCAACATAGCCCGCGGGCTTGGAGCCATTGCAGTGCTCTTCATCAGCGACCCTCGAAATGGAGCTTATACTATGGACACGGTAGAGCGTCATGGAATGGACATTTCGCGAGTTCGACCTGGAAACAGCGCAGGGCAAGACATGGAAGATTCAATGGAGCGACTGGATTCTCTTCCAGAAATCCCTGCGGTGCCAATCTCATGGCGAGAGGCAGTGCCGTTACTGAAGACGCTGGAGTCTCTCGGAATTCAGGCTCCGGATTCCTGGAAATTGAACTTTGCCGGTGAGCCATGGACAGGCAGCAAAGATACCGAGTACAGTGTCGAGGTGACTTTAGACCCTGCCAAACGGCCACAGAAGGCAATGTGGAACGTGATTGGGAAGATAAAGGGAAGAGAACAGGACGAATTGGCAGTCGTGATTGGCGCGCAGCGCGATGCTGTTAGTGAAGGTACGATTTATCCCAATACTGGCTCCACGATATTGGTGGAACTGATAGCACTTTTTGCGGAACTCCAGCATGCTTTCAACTGGAAACCGCTTAGGTCCATCTACTTCGCTTCTTTCGATGGAACTGAGTACAATTTAGCCGGTTCAACAAATCTAGCATCTCAAAAGGTACACACTTTGAGGCGGGAAGCATATGCTTATATTGATCTTAGTGATGCCGTTTCCGGAACATCTAAACTTGGTGTTTCGGCCCATCCGATGCTTTGGTCGACTATTCGCAAGTCATTACGTCTAGTTCAGGACCCCGTTCATAACCGCACTTTGGACGGCGCTGTCGAGGGGATGGAGACGCTACGGGATGCTTCCAAGAACTACATACCGTTTATGTCCTATCTGGGAGTTCCTTCGATGGAACTACGGTTCTATGGCGACGATTATGCGAAGGGGTCTGCTCAAGACTCCTTTGAGGCCTTCAAGAGCAAGAACGTTGACGAAGGAATGGAAGCCCACAAGGCCCTGAGCGCTGCTCTGGCCAAGATAGTTTTGGCTTTGGTTGAAGAACCCATGATTCCGTTCGATATAGTTGAGTTCGCGAAGGCCATGGACCATTACCTCCGGGATCTCGGGGATTACGCAGAGGCTAAAAAGATGAAGCTGGATACTAGTGGTGTTCTTAAAGAGCTTCTGAGATTGAAAGATGCCGGGCGTCAGTACGATTCATGGCTCCAGGCATGGCAGGAAATTGTGACTTCCAGTGGTGGGACGGAACCCACCCTTCTTTCGGTGAACAGATGGACGTGGAACTCAAAACTTTCCCAGATCGAGAAGTCGATGCTTGCAGATCCAGGTGTCCGCGGACGTGAATGGTACAAGAATCATGCTTTTGGGCCTCAACTATGGGGTCCAGATGGACTGCGCTCTGACGGATCCGCCTACGAATGGGGCACTTTTCCTGGTGTCAGAGATGCGATTTTCGAAGGTGACGAGGAATTAGCACGGGTACAGCTCGATCATGTGAGGCAGCTGTTTGATATCTTGACTCGGGGGTTTGGAACTTGAGTTACGGATGAAGAAGATAAAGAGGAGAATAAGAGCAAGAGAAGTAGCGACTCTGAAGTGAAGAGTATGGGGAATAAGCAATACAAGAGATATGGTAAAGATCGGGACTGAGACAAACATTGAAGTAAGAGAATGAGACTAATATCTCGACAGTAATTCCGAATGAGTGGATACCACCACAGCTAACCTAGTCGATAACAACGTTCGGAACGAGAACGACGGCATCAAGTAAATGCACCCTTTGCATTTTACTAATGCGGAGCAAATTTGGTGCTCGCACGAGAATGGCACCACGAACAGAATGCTTTGGAAACGAGGCTTCCGAACTCAACACTCTTCTGTCCTAATCACACAAATAATGAATTATCTAGTCCTAAGTCTTGTGATCCCACTTCTGATTATCTTTGTGTTCCACAGGAGTAACGTCAAGGTGGTGGATCCACTACAGGATAGCGGAGCTGACAACGGACCCGTGGTCCAGGGCGAGTTCACGCCGCGGACGCTTTACAAGCACAACGGTTTCGACACAGAAACGATCTACATAGCTGTGAAGGGCAAAGTGTTTGATGTGAGTCGGGCTAGACAGTTCTATGGGCCAAGTGGGCCTTATAGCAATTTTGCTGGCCATGATGCCTCCCGTGGGCTTGCATTGAATTCGTTTGAAATGGGTACGTCATAATGATCTATAAAGATGCCGACGCTAATTACTAACAATCTTCAGACGTGATTACACCAATTGGAGAACCAATAGACACACTCGATGATCTCACAGAACAGGATCACAAGTCGTTGGACGGATGGGAAGAGATGTTTCAATCTAAGTATCCTCAAGTTGGTACCTTGGTGAATGAGTGAATGACTAGGCAACCAGTTGAGATGGCGAAAGCGACAAATGAGGGCAAAGACTTTGGAACATTGGTGTATGATAATTATTATATCGTTCATTATATATGGTCCATAATGACTATCTTCCATTTACCATCGTTCTGCTGAAATCCAATTGCCTGCAATCATTTACTATACATATTTTGGGGTCTTTATGGCGGGACGTATCATAGGCTTACATCGCAGCACATACAGTGTATGCTCAGCTGAATCCATTGTCTATAGTCTATTATGAATAAACTTACTTAACATCAACCAAACTCGTTTCCATATACCTACTCAACGCGGAAAACCTCTTCGAGTCCAACCCACCAGCCCTTTGGATCGGTGCTTCCAGTAGAGCCTTCAACCAAGGTCTGTTGCATTCCATCGGTGATCTTCCACCATTCGGCATTGGCGGGCTCGTTGCGCATCAGCTCGCTATCACGCTCAAGATCATCGCCAAGATATTTGAAGTTGGCAATCAGCAGCTGGAAGTGTTCGGAGTAGAAAATGCTGTAGTCATGGATGTTGTATTTTTCAATCAGGTTGAGAACAGGAGAAGGCACTTTCTTGTGAATCTCAATGTACTCAGCAAGACGCTCGGGCTTAACCTTGACGATCTGGCAAATTCTCTTTCCTTGGTAGGCCATCTTGTGTTCGATTGGATTGAATTGATAAAGAAAGAGAATACGAAGAGATTTAGCGGGGAAGGTCCTTGATAGATTTGGTATGGAGATGGTCTCGGGGTGTTAATAACACGAGGTCACGTGATTACAGAAAGTTGATTTCACACTTCCAAGATGAACTTCTTGTGCCAGACACGTAATGATCAGATAACAGAGACTTAACACCACGCAAGTGCCTCCAAACCATTCCCTGGATGGCACAGATCAAAGATTCAAGTAACTCTGAGCCTCTCCATACAATGTACTTTAAAGATCCGGTGCCTGGTTAGTCTACCGAGTTAGAATACCCCCATCATTGACATCATTCTACGTCAGAAGGCATACCGGTCCGATGAAGACCAAAACCAAGGCAGCCACCGGCGCGCCTAGTGGGTTTAAAAGCATCACGTGACCTGCCAATTTTTCCACCCGGCGGAACGAGTCCACCGGTCGGGGCGGCTTTTGTCCGTGCACGTCCACTCATTTGGGGTTTGACCGGTTGTCTGAGCAGCTGTTCGGGCAGTTATCGAGATCGTGGTCAAGGCATATAATGGTGTTGCTTGCTGAAATCATGGTCTAGAAATATCCTGTTGCAACGCTCTCGCAACGCAGCAATTGCACCAATATTCAGCTATTTCCTAAAGCGGCCTTCCAAAGTCGCTCGGCCGCGTGCGATGCCCTGCAGCCCGTTTTCGGGCTGCCGATAACCTCTGTGCAGCCATTTATCCCATTTTTGTGGAATCAGACAAAAAATTCTGCATGATGCCGAAATATATATATATGTAGCCCGTAGAATAGATTTCCGTATAGCATATTGGATGAAGAACCAAATTCTAATTCACAATGTCTGAATACCCTACTGCTGCTGCCGAAAAGGCATTGCTGCTTGAAGACATCCAAGATGTTGAAGCCATGGAGTTGCCAAAGAGAAGGAGCCACCACACACGCTGGGTTTCTGTTCTCATTGCTGCTTCCGTTTACTGTGCTATTTTCTTGTTCGTTCAGCCTTTGAGACAATTTTTGCCTGCTTCGCTGCTTTCGTTGGTCCCTCAATTGGCACCATCCCCAGCACCAGCCGCACCAACCCAAGTGTTCGAGGTGCTGAGACCAGTGACTGTTCCTCTTGGTTCTTATGTTGAGTCTTCCGTCTGGTTCAATGCTACTGAACTTGCTGATGGAATAAGCGTGGAATACTCTGCTCCTGAGACTTTCAACTTTACCGGGGTTGCTCTTACCTTGAACTTCACCGCTGCTGGAGCCCAGGCTCCTATCATCGCGGACGTCTACATTGACGACCATCCAGTCTGGAGGACTTCCACGCCAAATGCCTTAGGCTTTGTGTCAAACTCTTCGACTTCCAAGAATGTAACCGAATTTCTGTCTCTTTTCACCGAGAACAGGACCGTTTCCTTGCAGATTGTTGACGGTGCCATCAGTGACCTCGAGGTCTCTCTTGAAGCCGTTTTCTACAACGATTCACTGATTGTCGCCGATCCAGTGGCTCCAGTTGCTCCAATTGATGTCGGCTCATTGTTCGTCGCACATGGTCCAGCCGATCTTGTGTTTCCAATTTCCAACGCTGGTAAGGCTTTCCAATTGCCAAAGGACAAATTCTCTGTCATTTTGCCTCAACTTTCCGAGAACACCACAGTGGCCAAAATTAGCATTTTCGCATCACCTTCCGAGGAAGAAATCCGTTACTACCAGAATAAGATTGGCAGCATTCCAGGTGCTTCAGATGTCGGCCCAGTCCGTACTTTGAACGTGTACGTTGACTCCGTCTTCTTGGGTGCCATTTCTCCAAACCCAGCCCAACTCAGAGCAGACCACATTGGCGAATCTGCTGACGCCGCCAAATTGTGGGTCCCAGTTGCCGCTGGTGGAGCATTTGATGCCCTTTCCTATGATCTTGATTTGACCTCTGTTCTGCCTCTTCTGTGGGCTGACGAGACCACCCTCGTCATCGAGGTTGTTTCGCCAGTTAAGGGTTCTACGATTGGACCCGGTGTTCCTCCAGCTGTTCCACACCCAGTTCCAGCTCCAGGTACCAGCCAAATTCCTCAATCAAGATGGGATCTTTCTGGTAATTTGCTTGCTTGGGAGTCTTCTCTCGTCAATGCCTCTACTGGAGCTGTTATCCTTGCCGACTCTCTCGAGAGTGGAACTGGAATGGTCATTGCTCCTCCAGGTGGATTCACCCAGAACCAGATTGTTAGATCACGTATACAGTCTGGTATTGAGACTCAGCTCAACTTCACTCTTGCTGATGCCTCGGTCCACAACCTGACTGCCAAGTTCAACACCTCCGGCGATGTTTTCGCCATCACCCAGACTAAAATGGCCGGTGCCTCGAGCCTTTTCACTTTGATCGGCTCCACCAAGGTGGGTCTTTCGGTTACAGACTCTGCTCTGGGGGCCATTTTGGACACTCCAGTGTACACCTTCAACGCTTCGACCTCATTTCCAATGATCATCAAAGAGACCAAGGCCACCATCCCAGTGTGGGGTCCTCCAATTAACGCTTCGCTCGAGGTGAGTGTCAAGTTTGGCCACAAGGTTAAAATAAATGGAGTTTCTGCTCTTTATGTTGACTCCAAACAAAACGGTACCGTTGACTATCTCGGTGTCTCCACCGACTCCAAGGTGATGGAGATCTCGGATGCTTCTCCAGTGCCTTTCACCAGAGAGGTCACAGTCGAGGACGGAATCATCACCAAGGACTCGCTCGTTGCCACTCTTGAAGCTGGTGAATGGGATGACTCCTACGAAGAGTTCCAATTCGTGCTTGCTTCTATGATTGACGAAGAGATGTTTGAATTTTGAGTGAAGCTGAGTGTTTGGGACCCCGATTGACTATGTATTTGAATAATTAAAGGTTTTTATGTTTTTCTTTTGAATTTGATAGTGATAGTAGCGAGGCAATTGAGATATAATAGTGTTTTAATTCAAAATTCAGTTTTTGATTCGATTCAACCGAGAAAGTTTACTCGAGGCAGTACAGAGAAGAGTCAATTTTCATGCATCACTATGACGCACCTCATCTTATCTCCGGGCCTTCTTCCAAGGTGCTCCTTGAGCTTTTTAGCTTACAGAACTGGGGCAGAAATCATTGCAAAGACCAGAACCAAATCAGTTTGTTTTGACCATTTTGCCAGATCATCTGTATTGTGCCCGCTTCACTAATTAACACCGTCCATCTTTTCCAGGCTTCCAGACTTCCAGGCTTCCAGGCGTAAGCATGCATTACTCGATAAAGCACGCTACAACTACCGAAGACCTTGCTCAAATTGCAGAGCTATTCACCGAGTATACTGAGTCTTTGGGAGTTGATTTGACGTTCCAAAACTTCAAAGTAGAACTGGAGTCGCTTCCAGGCAAATATGTCGCACCTGGAGGCTGTCTCCTTCTGGCATCCTCGGATGACTCCGTTCCCGTCCCGCTAGGGTGTGTAGCTCTGAGACCTTTGGGCGATGGATTTTGCGAGATGAAACGGCTCTATGTGAGAACGAATGCACGTGGACTGAAGCTGGGGTTAGCCCTAATGAATGAAGCTGAACGTGAGGCTATTGCTGCCGGGTACATTGGAGTTAGACTGGATACCTTAAGCACGCTTGTCGCGGCACTGTCTATGTATAGAAGTCACGGGTTTGCCGAGATTGAAAGCTATTACGAAACTCCTCTTGAGAATACTGTGTTCTTCGAGAAACGATTCGATAGGGACTGATTGAGTTTTCCAGTGAAAAAGTCTTTCAGCGCTTAAGGGGCGCTGCGGTATAGAATCCGTCAAAATGGACGCTAAACATAACCTGCACTCCATGCCTATATCTTAGTGGTGACAACCGTTTTGAGTGCTGATCATCAACCCCATTTTGACCATGTGCCCGCTATCTTGTTTTGCTAAGCGCCCACAAGCGCCCTAGCCGCCCAAACTTGAACACCACCAAACTTCCCATACAGCGTGAGATTATAAATAAGTTCAACTTTTCCTTTAAGTATTAGCTCAATAATATACTGCTGATTCCGATGTCATAAAATTACCTCGTTTCTAGAATTTTTCCACGTACTCAGTCAAATTTTAAATCCTCTTTCTTCAAGCGCCTGACGCCGCACCAGGAGTGCGCGACCCAACCCCCACTTGAAGAATGTTCCGCAACAAAGCTCTTTCACCAGAACCTTGGCCACAACCAACCATAACCCATCCAAATCTAGAGCGGATCGAAGCAGGTCGTGGCCAATGCAGAGGCGACAACATATGACGCAAAGGGCGTTTTGCCTACAGGTGAGTATGGCCCAGAGCTGGTGACGGCCCAGTAGGCCTCGGACGAACCGCAGCTAACGTTTCAAACACAGCGAACACAGGACTACGACGAGTTGATGAGGCGAATAACAAACACGGAGATAACTGACATTGGGAATTATGCCATAATCCGTCAAATTGCCGAGGGCGCCTTCGGAAAGGTGTTTTTAGCCCAGCACAAGCTGCTTCGGTGCAAGGTCGTGATCAAGAAGGGTGACCGTTCGGTCGAGGCCGGTGGAGATGATAATTTGATGAGGGAATTCTACTACTTGCGGGAGTTTGATCATCCGAATATTACCAAGCTGTACGAGATCATTCTCACGGAAACCCGCGTTTATATGGTGTTACAGTACTATTCAGAGGGAGACCTCTTTGATTACTTAGCACGCCGTGGCCGTCTTCCTTTGGACGAGGCCTCGCGATTGTTCTCTCAAATATTGGGCAGCGTTCATTATATCCATCTGAGTGGATGCTGCCATCGCGATTTGAAGCTAGAGAACGTTATACTGGATAAAAGGCTGGACGCGAAACTTTCTGATTTTGGTTTTGCGCGTGAGATGCCATATTCTGCCAATGGAAAGGGCCTTTTGAATACGTTCTGTGGAACCCCAGCATATATGGCACCGGAGCTGGTCGCCCGCCAACCTTATTCAGGCGTGAAGGTAGATATTTGGGCTCTGGGAGTGATGCTGTACGTTATGCTCCAGGGATATATGCCTTTTGGCGATGACCCGGACTTGCCAACGCTTGCACAGCAACCCAAGTTTGGAGATCATGTTCCAGAGGAAGTAGCTGCACTTTTGCGTTCAATGCTAGCGTATCGGCCCGAGGAAAGACCCGCGACTTTGGCCGATGTTCTCGTTCTTCCTTTTCTTCAGCCATGGGGAGCTGTTCAGCTGGCTACAACCCGTGAATACGCCGAGGGAAAGCACCGCATGACCCCCAGTGAAATTGCACTGGAGCGTTATGCGTTTAAGCGAATTTCCAGCTTCGGCATTGACAAAGAGCTGCTGCGGAAGAATCTGGCGTCCGGTGAGATGGACTCTTTGGTAGGGTTCTGGGAGCTTTTCAAAGAGAAGGAGCGCAAAAGACATCGTCACGCTCGCAAGCTAAAGACGCGAAGCAGGAGCATGTTGAGGTTGAATTCTACGCGCTCAATCATGGATTCGCGGAGTGTGAAGTCAAAACCGGAGACGCAGTCTCCTCTCACTTCACCCCGATTACCAGCCACGCCAACGGCTACTCCAATTCCACCAACTCCAGCCACTCCAGCGACCCCTGTTTATCACCAAAAGTCATTATCTGTTTCCAAAACTATCGATGTGGGCAATGGGTATACTGCTAACTCAGACAGGCGAAGTTCTGTTTGGACCACAGAGTCGAAGAGCAGGAAGCCCTTGCTCCAAAAGCTCAAAACATGGATGGGAAAAGTCAAGAGCATAGGAGGGTCACCTTCACTTTCTTCTAGCACTTCTTCATCCAAACAATCGCTGAACCTGAGCAACGATGAGGCCAGGTCGACTCTGGTGAACTCTGAAGCTAGTGGAAATCACTTTGACGGGACCCCTGAAAAGGCACTCAAGTTCGTTGTTGGAGACCCAGCAGATGAAGACGACGACACAGTCAGTCGCCTGTCTTCTATGGCTACGCCCAAAGATTCCTCCACCCCGTTCTTCCACAAACGAGGCAGCTCAGGTAGGCCTGCAAGGCCTGTTTCAATGGTATCGTCATACTCAGTGCAATCACAGGTCTCGGAGACTTCAGTTGGCTCAGGATATAACACGGGATATTCGACGGATACACCGGGTACTCAACGACCAGCATATACCCGCGCGAGGTCCAGTGAGTATTCGCTCAATTCTCGCAGTGGCATGACAAGCATTGGATTGGCACTTGGAACTGAATCCCCTGGATCTTCTACCACACAGTTATCACGGTCTAATTCCACGGATTCCGGGGCACCTGGTCCGCGTGGCCGTGAAAAACGCCGCTCTAAGAGTAAAGACTCTACCAAAAAGGGCAAGAGCCTCATATTCAAGCGTGGAAAGTCTCCACTCGGGTTCTCGCAGTCGCCAGCGAGCTCTACGTGGTATCTCAAGAACCGAAAGGCAAATCCGCTCGTATTCAACGAGCACCATGGCTCGGACGTTATAGAAGAAGAGGCCTCGGACGATATCCCGTTCCCTAAAACAACCGAGGCTCCTCATCCGCGGTACCAAAACATCCTCGGTGAGATCAACGAGGACGTCAATGGGTCCGAGTATGAAGATGTGGATGACGAGGAGGACGAAGTGGAGGAGATTCTGGTCTCCAAACTCAAGCATTTGTCCGTATAGTCTCAGGTTAGGCAGGGAAAATGTGGAAGAGTAGAAAGAGCTTGGGGACCACGAAAAAGACTTGTGGACACTCTAATAGGCATTTGCTGCCATTAATAAACCCTTTCAACAATATATACGAACACAGACGCTTATATACTCGGTATGCATGAAACACACATCGTGCTGCAGGTCAGCTCAATATTGCGGCTCAAATATGTGTATCACACTAAAAGCAAGAATCATTGCGTCGTGTGCGGCTGAAATGGAGCCGTCTTGTAAGGACCTCTACTCTTCACCAAGCGTCAGAAGCACCAATTTAATCTCATCCAACAACGTCACGGTGAGGCAAAAATGACTTCCGAAATTGTTTCGCGAATATGGGAGGGCAGAATTCCTGTGAGGATTGGTTTGAGTGCACGTGACTCACAGCAGGGACTGGCGCCCTCGGTATTCTATTGTGGCACGTTGAGGAGGAATGGATACATACACGTTGTATTGCCGCTTTTGCTTCGGTTTTTTGCGCCATTTGTTGAAGATAGCTCTGCACTCAAAAGAGATGACTGGTGGCTTGAGTTTGAGGACGTTCCTGTGAAATGGAACTGGCCAATCGGTGTTTCCTTCGACGTGATGACAGGGTTCGACCCCAGTAACGCGGAGCCCGAGCCCCAAGCATGGGAATTAACGCTACATCACAAGGATTATCCCGCCGAATATATTGTGCCGATATTGACACCGCCTCCCAGTGTCAGAAACCAATTTCTGGAGGATTACTGGATAAATCAGATGAAAGAGGCATGTTTCATACTGACCGGTTCTGCCAAACCCATAATGAACCTCTCGAGGGCTAACTCTGCGAACTTCTGGAAGAGTGTGGAAAATCGTAAGTTTCCGAGAGATCACTAATATCTCATTTTTGACATTGATTTATTTTCTATTGTACTAACTACCATCAGACGATCCAAGATCTTTCACTTCGATTCACCACCGATTGATACCGAAACTCTCTATCCGCCAGATACCGATCCGAATATATACCCCGGTTGCAAATAATGTGATACAGCCGATTGTGGCCCCGGTTAATATGAAGACGGGTGCCTTGCTCACTCTTGGTGAGGCCCTCCAGCAGTGTGTCCCGGAGCTGTTCCCAACGTCACTGATGTACACTGTAGCCTATCCGGTTTCTCACGGGGTTATTTTGCCTTTGAGCGTGCCCTTGGAAGAACTGTATGAGCCGCTTGTGTATATCGATGGGTTTTTGCATGTTTCCGTGGTGATGAAGCCAAGCACTTAGGCATCGAAAACGCCCTGAAGCCAGATACGATACATTTTGAGCTGTTTCTTTCTGTTCACAAGAAGCCTTCTGTCTGTGCCGATTTTGCGCTCCTTGAAGACCTTACCGAATATCTGCCGCAGCTCATCTTCCGTGAAGAAGTACACTCTCGTTCCGTCTCCCCGCACGTAGAAGTTGTCATCCAACAGCCTGTTTTTCTTGAAACGCACCTGTGCAAGATCATACCGTCCATAATCACGGAATAGAATATGTCCACCAGGTTTCATCAATTTCTGTAAGTTGTTGACTGCATGGTCCCATTGAGCAGGCTCCAAAGCACTGAATACGAAAACCATGATTAGAATATCCACCGAATGAGGCTCGACAGTCTCGGGAAGCTCAAGATCAGCATTTGCAAGATCCCAAACGCAAGCATGCGCAAAAGCAGGATCGTAATGCTCACTGTCGCGTACCAGTTGAACGGCATTCTTTGAAAAGTCAGCTCCAATGATTCTCAACTCTTGGTTTTCATTTTGCTTCAAAATTGGAAACATGGTGTTACCAGCTCCACAACCTACCTCTAGGATGGTTTTTGGACCGGCTCCTTCTTTTGTAGCTTCGTACAGGGACGGAAACTCGATCTGGAGCCACTTACGGTCCTTGAAGAAGTTCTCACGATTGTTTCTATAGAAGATATCCCAGTACTTCTCGGGATGAGCATTGTACATTTTCTTGTCAAAGTCCCTCACAGGATCGTTATACTGCTTGGATATCTGCGCCTGGGCGTCTTGTATTTGTTCTTCTCCCCACTCCACATGATCCCAGGCGTTGTGGTTGAAGACATCTTCCTCGCTGGTCAGGATTCTTTGGCCGAATGTAAACGGACTATCCTTTCCGATCCTGGTATCGAGATCTGGCTTCTGCTCAGGCTTAGAGAGCCCTGGTAAGTCAGACATTTTGCAAATGATATTTTTTGAACTATCAGAACTGTCACTGAAAAATTCCAATACCATCATGCAGTCAGAAAAGATGCGGAAAAAAATTGGACCCGTTTAATCGGGATCCCTTCAAGAATGGGCGATGATGCACGTTATTTATTCAAAAGCGACAATTTGCCTAATCGGGACAGATCAGACACCAACCTCGTCTAAGCTTCGATGGGTCATGTCAATGGCGAAAAATCGGAAAACCGGGGATGAAAACTTCTTTTCTTCAGGAAGACAGAAGGTTCAAAGATATCATTCATACTCCGATTGTTTTGAAACGTTTCTAAGATGAAGAAAAAGGGAGACCGCATCTCCTTTACAGATGACTTCGCAGAGCCATTAAGCATGGATTTTTCGGCAGTCCAATCGTATGGAAAGCCACTGAACAGACCCACTCTCACGATCTCAAAAGATATTGGCGGTTTGTTAACGAGAAAATTGAGGATTGCATCCAGTGAGCTAAAATCGAAGAAACCTATCACCAAGCCCATAGAGGAATCTTTCGAGAGGCCTAGAATGCCAATTACCAACACACAACAGCGTACCGTTGCAAACACCACGGCCCCACCAAGCATTCCACGCGCTGAACCCAAACCTCAGACTGCTCAGCTTTACAGATCTTTACCACCACTTCCGCCACCACCAACGAAAAACCGACTTTCGGTGGTATCCCCGGTGTTCTCTGATAAAAGACAGAGCTACATGTCCTCGGCAAGTTCCACTCCAGATCTGGTTTCATGCTCTACGGAAGAGGAAGCCGAGGGTGATGAATCTGCTGGATCACTGTATTCGTATTACCGTGACGATTCTTCTTTGCAGTCGAATGAAGGCAGAGCCCTACCCCCTTTGCCTACCAAGAGGTTTAGCCAGCAGGAAGTACGCAATTACGATTTTGAGGAGGTTCGCGTTGTTGATGTAGGAATGCCTCCCCAAGTGCCTCGCCATTTGAATCTTGATTCCACCAATGACGAGTATATTCGCACCCGTACGGAAGTGACCAGAAAACCAAAACCTGTCGAGCAGCTGGATACCGCTATTTTTACCAGAAAGAGTGTTCGCGTGCCCAAATCGTACGGACCAATTCCTCGGGCTAACTCTTCAATTGCCAATACTGAAAAGCCGCGTACCGCTTCCGAGGATTACTTGGCATCTCATGGTTTGATTCCTTTCATGTTATCGGGGTACCAAGACCATGGAAGTTTGAAGGTGGTAAACAGGGTTTCTAGCAGTACGTCTACATTGCGCTGAGAGACACGGAAGAATGACAACGGACGGGCTGGATATTGGGAGTCAAATGCTGAAATATTAAAATATCTACATAAAAATTTATATTACCCTACAACACACTTATATCTTGATGAGTGAATAGTAGGAATATGAGCCGCACCTAAGCAATGATTTGGCTGTCCCACGACCGACGACCTGATCAAGAGAATCTCCCTGGAACCACTACTCAATCTACCACTTGCTATCAAAGTTTCAAACGGTACAAGACTATTTGATTCATGATTTTCACACTAATTTCTGGAAATAAAAGGCTACCGTGACCTGAAACATCTAGTAAAACTTGGACATCCCAAATCATGCAACACACGACCAAAAGTTCCCCAATGCACGACTCATCACGAAAAAAAAATTTCAACTAAATACTACAAGGCCCTAACAACTGTCTTCTTCTCTACCATTTTACAACAGCTTTTTTCTCGTGATACCTTGCTGAAACATGGCAACAGGCAGATCAGCTAGAAAGCGGGCGATAGAGCCCGTAGAAGAGTCCGCCAGTTCCGATGAAGACTTCCAGGTGAATGGGTTGATTGACGATAGCGACAGTGACGAGAGCGAGTATGAGGAGCTGGACCAGAGCCTTGATGAGGCTGAGGTCGAACGAGTGCTTGACGCAGATGCTGGCTTAGAGAGTGAGACTTCAGCCGAAGAGTCATTGGACGAGGAAGAGATCGAGGGAGCGCTTGAGAAAGAAGGCGCCTTTGAAGAGGAGGAAGGTGAAAATGTTTCCGATTCAGACTCAGATTCTGCCTCCGCCGATTCAGACTCAGAACTAAATGCTCTGATTGGTGAAGAGGCCGATGCCTCTGACTTCAGTGAAGAATTTGAAGACGAGCCGGCCGAGGAATCGCTTTCGCTCACCGACAGACTCTCCGGAGTGAAAATCGCTTCTGTTTCCACGGAAAACGTTGTGGAAACCAAATTTTCAGATGGAAAACCTCGTCTGCTGAGACCAGAAATTGACCCCAAATATGACAGTGACGATAGTGATCGCGAGGACTTCAACACCATTGGAAATGTACCTCTCTCTGCATACGACGAGATGCCCCATATCGGTTACGACATCAACGGTAAAAGAATCATGAGACCTGCTAAAGGCTCTGCTCTGGATCAACTGCTGGAGTCGATTGAGCTTCCAGAGGGATGGACGGGTCTTTTGGACCAGAATACCGGAGCCTCGCTCAACATCTCTCAAGAAGAGCTTGAGCTGATTGCTAAACTGCAAAGAAACGAGTCCACGGACGATTCCATCAACCCATATGAGCCATTGATTGAATGGTTTACCAGCAAGCCGGAAGTGATGCCCTTAACGGCTACTCCGGAGCCAAAACGTCGTTTTGTCCCCTCCAAGCACGAGGCCAAGCGTGTCATGAAAATTGTCAAGGCCATTCGTGAGGGACGGATCGTCCACCCAGACAAGCGCAAGGAACTCGATGAAAGTGACCAGTACAACTTTGATCTTTGGAAGGATGCTGGTGACTCTGTTGACCACATAATGACTTTGCGTGCTCCAAAGCTAGCACCCCCCACCAACGAGGAGAGTTATAATCCTCCAGACGAGTATCTTTTGACCGAAGAAGAGAAGAAGCAATGGGAAGAGACTGAGCCATCTGAGCGTGAACGCAACTTCTTGCCTCAGAAATTTGGCTCTCTAAGAAAAGTTCCAGGATATGGTGAGAGCATTCGTGAACGCTTCGAAAGATCTCTGGATCTTTACTTGGCTCCAAGAGTTAGGCGAAACAAGCTTAACATCGACCCCGAATCCCTGGTTCCAGACTTGCCTTCTCCAAAGGATCTGAGACCTTTCCCCATCCGGACCTCGACTGTTTACGAGGGCCATAATGGAAGAGTGAGGGCCATCTCTATTGACCCATCTGGACTATGGCTTGCTACGGGTGCCGATGATGGAACCGTGAGGATATGGGAAGTCTTGACCGGAAGAGAGGTTTACAGAAGTGTTATAATCGACAATGTCGAGGAGAATTCCGAAGACCACATCGAGGCTATCGCATGGAATCCAAACTCGGATCTGGGACTATTGGCCGTGGCTGCTGCTGATACAGTATACCTGCTATGTCCACCAGTATTTGGCTACGAGATTGAAAATGCCAGCAGACTCAAGGTTGAGGATGGTTGGGGTTATGCTACTGGTGGAGTTTCCTCAGGCAAGGTTGGAACTGCTGGTGCGGACTCAGACTCTGAAACCGAAACTGGGCCTGTAGCGACTAAGAACGATGTTGCCCAATGGTTAAAACCAACTGCCTCCCAACAAGCACAGTCTATAGCAGCGGTCATCACCACTCGTCGTGGAAACAATGCATCTCCGACGATTAAGAAGGTTTCGTGGCACAGACGTGGAGACTACTTCCTCTCTGTTTCACCAGAAGGAGGAAACCGTACCTCCGTACTGATTCACCAGCTTTCGAAACATGCGACGCAATCGCCGTTCCGCAAATCCAAAGGAATCATCATGGATGCCCAATTCCACCCTTCAAAGCCTCATCTGGTTGTGGTGAGCCAGCGCTACATTCGTATCTACAACCTACAGCAGCAACAGCTGGAGAAGAAGTTGATGCCGGGTGCAAGATGGTTATCGTGTGTGGATATTCATCCTCGTGGTGGCGATCACCTGATAGCCGGTTCCTACGACAAGCGTGTGCTGTGGCACGATCTTGACCTGTCTACGACTCCTTACAAGACTCTGAGATACCATGACCGTGCTGTTCGTGCAGTCGCTTTCCACAAGGGCGGTCTTCCTTTGTTCTGCTCTGCTTCCGATGACGGTTCCATCCATGTGTTCCACGGAACCGTCTACGACGATCTTATGACGAACCCTTTGCTGGTTCCACTGAAGAAGCTGACTGGCCATAAGGTAATCAACAGTCTTGGTGTTTTGTCCGTGTGCTGGCATCCACGCGAGGCGTGGTTGTTCAGTGCAGGAGCTGACGGTACTGCGAGGTTGTGGACGACGTGATTAGCATAAATGCATTCAACATAGTTAATAGTGATGCAGTTAGTACGACTATAATAGTAGAAGGTATAACACACTCTTGGAGTTGCAAGGGAGATTTAATGTATTCTATAGTTGAGAGTCATCTGCTTGAATCATCTACCGAGAATTCCTTTGCAGGATCCCTGCAGGATTCATGCAGGACTCATGCAGAGTCAACTAGATGAAAATCTTGAACTTTTTGTGCAAACACAGTAGAATTAAAACCACATGACTGCTACAACAATTAATGCCACGCTTTTATTAGATGACGATGAAGATGATGTATGCCATTGCAAAAACTCAGACTTGCTAGACTCTCACGTCTTCACATCAGGGGTCTCTCTTCCAATGAATTCCTTAAATCCAAGAAAGTCCAAAACAGTGGCAATCTCAGTCTTCAAAAACTCAGAAGGTGTCAATGCCAGTGTTGCATCAGAAATGTCGGGCGAGTGTTTCTCAAGGTAAAGCCTTATGGTGGCTCCACTAGAGCCAGTACCAGACAATCTGGTAACAAATCTGAGTCCAGACGCAAACTTCACGAAAAGACCCTGATTTTTTGAAACAGAACCGTCCAAGTCGGTGTAGCTGAAATTATCAGCCTCCACGACAGTCTCAGAGCCAACTTTACTGCCAATGAAGACAGAATCAGACACATGCGCAGCAAGCTTGGCAATAAGCTTGTTAGCGTCTTCGCTGGAGCAGTTTTCATAGTCGTAACGCGTGAAAAACGTACGACCATACTTCTTCCAGAAAGAAGTCTGGACCGCCGCAATGGATGCACCGTTAGTCAGCTCAGGGTTCTGCTCGTCGTATGCAGCAAGCACATTGAGCCACGCAACAATGGCCCAAAGTCCATCCTTTTCACGGATGTGGTTTGAACCGGTACCAAAAGACTCCTCACCACAAACAGAGAGCTTTTTAGCATCAAATAAGGCACAGAAGAACTTCCAGCCCGTGGGAACCTCGTAACACTCAAGACCTCTGTGTTTGGCCACAAGATCGAGAGCAGCTGAAGTGGGCATCGACCTGGCAAAGCCAAAAACGCCCTGTTTCTGAAAGTACGGAATCGAATCGATGTACTCGGCAATGATGGCCACCGAATCACCTGGCGAAACAAACGTGTTTGCTCCGTAGATCATATTACGATCACCATCTCCGTCTGACGCGGCACCGAATGCAATTTGTTCACGATCCACACGTTCCACAAGATCGTGAGCATACGTCAGGTTTGGATCTGGATGCATTCCACCAAAGTCAGGTTTTGGGTGAAAGTTCATGACTGAAGATTCTGGAAAACCAAGTGTGTCCACAAAAATGGCCTTTCCATATGGTCCCGTGACTCCGTTCATGGCATCAAACAGCACCTTAAAGCCTTGTTGCGAGCGCTTAGCATAGAAACGCTTGATGAGCTCTAGATCAAAGATTGACGAGATCATGTCAACGTAAGCCTTTGTCGAGTCGATGATCTCAACCTCGAGTCCAGCATATGTCCGCACACCAATGGTGGACAAATCCACCTCTGGAAAGTTCTCCACCAGCTTGTAGTGCTTCAATTCTAGCGACTTCTCATAGATTTTGTCAGTCACAGATTCTGGCGCTGGTCCGCCATTGGCCAGATTGTACTTGATCCCAGCATCGTTTTCAGGTCCACCTGGGTTGTGTGATGCAGTTAGTATGATTCCACCGGTGACTTTCTCAGGCCAAGTGCGAATCACGTTGGAAGCAGCCGGAGTAGAGAGAATTCCGTTTTGACCAATAATCAACTTGCGTACTCCGTTTGCGGCACCAATGGAGGCAATTAGCTGGACAATGTGATCGTTGTAGAAACGGCCATCACCACCCACAACAAGGATGGAATTTTCACAACCTTCTGGAATTGCCAGCAATATTGCTTGAATGAAGTTTTCAGTGTAGTGAGGCTTTTGGAATACGGCCACCTTTTTGCGGAGTCCCGAAGTACCGGGTTTTTGGTCCGTAAATGGGGTGGTTGCAACCTCAATGGACATGGTGGGAGAAAGGCAAATAGGAAGAATGGACAAGACTCAAAAAGCAGAGAAAGACAATTGAGTAACCAGACTGACAGCGCACACAAAAGAAGTCTCTGAATGGGCTTCGAGAATTGACCTGACAAGGGTATGACTAAAATAAGTTTCAGACAAAGAACAGAAAAAGAGCAAAAGGAGAAAACGAGATCAAAGAAAAAGAACAGACAATGCGACAACGTGACAACAAAGGACGGGGAAGAGGTCACGTGATAGTTTCAGAGCTGGATCGTGGGGGAGGGGTAGCCTGATGTCTGGGGAGACGTCGGGTGCACTACCGGATTGGGTAGATCAAGGGAGGGAGTGCCAAATGATTAAACTCAGGAATACTTTTAGGCAAGGGTCATGGAAGTGACTGGAGTCAGCTCTGTGGGGTGCAAGCTCTGATGTTGGATAATGGAAATAGATAAAGGTCTATTGCGAGTTTGTTTGTGAAACATACTCCACGCTGATGACTACGGCAGGAACTAGAATAAATCTATTGGGTTGAATATATGATATTTGTCTCACTCTATCACTGGACTCTAATAGGCCTAAGACCTATTTGACTCTGGTGAGACTCAATTGACTCTTGTTGACGCGTGGAATCAGGCAGTGGTCACTTCGTGGATCGCCTTTGCAAGATAGTCCACGTTCTTCTCGTAAATACCCGCAATGGAGATACGACCGTCACCAGTAAGGTAAACTGACTTATCAATCAAACTTGACACCTGCTCTGGAGACAATCCCGTGTAGCAGAACATACCCTGTTGCTGAAGCAAGTGTTCCCAGTTCAATGGGTTCTTGTAGGTGTTCTTGAGCTTGTCATACAACAAGGCACGCATGTCGACGAGTCTGTCATTCATCACCTTAACATCCTTGAGCCACTGGGCGTAGATCTCAGGGTTCGAAAGAACGATCTCAACGAGCTTGGATCCATGGGATGGAGGAGATGAGTAAATAGGACGGATAACCTTCTCGAGCTGAGACTTGACACGCACGCTCTCTTCCTCTCCAGAAGTAACGATAGACAGGGAACCAACACGCTCACCGTAAAGACCCATGTTCTTTGCAAAGGACTGTGACAACATGAAATTGTCAAGCTTTCCAGCAGCGACGAGGTCGCAGAACTTGTAAAGAATAGCCAGGTCTTCAATTGGGTCACCAGTACGGAATCCTTGGTAAGCCATGTCCAGAATTGGAAGCAGCTTCTTCTGGGAAACAACCTCAAGGATCTCGTCCCATTGTTCAAGCGTAGGGTCAACACCAGTGGGGTTATGGCAACAGGCATGCAAAAGGATCACAGATCCCTCTTGAGCCTTGCGCAAATCTTCAAGCAGACCGGTAACATCGAGCCCATTGGACTCGTAGTCGTAATATCTATATGGCTCAGTCTCAAGTCCACTCTTTTCCAGAATGGCAATGTGGTTGGCCCAGGTGGGGTTTGGAACAAGCACCTTGCGGATTGGGTAGAAACTCTTGGTAAATTCAGCGAGAACCTTCAGGGCACCAGTACCGGAAATACCCTGAGAAGTGACAACACGACCCGAATCTACGAGAGACTGACCAGACGCCGAGGCACCGTACAAAAACTTCTTGATCAGAGAGTTGAAGTTTGGAGAACCAACGATGGGGACATATTCCTTGTTCTCTTCAGTCTGAGAAAGGACCTTTTCTGCGGCAACGACCGAAGGCAAAATCCAAGGCTTTCCATCGTTGTCACGATATGCTCCCACACCGAGGTTGATCTTGGAGGGGTTGGTGTCCTTGTTGTAGAGAACAGTAAGACCCAAAATCTTGTCAGCAGGTGCCTGTTGGACAGATGCCCACACAGATGAGTTTCTGATGAAAGCGCGCGAGAACTTGAGCATTGCAAAAAAAAAACAGCAGGAGACTCAAGCAATGTCAGAATTTCAAAGGTACAACAGAAGAACAAGAGTACAAACAGAAAACAAGACAAGTTTTAAACCAGTGAGCACAACCCGGGTTTGTCCATGCTTTTAGGCTACACGCGAAAATTTCCAGCCTCGGGTGAATGGGTGTGCACGCGCAAGGTTGAGTCATAATAGGGACAGAGTCAATCAAACCGATATTGCAAAGAAAAGTTGCGGCTGACTTTCTAAGTTATATGGGCAACATGAGGAAACCATTGATATCTTAATGGAATCATTATTTGTGTAGTTCAGATCTTCATGGTCTTCACACCTTCGTGTCTCCAAACGGACGATTTCGGGTCGGTGGGCCGTCAGCGAGAATCACGGGAGGTACCCCGCAATTGGGGCGTAGACTACGTGAAAAGTTAGTAATGGGTGTAAATGCGGTGGAATAAAAGTTCAAAATGGAGATTTGAAACGGAGATGTAAAAGTGACGAGGTAGAATTTTCGACGCTATAAAGGAATTCAATATCTGCTTGTCCTAAATGAATTCATATTCGGGATTATATGTAGATCGGTAAACAGTTCGATTTATTACTCGCAGCTCAGCTCCACCATTCTCACCTAAAGTCCACGGAAGAATTACGCAAAAATCAAGATCTGCACGAGCCGATCCCGCTAAGACCGCACAAGCCGAAAATGAGGTCTTTTTAAGGGGTAACTTCGCCCCATAGTCACCGGCTCGCTACGCGTTAGGCGGCGTATACACCAAAGTATAAATTGCGGAGCACACCCCTTGAGCCGCAGTTATCCTTACTATGTATGATGTATCCTTTGCCAGACGCTGCCATTCCAACGAATGATACCAGCCATACCCAGACATACAGAACTACAGCTAGGCCATTTCGCCTTTCATAAAGCAAAGCTTGCTGAGGATACCGTGGGATTTTGCCCACTCTCGTAGCTTTCCTTCCCAAAAACACAGTCAACGATAAGGAGGTAGTCCGATACCCAAATTTCTGCATCTGGGCCTCACCATTAAAAGTTGGAAGAGTCACAGTCTCCAAGTTCTCTGAATGAGGTTCGTTTCTTGTGCTCCGAATAACTCTAGGCGTTCAAGGCCAAATTGTTAGAATAATGACCCAGGATAACCACCAAGAGGACGAACAGCCGACTGAGACCACACCGCTGGTGGCAGCAAAATCCGTCGCAGTTTGGACCGTCGTGCCTGCTTTATGGACTGGTTCCTTCATGTGTGCCGTTGATGGAACCATTGTTTCGACCACGATGGCGAGAATTGCCTCTTCGATGGATGGTTCTGCACATGTTTCGTGGATAGCCACCTCGTATCTGCTCACAAATGCAGCCTTCCAGCCGCTATATGGAAAGGCCTCAGACATTTTCGGTCGCCGCACCATGCTATGTTTTGCCCAGCTAACATTTACTCTTGGTTGTCTCGCTTGCTGCCTTGCCACTTCAGTACCTCAATTCTGCTTTGCACGTGCACTTGCGGGAGTAGGAGGGGGTGGACTCGCAGCCTTGTCGAGTATCATCGTCAGTGATATCGTACCTCTCCACAGTAGAGGTATCTTCCAAGGATATGCCAATTTGATGTTTGGAGTCGGTCAAATGCTCGGCGGACCAATTGGAGGTCTCTGCGTTGAGACCATTGGCTGGAGATATATGTTTGGGCTCCAGGTTATCCCAATGGCCGTTGCGGCTCTACTCTGCGTCCGGAACGTACCTTACTTCTTTGACGATCCAAATAGAAGGCCAGGATTCTCCCGGAAAAATTTTGCTCGCGTGGATCTGGCTGGATCGGCTACACTTGCCGCTCTGGTTACTGCTTTGATGCTTTTATTCTCCGGAAAGGGCTCACTTGGTCTTCTTACAATCTGCATATTGCTGGGGGCATTGTTCGTATTCATCGAGTCGCGTGTTTCGGAACAGGTGGTTCCCATGAGGTTTTTCCGGGGAACACTCAGGACAACTGCATTGATTGCGATGTTTGGGTCTATGACTATTTATGCGTGTTATTTTGTATTGCCTCTATACCTCCAGCTGATCCACGGAATGACCCCTGCTCAATCTGGAAACTTCAACGCAGTTGGCGTCATTTCGCTATCATTAGGATCCCTTCTTGGAGGTGCGCTTCTCAGAACAGATCCCTCCAAGGCCCATGCAGTTATTATACGAGCAAATATCGTTTCGATGCTCTCTACAGCCCTATTGATTTTTGGATCGGCAATCAATTTGATAGCAATTTCAGGATTTGCACCTACCATTGAGCCCCGAGTCAACTGGGCTGTACTGGGAGTGCTCGGAGTTGGATACTCTGTTACTGGACTTGGATATGGCGCCTTTTTAGTATCCCTGTTGGTGACGGTAGTGGCCGTGGTCGGCTCCAAGGACCAGGCAGTAGCAACAGGAATGAACTACGTTTTCCGCTCCATTGGCTCCGTGATGGGAGTTGGCATGACTTTGAACGTTTATACAGCTTTATTGACCACCAGTTTGACAAGCTACTTTGCTGATGTTGAAGGCGGCAAGCTTCTTCTGCAAAAACTGCTGGCTGATGCGACATTCGTTCGGAATCTTGACATGCACTATAGACCAGACGTGCTGGCCATTTTTGATCATAGTTTGAAGATGTCGCAAGGACTTGTGGTGTTATTTGCGATCATTGCATGTGTGTTTGGAATTTCCCTGGGGCTGATGAAGCGGCATAAGGTACAATCTTGAGTGAAGACGATATATATAGATTCAACTATAAATTTGTTTTTTCCTAAACCGCTTAAATTTCTTCCACAAACCCTTCTTTACCGCACCCATCCACATACTCCAATGCCGCGAACGTCTTCTCATCAGAACCTATATCGTCAAAGAATATTGTTATAGCTGCAACCATGGCATCTGCAACTAGATCTTGCGGTAGCTCTCCGTAACCGGTACCAAGACTGGGAATCACAATAGTGTCAATAATCTGTGAAGAGTCCCTCTTGTTAGCAGCTTCTACCTCAACTAACACTGCCCACACACAATCAAACACAAATCCACGCCATCTTGAGATTGACCCATCCCACAGCTTTTGCGGCGCACGCATAGTGGGGACGTGAATTATGGAACTTGCGCGCAATGTTGTCCATGCTGGAGAGGTTTTATAGAATTCTGCGTCGAATTTCACGAGATTAGCAGTTCCAAGGGGAACGTAGCCCTTAAGCGAAAGACGGACATGCATCTCTGTGACCTTCCAATCACCTCCTTGTCGGAAAAAACTAGCCAGACTCTTGTCAAAGCCACCACCCATGAAACCTGCCGAGTTCCCCGGCGAGACAATACTTGTCCGGTTGACAGTCCTCAAATATGCACCCAACTGCGGGAGTTGACCCTTGAAAACCACCACATCCACACCGCTGACCCGCCTCCGACCAATGGCTCGCCTCCATAGGTCTGGCATCTTCTCTCCAATATCCAACAATACCACGCGCATTGAGTTCGCGTATTTACAGGTCAAAGCAGAGAAGTGGACTTTCCTGGGCCCTTCTCTACATGATGATGCGGCGTTTGAGCCCTGGCTGCTGCATGATCATCACGTGCATGAGCTTCTTGAGCCGCACTTAGTCACGTGTGAGGTCTTGAGATGAGGCTTGGGACGAATTTCACCTTTAAAACTACCTTTACGCTCTTATTGCTCTCTCGTTTTCCTACAAGCTTTAGCAAAACAGGCTCAATTTCGCGCAACTTACTTCTTACTTCAAACATACATTAGATGTCGTTCGATAACAACTTAGAAGGCTACAACGTTGTGCGGGCCATGTGGCTGCGGTTTTGGAACCCCTCCAAGGGCACCTTCATCTGTCCCATGAAGCGTTGCAATGGAACCATCGGCGACGACGGCAAATTCAACGTTTGGTCGGTATCAGTCGCAGTACATGCAATTGTGGATGGTGCGCGTATATACCCCAACGAGCTCGGCCCGCTGATCGAGCCAGCCATCCAAGCAATGTATCGTTACAGGTCTCCCAAGTACCATGGGTATTGCGCAGCGGAGAATTTTGATGGTAATAAGGACATTTACTACGATGATGATGCTCAAGTGGCTTCAGCATTGATATGTGCCTATGAGGTCACCGGAAAGAAAGAATACTTAGACTCTGGCAGAGACCTTGTTCGGTTCCTCATGGGTGGGTACAATAAAGATAAGAAGTCCAAGGCCCGTGGTGGAATGATGTGGCATATTGACAAAGACTATTGCAATGCTGTAACCACCGCAGAGTGTGCAATAGCTGCTTTAAGATTGCTGAAGTATGTTCCAGAAGAGAGAAAAGTTTACTACGACTATGCAAACGAGTGCATCAAATGGCAGTTATGGAAGCTCCGGGATAAATCGGATAACATCATCTGGGATGGAGTTGGAAAAAACGGAGACAAAATTGACAAAACAAAATGGACGTACAATACCGGCACAACGTTGAGTGCAATTTGCATGCTGTATACGTACGACCACGACGAAAAATGGGTCGAGGAGGCCAAGAAGCTGGCTGAGGCTGCTACCGATCGAGGCCGTTCGCTGTTTTGCCGTGATTATGATGATTGGTCCAAGCGGTACTGGCGTGATCCCTCGTACTTTATCCAGCTTTTGATTGAGGGTCTAGCTGATTACCTGCTCGTTTTTGGAAAGGTAGCTCCACCTACGACTGCACAGTGCATCCAAGACGAGATCGTTCGTCATCTGTCTTTTTTCAAGAAGTACATGTATGATCCCAATGATGGGCTGTACTATATTCATTTTGAGATCAACAAAATCAACAAGCAGATCTACGAAAGGTATAAGAATGAGTTTGGCGGCAACAAGAAATATGAGCCCAATGGAGAGGAGAGATCTGGTGATGGTGACATGGAGAAGAGACCAATGGCCAAATGTTTGATCGGAGCCGGGTCTGCTGCCAGGATCTTTTTTCAAGGTGCGAGGATAGCTCCAACTATGAATCCAAGGGACTCGTGATACTAGAACTCGCAAACTATCTACATCGATTACAGACACAAGTTATGACTTTTACTTCTTCTTATTCGGCTTAAAAATGTATGCGTAGATCCTAATACTCAGGTCTATTCGTATCCTCATAACTTCACCATTTTATCACCTCCATCTCCACAAATGTTTTTTTCAAACATATATTTTCGAGCGAATGAAAGCAGCTGGCATAGGCATCTCATTCACAGGTCTTTCCACCACAACCAGCTCGGAACCCGATAAGGCATCTGCAAAAAGCACAGGTCTGTACTTATCGGTGAACCAGAAACCTTTGGTATCTTCTGTCGACTCTTCTTTTCTCAATTTGGCCAACTCAGTTTGCTTAACACTTTTCTTGTATTGTTCCTCTACAATGGCATCTTCCTCGGCCTCAGCATCTTCTTTGGTATAAGAAATAGCAGGTCTTTGTGCCTTCACACCAGAGCCATTTCTCAAACGCTTCCTCGCATTTTTCCCCATAATTCCCACGCTCTTGAGAGCATGATCTGGAATAGGCAATTTGAACTCAGTGTTGAAAAAACACATCCAATTGGCACCATAAAGCCACACTCTTTCGCCCTCTTCGTTAACAGTGGTGAAGATTCCCTCACACTTTGTGTTCTGGTGTGCGAGAATGGTGGGCAGTATGTCTGTACTACGCTGACTCCACTCAGTTTGAAGAGAGCTCAAAACGCCTTCCTCGCTGCTCAAATTGAGTTCATAAACTTTGCCAACGTCCGCAGTGGCCACGAAAAGGGTGTTCTTCGGTGTAAATGCCAGGGCAACAGGTGGCTCGGGAATTTTCACCAGTCTGTGTGCCAGACCCGTATCCAGACTCACCAGCTCGATAGAACCGTTTAGTCTGGCAAGAGCAATGGTCTTTTCGTCCTGAGAAACACAAAGAGCATGAATATTGTGTATATGCTGTAATTTTGATTTCACGCGCAGGTTATCAGGCAAATCGTACTCTGTGTAGTTGTCCTGGTCGTTAATGAGCTCGACTTCCTCATCGTCCTCTGGTAGGTTCACAGGGATAGAAATTAGCTCGTTATCCGTGGTAACCAATACCAGAAGATTCTGAGATACCACAAAAGTCACGAGCTTGGCTCCAATTGACTCCAGCACCGACGATGGGACTTTATGCACAGCCAACGTACCGTTTTCTTTCTTCTCCAGAGCAAACAGCTTTGTGGTGGAAAGTCTGGAAACAATCAAAAACCTTCCATCTTCAGTCAAGGCACATGCAGTGATATTGTCATCATCTGACAGAGTCAACTTGGCAACCAGGCGCTTCCCACTGGTTCCATCCAGGTCCGCACTGGCAGCAGCAACCAATCCCCAGATCTTGACCGTCTGGTCCTGCCACATTACCACAAGTCTGTTGGCACTGTTGACCAGACAATTTGAGACCATAGGGCTGAATGGAAGCTTGTTGTATGGTCCCTCTTGGAAGTTCTCAATACTGCTCACGGCGACCAGTCTTTCGACACCTCCAGAAACCAAGAAATCGGTTCCCCTTGCCTGGTAGGACGCCATGGCCCTGATATCATTGGAATGAATCAGTCTGTTTGAGGCATTCACCCATTTGCTACTGGAAGAGCTGGTGCTCACCAAACTGAAGCTGAAGATCCTCCTATCAACACCAGCTGAGAACAAACGTTTTCCGGAAGCATCAGCAGTCAAACACAGCACATCAGCATCGTGTGCGGCAAACGACTGTTGCAACACAAAATGCTCCATGTTCCAGAATTTGACTGAGCCAGTGGAATCTCCTGTTACAATCTGATTCTGCTGTTTTATAGCAAGAACAGACCACACGAGAGTGCTTTCCTTCTTGGACTTGTCAACTCTCAACGTGGAAACAAGTCTTCCCTTAGTGTCTTCACCATATGACCAACACCGTATCCTTCCATCAGCACAACCACCGACAATCATATCGTCGCCGTACCAAGCAATGCTCATCACACGGGCCTGCTGTCTCTGAAGAATGGTCTCATGTTCGATAACTCCTGGACCACCTGCAATATCCACCACGACGACACTTCCATCGTCACATCCGAGTGCAATCTTGGACCCGGCTGGATTCACGGCCAAGCACCACACGAGGCCAGCGTTGCAGTCGTAATTCTTTAGAGGAGCTCCTCTGGCTAGGTCCCATTCGGTGAGATACGCAGATCCACCGATGGAGAACAACCGCGGCGACACGTCTTTGTCTTTAGAGCTCCAAGCAATGCCCTCCACGGTGCGACCTCTCGATCCAGGGATCGTCTGCTCCAGTAGCCAGTCTGAGCGCGGGTTCCAGATCTCTATGGAGCCATCGCCTCTACCAACAGCCAGTCTCAGACTGTGGGATGGCAGATCCGACGTTGAGCTATGCGAAAAGCCTAGAGACGTTATAGTCTGTGGAGTATAGTCCACAAACCGACAACGATGAATATCCATGGCGAAAACTGTCTTGTTCGAATCGTAGTGTTTATATCTGCTGAACACCGCTTCTGCTCTAGAAGGGTACGAAAATATTTATTTTCTGAGACCCGTGTGAAATTTGGCAGATTAAGAGGTCGTGTACCAGAAAATCAATTGGCGCAGTGCGCACACGACTTTTACCAGCTCGGATCTCTATCTATGCACGTTCCAACTGGACAGCTCTCATGGTTCTCATCCCACTTCATCTTTTTTCGTTTTTTTTTGCTTATTAGAGGACGTCATTTTGACAAGCCCCCGTCAATTTTGTTGCTGTTATAGAATCTGCTGGATCCCGGCCGAGCAAAAGCAATGCTCAAGACCTTGCTATCGGCCTCCGAATGCTCTTTGGGCCGCCCCGCATGTGCCGCACGGACAGTCCGGTTGTTCCATGGTTCTGTATTTGTGAACGAGGAAATTTCACCACTCAACAGGTACAATGACCTGGTACATCAGGGTAGACTCAGAGACGACTCGTACCAGCGAACCATCCTGGCGAGTCTAGAAGGTCTACACTCTCATCTGGTCAAGTATACACCACCCAAGGTCGAAGTTCCGGACATCAACAGTTTGAAACCTGCTGGTGGGTTTTCAAAAATGCTCGGAGGACTATTTGCCAAGAAATCTCACGCGCCTACCAAAGAAGAAGAGGCCAGCGTGCCGCACGGAATCTACCTGTATGGCGACGTTGGCTGTGGAAAGACGATGCTTATGGACCTTTTCTACGATACAGTTCCGTCCCATTTGGCAAAGCAAAGGCTTCATTTCCATCAATTCATGCAGAACTTGCACAAAAGATCTCATCAGCTGAAGCAGGAGCATGGAGGAAAACAGGACATCGACGTTATTCCGATCCTGGCCTCTGAGCTATCACAGACTGCTACTGTGCTGTGTTTTGACGAATTTCAAGTTACAGATGTGGCCGATGCCATGCTGCTTAGAAGGTTGCTCACTCTTGTTCTGAGACCTGACCATGGCCTAATTCTGTTTGCAACTTCCAACAGAGCTCCGGATGATCTCTACATCAATGGCATCCAGCGTGAGACGTTTATTCCGTGCATCCAGCTGATCAAGCGTATGACGAACGTGATTTACCTCAATTCGCCGACGGACTACCGAAAAGTGCCCAAGCCAGTTTCCAATGTGTATTACTCTCCCCCTCCGGGTGTTGCGTTTAATTCTGCGAGCTCCAGGTCCCAGCAGAAGAAGCACATTGAGACCTGGTACGAATACTTCTCGCAGGGCCACTCACCAGAATACGACGTTCCTCTGAAGATCTGGGGCCGTGATCTGGTGGTTCCCAAATGTACTCCTCCGTATGTGGCACAGTTTTCGTTTCACGATTTGTGTGGAAACCCTCTTGCTGCGGGCGATTACCTCACCTTGGCAACCACGTTCTCTGCATTTGTGATCACAGAGATCCCGTATCTCACCATTGACTCGCGAAACGAGGTCAGACGCTTCATCACGTTTTTAGATGCGGTCTATGATGCAAAGGGACGAATTGCCGTCACCGTTGCTGCTCCCTTCTCGGACCTGTTTGTAGAGCCCGAGGACCTCTCCGAGGGAAATTTCAACTTGGTCGGAAAGTCCGAGGAGGATTCAGCTGACTTTACGAATGACGATCTTGTTACAAAGCATGGATTCAATCCGAAAATTGCCAAACAAGCTTCCATGTTTGCGGTTGATGAGGAGCGGTTTGCGTTTGCGAGAGCCTTGAGCAGGCTGTCGCAGATGAGTACCCAGGACTGGGTGGACAGAGAAGTGTAATAGACATCAAACGGAGACGATAATAAACGAACAATACTGTTTATTAAGATTTGGCATAGCCTGAAAGCACAATTGTTAGTACAGAATAACGGTGTTTTTTCATAAGGCATCGTGATAGTGAAAAATTTCACGGAGAGCTTCCAATCTCCAGAATCTCAGTCCTCTTCATTACTATAATGTACAAATATATCTTACAACTCAGTCTTCGAAATCCTCCATGTCCAACTCTATGGCATCAGGATTAGTAGCTGGCACAGAAGCATCATGAGCCGCATTGATCGAACTAACCTTTGGACCATGAGACGCAGCAACGAACCCCAGAGGGTTCTTATCTTGTGAATCACCCAAACCTGATTGAGACAGCAATTCAGTAACACTTTTCCCCATCTTCTCCTCGATCCGTCTTTTCAACCGAAGCATCTGCTTGTAGCTCTCTTCATCACCAAACTCAAGCTCGAACTGCTTCCATTTGTTCCACAAAAGTTCTCGCTGCTCGTCTTTATATATTTTTCTTGTGGCCAGAGACACCATCTCAGCACCTTGCTTGAATATTTCCCTTGCTCTGGTCAATTGCTTGAGTTCTGCCTCGAGAAACGCAAACCCCACAATCACCGTTTCGGCGAAACCTGGGGTCGATACTGGAATATCCACATAAGCCTGTTCAAATATCTGCCTTGCAAAATTGGGTCCTAGCAACTCAATTGCTTTGGTGGTGTATATCTTGTATAATTCCAGCTTTACCTCCGGCTCTGTGGCGACGGAGAGAGCCCTTTTGTAGATTTTCATCGAGGCTGTAGCCAGACCGTGCTCCTCTTCAAACTTGGCATATAACAGATAAATGGGTTTGCTCATGTTATCGGGACATTTCTCAAGAGCTTGGTCAAAAAGGTCTTTGATACGCTCATTGCTGACTTTAGTTTTTTCCTGGAGGTTGATTGCCTTTGCTAGGTAAATGTTCCAAATTTCAAAAGAGGTGGGGAACGAGAAAAGACTCACTCCTCGCTCGTAGACCTGGAAACAGGCATCATAATCCTCACACTCCTCCAAGAAATTGGCGTAGTTGATAAGCGTTAAAGGCGTTGCAGCTTTCAATTCCAATACCTTCTCATAGGCAGCAATGGTCTCGTCTTTGGATCCGGAACTCTCCACCAAGTCCAGATACAGAGACCACAGTTTGATAGACTTGTATACACGCAATTGGGGTGGAAGCGAGTCATCATCTAGTGAAATAAAATGCCTTCCATTTTGCGCCTTTTGGCCTCTTTTGGGAGCTTCAATGGCTGTCCGTATGACTCTTATGGCAGATTCAACGCTGTCCTCTGCAATTTCAGTCTCAGTCCAATGCACCCAGATTTCGATCAGTTCGTTGACATCTTTGAAGGGAACCTTCACTGCTGTCTGGTAGACCTCGCGAGCATGAGCAATATCATTGTGCAAGATATACAGCTCTGCAAACTCCAGCCAGAGCTTGCCAAACTTTCCAGGCTCCACCTTTGAAGGGTCAATTGCCTGAACGGCATCGTCAAAAACTTTCAAAAGACTCAGGACATCCTTCTGTTTATCGTATAATGAAACTCGTTCCAACCAGGCATCTACATTATTGGCGTTTTGCCTCAAAAGAACATCGTTCACCATGAACGGTCTTCTTTCCATAAGTCGTTCAAACTTGGCAAACCGCAGATTGAGCTCTGTGTTCAGATCTTCCAATTGGGACAAGTCTGTGGAAGGTGCGCTTTCTAATTTGTCAATTTTGTTCACAAGCTTTGTCATTGCGGAGTCTTCAAACTCAACGAACGCATCGAAGATCAGGGTAAAGTCTCTGATTGTGACAGACTCTCTGATACCTTTCTCGAAGTTAAGTCTTGCCTTGTACAATTGCGCCTTGGCAATCCAGTATCGACTCAATTGAACTGTCAATTTCCCTCTTTGGTCTGGAAACTTGGATATGCATCTTTCAACAAACTCAGTCACCTCGGTATCCTGGCTTGGAGCAGACTTATGCCTCCTCCCAGAAGCAATAACATACTCGAGATATTCCTCATAAATGTCAAGTTCTGCCCTTCCAGTTTTGGAAAGCAATTTGGAGCTCTGGGAAAACTCGTTGAACACCTGGCGCATCTCAGGCTGGAACGAACCATCGGGATCGTACTCTTGGAGCTTGGAAAGCACCAGACTGAATTCGTTTGACGGGTTCTCACTATCATCTTCGGGCAGAAGACCAACCAAAACATCTGGAACAGATTTTTTGTACAGAAAGAACCGGTACCATATACACCAGGCAGTTTTCCCACCAGCAATATCTGCTAGTCTCACAAACAGAGGCCATATCTGGCGATGTTGAACCAACGGAAGAGTTTGCAAACACGCGTTAAAAGCTCTCCTAACAACCGTTACACTCGTCAGAGGTATCTGAGAAATCAAAAACACGAGATATTCCTTCCAAAACACGGGATATTTGTCCATATACTTCATGGCCCTACCAAAGATGGAGTTGACTATGGCATATTCGTTCTCCAGATCCAGGTCTTCCCTCGAGACTGCAGCAGAAACTTGATTCACGCGGAATCGCAGGTAAAACATCCATAACTTGTATGAGCGAGGTAGTTGCTGGACACCTCTGCGCAGAAGCAGAACTATCGAATCTGAAGAAGCATTCCTGGACTGTTTGTGCCGCAGATACGCGAGGAAATGCTCCACGGTGCAGTTTTGGCTGAGAAGTTCGCTCTCATAGGACGAATCAGCCTCCTCGATATAATCCAGAGCAACCTCCATTATTTTCGATAGAGACTCCACAAAATAGCCAGAGTGTGTCTTGGCTAGCCACCATTTTTCACTATGTCTAGATAAGTGCACCAGATAATATTCCTCGAGGGGTTACCCGGCGAGCAGAGGCAGTACGCAGCCATGCCTCCAAGGAGAGATTAAGGTGTCAATCCATGTCATAAGGCTACAAAACATCGCTTCAAAAACCAGATTCAAGATCAAAAATGTCTGGAGCTGGGAATAGGTAAGTGGATTATGTGATATACGTGGAATTGGATCCTTTGGCGGACATTCCGTATTTTGGTGGCTCTGTAGCTAGGACGATGATGCTAACCACAATCAATTCTAGAGAGCAGGTGTTCCCCACGCGTATGACCTTGGGGCTCATGAAGACCAAGCTCAAAGGAGCTCAGCAGGGTCATTCTCTTCTGAAGAGAAAGTCTGAAGCGCTGACAAAGCGTTTCAGAGAGATCACCCGCAGGATCGATGAAGTAAGTATGAGCAGCTGATAAAACTGTATCCCGATTGCACCGCAAACTAACACTTTACCTCCAGGCTAAAAGAAAGATGGGAAGAGTGATGCAAACCGCTGCGTTTTCGCTGGCTGAAGTCACCTACGCTACAGGCGACAACATCGGGTACCAGGTGCAGGAATCGGTCAAGAACGCCAGATTCCAGGTCAAGGCCAGGCAGGAGAACGTGAGTGGAGTATATCTTCCGCAATTCGAGGCTCACATAAACGAAGACATCAACGACTTTCAGATGACCGGTCTGGGAAGAGGTGGTCAACAGGTTCAGAAGGCTAAGACGGTGTACACTAAGTCGGTCGAGACGTTGGTGGAGTTGGCCTCTTTGCAGACGGCGTTCGTCATATTGGACGAGGTCATCAAGGTGACCAACCGTCGTGTAAATGCCATTGAGCATGTCATTATCCCAAGAACAGAGAACACGATTGCATACATTAACTCTGAGCTGGACGAGCTGGACAGAGAGGAGTTCTACCGCTTGAAGAAGGTCCAGGAAAAGAAGCAGCAGCAGGTGGCATTACAAGACGCCGAGAACGCAGCACGTAAGGCAAAACTCTCGGAGACTGAGGCAAAGGCTATTGCAGCGTTGGAGAGGGAAAGTGCTGATCTAACAGCAGAGGTTGAAGAGGATGTTATCTTTTAGTCGGAACACCAACCACTCAACAAGTCAATAAATAAAAAACTTATCCGCAATTGTTGGCAAGTAGAGATGTGAGATTTATTTCAACTCTTTTTCATAGACAAAAAGGTCCATTTATTGCGATTTTTCACAGGCTTTCCAAAATCAGCGTACACTACCCTAATAGCGGAGAGGGCCTGATAAGGCCTAAGTTATTGGCTCAATGACATTAACCAACGCGTACCACGCCATGTTGGATCCACAAAGCCAAAAAACTCCCGGGATTTTAGAGTTGGGAGTCTCGGAAAAGGTTCTGCAAAAGCCAATCGAGTACACTTTCCTGAAAGACAAGGACGTGCTGCTGGATCGATGGATCAACTACACAGTGACTTCTGAAAGGGTGCGAAACTCGCCTGTTGATGTTCACAACTTCACAGACCGTGACCGAGCCGTTCATGTTGCCAGGGTGCGTATCATTTGGAGGGCTTGAGAAAATTCGGAGTCTTTATACTAATCATGTCTATTTCAGATTTTGGAGGATACTCCGCACAGTGTTCGTGCCATACTACGGGACCACGACCATGCCATCATGGGAGAGTTTCCTAGACAAATCATACAACTTTTCAGAGAGACCCAGCAACGCGAATTGGCCCCTTCTGTACAACGAGCTCAAATTGTGATTACCAAGTCCTCCGTCAGGTTCGTCAACGAAGCCCAATTACGGGACCAATTCCATGCAGGGTATGTGAATGCACTCAGATACCGGGGAGACCAGCTCAAGAGACGAAGAGGTATGTTTGCGAATAAGTATGCGGTTTTGGTCGTTCAAGACTTCAACTATTACCGAAGAGAGGAGACTTGGGAACAGACTTTTCTGAGACCTTTCGTGTACGATACAGATCTATATCAAGATGCCTATTGCAAACAGGCCATTGTGGAGAGCAGAGGTGGTGAAGGTGATAGTGATGATGAGCTGCAGGTGATTGGAGTATCTCCGCGGACCGGAGACCAACTCAGGAAACTCGGGTTCTCTACAGGAAAAATCGAAATGTCAAGCTGACTGAACCTCTATTTACATTATTCAACGATTTATAAACGATCAAGCACGTTTGGCGCCGAATCTGGGTCTGTCCTTGAACTTCATCTTATTTGCATGCTTGCCCCTTCTAGTTTTGAAACCAGACTTGGCCAAAACTCCCCAAGGTGATTGTGAGTGCTTGTTGGACTTGGACTTACCTCTTCCACCACCGTGCGGATGGTCACATTTGTTCATGGCGACACCTCTCACTGTTGGACGAATACCTCTATGTCTGGACCTACCAGCCTTACCGAGCGACTCGTGCTGGTGGTCAGCATTAGAGGTCACTCCTAGGGTAGCACACGAGTCCAAAGCCACATAGCGCTGTTCGCCTGACTGCAACGACACAATGGCCAAGTTCTTCTCCTCGATCTTGGAGACGATTCTGCCGTATGTGCCAGCAGCTCTGCAGTACTTCGCGGGTCCTCTGGACTTTTCTCCAATGTTGTGCACAATTGAACCAACAGGAATCATAGAGATAGGCAAGCAGTTGCCCTTCTGCGAAGTTCTTACACTCAGCAGCGCAGGGTCGACCTTACCACCCATTTCCTGGATGAGTCTGTCCGGAATACCGGCTCTGAAAGACTCAACAACATCGCCAGCTCTCATTCCTTCACAGGCAATGATGTACGATAGCTCACCACTCTCATTGTGTTTCAATAAGGCAATATGGGACGTTCTGTTGGGGTCATACTCAATTCTCACAACCGTCTGTGGACCAGAGATCTTTCTTTCATAATCCACAATCCTCACTCTCCGCTTGTGTCCACCACCTCTGTGCCTAACTGTAATTTTTCCGGAGTTGTTTCTTCCGGACTGTTGATGCCATGTATATGTCAGGTTTTTTATAGGACTTCCCTTGTGTAAGTATGGATACATTGGTCTTCTCCACCATCTCAAACCAGGCGACGTTGGCTTGAGTTTCTTCAGCTCAACTTTAGCATTTGCCAGCTTCATTTGACGTTTCACAATGATGTCTTGGCGCTCCAGATCTGTTAAATCCTTTTCTCTAGGTACAATTTTCAAAATCCGCGAGTCCAACTGCTGGACGACTGGTGCCTCTGTCGAGGCCCATCTCCTGGCCAGCGCCAAAACACCCGAGTGCGAGCTCGAGGGTTGGGCTCTGGCAAATGCAGACCTGAAGTTTGAGCACAACATTGTACAAGTGCGAGACTAGAGAACAACGGTGACAACAGCGTTCCATATGTGGTCCCGTTGACTGGTCTCGACAGATCCATCTTTTCATCGGCCGGGTTGGTCGTGTCCAAACCAATATAAGGGTTACCCGCCCGATCTTCCAACCGACAAATCCAAGGCCTCCAAATCCACTACGGATCCCTCAGAACGTGATCAACAATCAACCGTGTTCGTACACTCTATTCATCCATCTATATTCAGTGACAATGGCTTCCCGTATGTTTTTCCGCTCGCTGGCCACCGCTGCCCAGAGCGTCAAGCCTCCTGTCCAATTGTTCGGCCTGGATGGTACCTATGCCACCGCCCTTTACACTGCTGCCGCCAAGGACTCTTCCATCGAGAAGGCTGCTGCTTCCCTCAAGAGCTTGCAATCGGCTCTGGAGAAGGACCCAAAGACCTCTGGAATTCTCACCAACCCAGCCCTTTCTCTGGATGACAGAAAGGTTTTGGTCAGCACATTGGCCTCTTCCTACAAGCTTGAGCCAGTTGTTGTCAATCTGTTGAACGTTCTGGCCGAGAACAACAGATTGCCATTGTTCGAGGATGTTTTCAACCAATTCTCTGTTTTGAATGATGCCCATAACGGTCTTGTTGAGGCCACGGTCACCTCTGCCACCAAGTTGGACCCAAAGCTGTTGAACAGAATCTCCAAGGCCATCTCTGCCTCCAAGTACGTTGGTCAGGGTAAGACCTTGAAGCTCACCAACAACGTCGAGAGCGACATTTTGGGAGGTTTGATCGTCGAGGTTGCTGACAGAACCGTTGATTTGTCCATCTCTTCCAAGATCACCAAGTTGAACAAGACCTTGACCGAGACTATCTAAGTCGACCATAGAAATTTATTAAAATGCGCATATAGCAATGAACAAAAATTGGATACGATATTTCATTCTAAGTACAAAGAGCTTAATATTGGTAGACAAAGGGGGAGTATTGGTAGCTGCTGTTGAAACTTGATACTACTAGCTCTGGAGATTTCGGCCCTACATTTAGCCAGCCCTTCCACCCAGCTAACTATTCAGCCAGTTACAGCCTCACCTTCTGAAAAATTCTGTGAAATTGCTTGATTGCTCTTCAATCCTTATTGATGAGTAATAGCAATGTAATGTGATATCTTCAGTGCCAAAATTGACCAAATTTTATTACGAAGCCTCGTCAAATTCACCACCAAACGTGCTTACAGCATCTCGCTGTCAGATCTCACCGCACGACTGGCCTTAAGGCATCGCTCGAAACAAGACATTTTCCTTTAGCTTCAATTATCCCCACAACCACCAGTAGACCAAGCCAAATGACTGGCGATACCACTAAAAGTGAGTTTCTGAGCTTATTTGCCGTATTATTTGAGACCTGAGGCTGGAAATTTACTAACTCTTATATGTCTAGTGAGACTCTCCAGCCATCACTACGTGGATGTGACGGACAAATTCTTTGCGGATACGAACGGTAAGTAGTGGTTTTGGACTACAAGAACAAGTTTATTCTTCTTATTACTAACACGGTGCCATTTCATATAGTCATCAAACATGGTGAGATTGTCAAATCACCGGCATTCTCGCTACTGGAAGGTACCAATGCTCTGGAGGTATTGAACTCAAAATTGGACACAGGCATAATAGAGCTCACTGCGAGTGAGGCAAACTTCGATGTGACTCTGCCGAGAGATGTTGACTCGGTTTGTTCGATTTTCAACGAGATATTGAAATCTCTGGCGACTTGGCTGGACAACAGCTCTCTCTCCATCACGCTTCTGTCCTGTCGATATGTCGAAGAACTGCAAGTGAATTGCACCAAATATGGCATATCAGATATCAACCAGCTAGGGTTCTTTCCCCCAAAAGAGCAAGCACAAATATCACCAGATGAGAGTGATGAATATCTCCTGGTGCACAAAGTGCTGAGAGCGTACACCATAGGTATTTCCAAGTTTGTAAATTTCGTGCTCACTTTGGGCCAAGCAGGTGTGATATACAACGACGAAGACCTCAACGTTCAAACAATGGACTTGGACTACTGCAATAAGATTGAGATGATTGACGTAATTGACCTGGTTGATGAGGCTTCTGAATGGCTAGGCACCCATGAGGCAGAAGGCTATGCCGTTTTGATTCAGTTCATGCATCTCTTGAGTACGTTGTTGAGCATTCCATCTGTTCTTTCGAGAAGACTGGAGCTCTATCTTCCTGAAAACTCGAGACTTGATCTGTCTTTCCTGGAGCTAGGAGAGCAGATAGCTCTGGATCTTCAGAAAAACGCAGATTTCTTCGAGGCTCTTCCCAAGGTTGAGGGGTGTTTCTCTGTTGGAGCCCAGAAAAGGCTCAGCAACAGATCACCACCAAAGCCATTGACAATGGACTCGCACGCGCTGGCATACTCCGAGTTAGCCAGACTGTTCAAAGACACGAAACGAGCAATGAGCGTGGTCAATGTCCAAAACATTGGACAACTCCAGATGTTCAATCTCTTTTTCATGAACCAAAGAGCAACTCAGGCAGACGAGGACGATCAGCCTACAAACCATGTTGTCGCCCGTGCTGTATTGCAACTATTCTTTATTAGAGACGATAAGACAATCATGGGTGGTTCCAAGACTCTTACTGATCTGTTGATTGATGATATGAAGTTCCTTTGCTGTTGTGGAGCCCCAAGTTTGAAATATCTCGCTAGTGTTAATCCAGATTTGTCATTGGAGGACCAGTCCAAACTGCCTGTTATCAGCTCCATGGTTCTTGAGCTGATTGGTCAATTACAGGGCCCTTATTTCATGCAATTCACAACAATATCGCAAAACTCGGCCCGACAGCGTCAACACTTCTGCAAGTCTATATTGGCTTGGGATACCCTACACGTGATGGCGGAGAAGCTTGAAATTGATCTCCATGAGGAGTACCAGATATACGATTGTTTCAAGTCTGAAGATGGAACCAACCAGGAGGCTATGCTGCCAATATCTTCCTGGGTGTATTTTTACAAGTTGAAGGCAATGCTGGAGATTGTGCTGAGAGGAATCGAATTGGGTGTTTACAAGGCGTGGGAGTTGCAAGCAGCCTACTGGTACGCTGCGTACCTCAATGATTTCCTTGATGCTCACATATCAAGGTTGCAGAAGATCAACAAGTCCCGGATGGACACTATTTTGAGCATACCGAAGAGACTCAAAAAGCTCAAGGCTGGTGAGAAGAAGCAGAAGCTCAAGGCTGCATATCAGGATAAGATGGAGGCCGAATTTCCACTATTGCAACAGACATTCGAGAGACTTAAGTATCTTCAATTTGAGAGTAATATCTCAAGACTCATGATGGAGAGGCAAAGGGCAGCTCTCTCCATATTCCATGCTCTTGATCTGTTGAAATTCCCCAAACAGGCCAGAGCTTCGGAGGCCATGCTGTTTGCCCTACAAATGAAACCTTTTGCCTCGGTTGGGGTTCCAGCCCCTCCCAACTATGGCGATTTCAATGCTGAGAGATCTGAGATCACAACGACTCTCAAGAACGAATTGAAGTCCAATGCAACTTTGATTGCTATCACGAGATACTTCCAACACATACAGGATATCGGCGAGAAGGCCGGCTCTTTGATACAGTATGTGGTAAAGGGTATTGAATCTGGTGATATGGACGGTGACAGTTTTGCCCTGTGCAAGTCAGAATCTATCCAGTGGTATAGAGACCTTGAAGCTTCCAATAATACCCAAACAATTGTGATGAAGGTGCTACAGAGAAAGCTTCAGGACAAGGCCTTTGTTAAGCAATGTTTGGCTGGTGAGAAACGAATTGAGATCACGAGAAAGGGGTACCACAGGCACTATCCTATTTGTAAGATTGCATGACTGCTTTCATTCAATTAATAAATACAGTTGCTTCGTTAAGTCGATAACATTATATCTGTAGACCACAACATTGTTGAATGTTGTATTAGGGTATATTCCCCTTGCTGATATCACGTGATTCAATTTCCCAAAGCGGAAATATTCTGTCACAAAAACCTTCGACAGTCACAATTATTTAGCGCGCACACGCTCAAATTTCCGAATTTTGGAGGCCTAATTTTGTGGTTAGATACCCTGAGCCATCCTCAATTTTCAAGCACGCATACTAATCTTGGGTTTTTCACCTCCTCTACTGAATCTTTTGTCTTCAGCAAACACAACAGTTCAAAACACAAAATGCCTCCAAAGTTAGATCCTAATGAAGTCAAGTTCATCTACTTGAGAGCCGTCGGTGGTGAGGTCGGTGCCTCTTCCGCTTTGGCCCCAAAGATTGGTCCTCTTGGTTTGTCGCCAAAGAAGGTTGGTGAAGATATCGCCAAGGCTACCAAGAACTACAAGGGTATCAAGGTCACTGTCCAATTGAAGATTCAAAACAGACAGGCTGAGTGCTCCGTTGTTCCATCTGCTTCTTCCCTGGTCATTGGTGCTTTGAAGGAAGCCCCAAGAGACAGAAAGAAGGAGAAGAACGTCAAGCACAACGGTAACATCCCATTGGAGGAGATCTTCGAGATCGCCAGAACCATGAAGGAGAAGTCCTTCGGTAAGTCCCTGGCTTCCGTGTCCAAGGAGATCTTGGGTACTGCTCAGTCCGTTGGCTGCCGTGTCGCCGGTAAGAACCCTCACGACATTATCGAGGCCATCGACAGTGGTGACATTGATGGTATGTATTAACTACTGCATTGATTTGCATCTTGCTTTCCCATTTCGTTGTTTACTAACCCATATTCCTACAGTGCCAGAAAACTAAGTTTCTATGTACAATGAGTTTATAATCGGGTAATATCACGTTTCACGCTGCTACAGGACAATTTCTTGTAGGAAATGTGAGGTTGAAACCATCATCGTTACCATTCCCATCCACAGATTTCGATCGATATCTGATGGACAAGCTGTTTGCCAACACTCTGGTGCCGGGTTTTTCTGCTCTATTCGGTTCCTATTTTGGTGCAAACTAGATCAACATCTGCTTACTACTCACCGAGATCACCTCTAACAGAGTCTGACTTGCTTGATAGTACTCCATTCTTCGGTTTGGAGGATCCCTCGCTTTTCTCTCTTCTGTAGTTGGTTTTATTGGTCCATTTCATTAGCATACATTTCTTGATGATGGTTTCAACTCACATTGTACGTAGAGGTGAAAGCTAGATCTCTATGAGTGTCTTCGCATTCAATCACCTGTCTTTGATATTCAAGACTTCTTCTCTTCTTGCTTACACAACCTAGATAAATAGTCATCGATAATAATTAAGATTCTAAAAACCGGAAAACGTAAGTCTCATCCCATAAACCAAGCTGCTCTGAAGTGTCAGATAGCAACTAAAAACTCTTACTCAACTTCTTCAAACTCTCAAAAAACTGTTAGGCTCAGAAATAGACTCTCCACCTCTCTGAGAGTGAGCATTATCCAGAATCTGAGCAACATCCCTGTTGGTAATTACAACTCCTTTTTCTGAACATTTAGCCTTCTGCTTCAACTCGCTGCAAAGGCCATCAATATCCAGCTCTGAAAACCTAGGATGGGTAGTGATTCTTTCCCATATCTCAGAACATTTAACAAGATTGGGCTCTGCTGGAACAACGTCGTTATCGGACAAGTCATCATCCATATTCTCTGGAACTTGCACCTTCGTTTGGTTCAAGTTCTGCAAATTGGCGGTGGTAACTGCAGCACTTTCCTGATATAGAGAGCCAAAAGCGTCGTACTTCGATTCCTCCGTCACCAATCCACTCACAACATCATCATTCTGAAATAAATCGTCCTCAAAAAGGTCCGTAAACTCGTTGGAGCCATAGTTGTGGTTATTGTTGTCGAATACCACCATTGGGTCAAAGGGGGAGTTGTTGAGGAAAGCCATTGGGTCTTCAAGGTCGTTTCCCCCGACTGTTTGCTTGTCCGATAGAAGAGCCATAGGCGACGGAGCATTCAAAAAGTTATTGGAAGCAGTTAAGGTATTGGCTTTGGAGAACTCTGAAGGCTGCGTGCTTCTGTAGTCGAGGGTCTTTGGAACAGGACAATCTTTGGTTCCACAGGCAGTGTTCAACTGCGCGCAGAAACTGTCCACATTTTCATCAAAGTGCTCCACAGTGTCTAGTCCCGATTTGAAAGTATCATCCGTTGCAGAAAACTCCATGGAGCCGTTCGTAGCAGGGGAAGACTCGCTGGCGGTGGAGAACGTCTTAGTCGAGGGTGCCAGTTCTGGTACAGACGACTTGGAAGAACGGGAAGTCAGCGCAAGCGATCCAGTCACTTGCTGGGGCTTTTCTCTCCATGGGAAATCAAACTTGAATGTGGACTTGTTGGAAGAGCTCAAAGGAGTTGCGGACGAGGCAGATGAGAGATCAGAACCTGGGGAGTCCGAAACGTTCGAAGCGGCTGAACTTATATCTGAGGAACTCGACTTCGCTACGGTATCCACAATTGGCGCCTTCGGTAGAACGTCGGAAATAGACCTCTTTCCTCTGATACGACCGAGCTCATTCATTAGCGACTCCACCTGAATTCTCAAAAACTCAGACTCGTTGCTCATTTGAAGCTTTTCGTTCTCCAAGAGTTCAACCTTCATCTCCAGCTCTTTCATCTTGCGCTCTTTACGCTCTCTGAAAGCCCGCTGAGCGGCCCTGTTCTGTGCTGTTCTCTTGTTCTTTGGCTCCGTCTGTATCGGCTTTCTGCCGGGCTTGTGACCTGGGGTTGGCGACGCAGAATCGCGGTCCTGGCGCTTCAAAGACACATCGTCTTCGTCGTCTTCGTCGTACTTGCTTCTTTTGGAGTCGGCCATTTCTGGGATAGTCGCGTTGATCGTGAAGTAAAGCTTTGCTTGTTGGTTTGCCACCTGATGATATGGAGCGCACCCAGTTGATTTGTAATACAAGAATGAAAAGCTAGTATGTGCACTACCTTCCTCTGATACTTGTGCGAATCACTTCAACAGAACAATCACAACCAGTATAATTAGTCAAATTTACGGCTTGACGGAAAAGCAGAGTAGAAGTGATTTCCAGGGAGGCGAATGTGGAGTTATATAAGAGTTGGTGCGACGACCAATGGACTTAACGGCTTGAGCGGCCCGCTGAAAAAGAAATACTTGCTTCTGCTGATTATTCAGCCGTTTGCGAGTTAGACTATAGACGCAGTGTCAGGTGGCTGGAGCATTATGATTGGTTAATGATTTAGTAGTTGTGCCTGGTAACGTTGCAGAGTGAGTGATACGTTTACTATCGTTATTGCAGGGTCTAGAGATTCTTTTTATGATGTATGCGGGTCAACCGATGGCGGAGATGACCTGGACAACTGCAGCAACAGAAAAGTCGAGCTTGTTTCTATGACAGTGTAATTTCCCAGATAATTGCCTCTTCATGTATTCATACAGAAATCAATGTGCTGGGATCGGGGTAATTTCAATGCCCACTCGTATACAATCGAACGGCTTTACCTGATGCTGCCTCCTACCCTCCCCGCTTAGAAGGACCTAGATGTCTTAAACCCGAGCTGCCATTTTGACACGGGTCTGTTAAAACTGCGATGTTATCACGTGCACTAAACAAGTCAAATTGTTTGGATGATCCACTACTTTGAGGTTATGACGCCCCGTCCACATTGATCCCCCTATCGCCAATATCGAAACAGGTGTCCAGTATCGAGGCAGGCCAAACAAACATTCACCAGCATCAAGGTCCTTCAAACAAGGTTGTCTCCACCTCGCTTCCAGTGTTATATCCTCAGATTTACCTTTATCGTAGTAACGATTACCGAGGTCATTTCTTGCACCAGATTGAACTTATTGATCGCTTGAATCTGAAATTTCGACATGACGGTGAGTATTTGATGTGATCTAGAGATCACTTCCCGTTGCAACTTCTTTTCCAATAACTATACTGCTAACACTTTCTCTTTTTTAGGACATTTACGAAATTGAAGACATCGATGGTGTTCGTTTCAACTGGAACGCGTTTCCAGTCACCCGAAACGAGGCAGAGAACATCTCCACACCGGTCGGATGTCTGTATACGCCATTGAATCCAAGAGACGATTTGCCAACAGCCAACTACGACCCCCAGATATGTCGTAAGTGTCATGCGGCTATGAATCCTTACAGCACCATTGATTTGATGGCAAAAATATGGACTTGTCCGGTTTGTCTTTCCAGAAACCAACTTCCTGCCCATTATTGCAGCCTCTCAGCAGAGAACTTGCCGGTTGAATTAACCCCATTGGCATCCACCATTGAATACGTATTGAAGAGACAACAGCCTCCACCCCCACCTGTTTTCCTGTACGTTATTGATCTGTGCCAGGAACCAGAGGACTTGCAGGCATTGAAAGACAGTTTGATCACTTCATTGTCTTTGCATCCCCCAGGAGCCCTCATTGGTTTGATTACCTTTGATTCTGTGGTAAACGTCCACGAGCTCAAGTTCGAGTCCGGCTTCAAGAAGTATGTGTTTAGCGGGAGCAAGGAGCACGAATCCGTGGAGGTCCAGAAGCAACTCGGGATCTTTGGTAATTGCCAGAAGACCTGGATTCAGCAGTTCGAGACTCAGAACGGAACAATAAACAAGTTCCTTCTTCCATTGAGCGACAGCGACGCTGAATTTCAGATTACGAAGACCATTGAAAGCTTGGAATGCTCTAAGTGGATTGTTCCAAGTGGCCATAGAGCTGTCAGAGTTACCGGAGCTGCTCTTTCCATCGCCTCGTGTTTGGTCGAAGGTGCCTTTTCACAATGTGCCGCCAAGATCACCCTTTTCGCTGGTGGTCCATGTACTTTTGGCCCAGGCATGATCGTTGGTACGGAGCTCAAGGAGCCAATTAGATCGCATAATGATATAGACAAGGCGTCCGCGAAGCATTACAAGAAGAGCGTTGCATTCTACAAAAAGCTGGCTTCGAAGGCTGCTGGGATCAAGAAGGACATCAAGGATAAGAGTATCGACCATGCTTCCACCAGTATCTTCTCGGTGGATATATTTGCCGGTTGTTACGACCAAACGGGTATCTACGAGATGAGATCCTTGGCCAACCTCACTGGTGGTGTCTTGGTAGTAACCGATTCTTTTCAGACCTCCATCTTCAAGAACTCGTTCTTTGGAGTTTTCAATAAGGATGACGAAGGTTATCCATCGAGCTACTTTGATGGTACTTTGCAAGTATTTACCTCTCATAAGTTGAAGGTTGCCGGCGTCGTTGGGCATGCGATGTCCTTGAAACATCATGCTGACAACGTTGCCGACATCCAAGTTGGAGATGGTCTCTCGGACAAGTGGAGAATGTGTTCTTTGTCCCCAAGACACACATACGGTATCTTCTTTGATATGCAAACTGTGCCAACCGTGGACCAAAGAAACTCTTCGGTCGGCGATGTTTGCATCCAATTCCAAACTACGTATAGACACGCGAACGGCTCGGTGAGAACCAGGGTTACAACCTTGAGAAGAATGACTTCAAATTCCACCGACCTGTCGCACACTTTCGACCAGGAGGCTGCTGCAGTTCTCTATGCCAGATTGGTTGTACACAAACTTGAGGCAGGAGGTGAGTACTCTGATCTTCTGAGATGGATAGATAAGTCGTTGGTCAAGTTGTGCACCGTTTATGGTGACTACTCCAAGAACGACTCGAACTCGTTCAGATTGTCGAGCAAGTTCTCGTTGTTACCACAATTCATCTACCACTTGAGAAGATCCCAGTTCTTGCAAGTGTTCAACTGCTCCCCTGATGAGACTGCATTCTACCACCACACTTTGTTGAGAACAGACATCAGAGACTCTTTGGTTATGATCCAACCAACTTTGACCGTGTTCAGAGCAGATGGCTCAGACCCAGAGCCTGTTCTCTTAGACTCTGCTTCCCTGCAGGCGGACTCTGTCTTGTTGTTGGATGCGTTTTTCTACATTGTGATCTATTTTGGTCATGTGGCTGCTGAATGGAGAGACAAAGAGTATCCAAGAGATGAATATCCTGGTGTGTACGAGATGATTGACAATTCCAGAGAGGAGGCTGCTAGTCTGATCTCGGATAGATTCCCGCTTCCAAGATACGTCACTACCGATGAGGGTAAGTCGCAAGCGAGATTCTTGTACTCAAAACTTAACCCTTCCGAAAATGACTCGCAAAATTTTGGTGCAGCCATGGCTGGATATGTTGCCGATGGTTCGGATGCCAACACTGTTGTACACACCGAAGACGTGTCGCTCAAGACCTTCTTTGCCCATCTTGCTAGGCTGGTTGTCCAGAACTCCAATGCGTGATGTATAACAGATTTCAAAATAATATTGCGAAAAGTATCTTCATTTCTTTCATCCGAGTAGCCAAACGCCTGTATTGTTGCCGCAAAAATATACTCCGCTCGGCGGTGACGTGCATCGCTTCAAATATCCGGGTCGGATTGCTGCATGCGGTTTAATGCACAACCGGATACACAACTTTCTCCGCCAGTCCCCAATTGTTGCACTGTTAAGCCAGGCGCTTAATAATTTGCTGGCAGATATACTCCGACTAGAAATTTCGATGCAGCAAGATAGGCGGAATAACATCCGTCTCTTTTGTATCGCGGAGGGGCTAAGTGGTAGTACATTCTGCGTTGTGTATACTGCTTTCTAGATAAAACAAGCATTTGGTCTTTTTCGATCCTAGATTGTTACTTGTAGACTTGAGCATTTGTTTTTGAGGCTTAAGCTGGGTTTTTATTACTGTTTATTCATTATGGCTCCACCTTCAGTCGTTGACTATAGTCAGCACCAGTCCTTCCTCCCTCAGGACGCACCACTGATTCCAGACATTCAAACCAGAAACCCGTTCGATGTGCTGCCCTTCCCGGTTCTCGAAGAAAAGGTTTTTCTGACAAAAGTTCTCGATATAGACCTCAAGACCAAGGACAATCATGTAGCCAGGGACCCACGTATGTTGAGGCTGACTGGAGGCCATCCTTTCAACAGCGAGCCTCCGCTATCTCTGTTATACAAAAGTGGATTTTTGACTTCTGCACAGTTGCATTTTGTGAGGAACCATGGGGCTGTTCCACAGGTGGCAGATGAGGAAATGCTGGACTGGACAGTGAGTATTGAGGGAATGGTGGACCGTCCAACGACTATCAGTCTCAGAGAAATAATGTCCGAAATGGACATATACACACAACCTGTCACCATGGTCTGTGCCGGTAACAGAAGAAAAGAGCAAAACATGGTCAAAAAAGGAACAGGATTCAACTGGGGTGCTGCTGGAACGTCAACTTCGCTGTGGACTGGTCCCATGCTGGGTGACATAATCGAAAAGGCTGGTCCTCACAAACGTGCACGGTATGTGTGGATGGAAGGGGGTGATACACCTGCAAACGGGCATTATGGAACCTGTATCCGCCTAGCATGGGCTAGAGATCCTGAAAGAGGTATCCAGTTGGCATATAAGCAAAACGGGAGTTTTTTGCTTCCGGACCATGGTAGACCACTCAGAGTGGTTATTCCAGGATGCATTGGAGGTCGTTCCGTCAAATGGTTGAAGAGACTGATAGTCTCAGATAAACCGTCCGATAACTGGTATCACTACTTTGATAATAGAGTGTTACCAACCATGGTCACTCCTGATATGGCTAAAACAAATCCTGATTGGTGGAAAGACGAAAGGTATGCTGTATACGATCTGAATTTACAAAGTATAACATGCGTTCCTGAGAATGACGAAATTCTGAAAGTGATCAAGGATAACGTCAGCCATGACTATGAAATTAAGGGATTTGCATACAATGGTGGTGGAGTAAGGGTGGGGAGAGTTGAAGTGAGTCTGGATAGAGGCAAGACATGGAAACTTACTGAGATTGAGTATCCCGAAGACATATACCGAAATGCTGGTTATTTTCGTCTCTTCGGGGGACTCGTTAATGTTTGTGACAGGATGTCATGCTTCTGCTGGTGTTTCTGGAATGTAAAAGTGAAGATATCAGAGCTGCGTGATTCCAAAGATATACTAGTTAGAGGAATGGATGAGAGAATGGTGGTACAGCCGAGAAACATGTACTGGAACGTGACATCAATGCTTAACAACTGGTGGTATCGTGTGGCGATAACTCATCCTGATCAGAATGATTTGAACACACTCAAGTTTGAACACCCGGTTATTGCGAATAAAGCTGGTGGTTGGATGGATAGGGTCAAAGCACAAAAAGGCGATATCCTGTCGGAAACATGGGGTGAGAATGATGCATCGGATGCCGATGGTGCAGGAGCCGCTCCCGGCGAGCCTGAAGTTGATGAGGATTTGGAATGGATGTGCAATCCGGAGAAGATGAATGTGGTAATTAGCATGGAGGAGTTTGCAAAACACGAGAACGAGACAAACCCATGGTTCGTTGTTAAGGGTCATGTTTTCGATGGAACAGAGTATCTGGAAGAACACCCTGGTGGGGCCCAGAGCATCACTATGGTGGCAGGAACAGATGCCACGGAAGACTTTCTGGCGATTCATTCTTCTTTTGCCAAAAAAATGTTACCCAAATGGCACCTTGGACGTTTAGAAAATGCTGGTAGCAAGTCGGATGTGAAAGGTGTGAAAGGTGCCGATGTAGAGGAAGATGTCTGCAACAGACCAACCTTGCTAGATCCGAAAAAATGGGTTTCCATTGTCTTGGATAAGAAAGAAATCATATCTGCGGATTCAAGAGTATTTTCTTTCAAATTGCAACATCCAGATCAGACCACGGGACTCGCTGTCGGAAAACATCTCTACTTGAGATTGAAAAACAAAGACGGGAAACATGTAATGCGTGCTTATACCCCCAAGAGCTGTCACAGGACGAAAGGGATATTGGAGATTCTGATTAAGGTATACTTTCCCAACGGTGATATACCAGGTGGTCAGATGACAACTTTGATAGAGGAAATGCAATTGGGTTCTCTGATTGAAGTAAAGGGGCCATTGGGTGAGTTTGAGTACCACGGTGATGGTAATCTTCTATTCAATGGCAAAAAGCGTACCGTGAAACACTTTGTGATGATTGCAGGAGGAAGTGGTATCACACCATGTTACCAAGTAATAAAGGAGATATACTTTGATGCAAATGACGGCACAAAAGTAACTTTCTTCTTCGGCAATAGAACGCCAGAAGATATACTTTGCAAAGAGGAGCTGGACAAAATCTCGAGAGAGCGTCCCCAGATCAAGATGGAGTACTCGCTCAGTGACAGTTCAAAACTTCCACAGAACTGGTCTGGTCGTGTGGGAAGAATCACAAGTGAGATCCTGGATGGGTATATCTCGGGATTCGAGAAAGGTGACTTTATGGTATTGGTCTGTGGACCTCCAGGAATGGTGACCTCGGTGGAAGATTGGATGAAGGAGAGGAAAGTCGACCGCAACGATGTGGTGTTTTTCTGAACATAATTTACATACCTGCAGTTCTCATAGTTTGGTGCTTACTTACTTATATAATGACAAACAAATCACACTTATCTGTCAGTAGCGCTTCGAGTCCAGCCCGATATGGGCCTGCGTGAGAAACAGGCAAATGAGTTTATTTTTCGGTCAGTATCCACAAATTCAACCAAAAAAATTACCGGTCCACTGGGAAGATGGGGGAGGAGGTCTAGAGAAATAAGTGCGTCTGTCTTCCTCCGTCAAAGATGGCGTCATCATCGAATTATCTTCCCCAGCAAAGCTGAAATTGAACGTATCCATAAACTCCGGTGGATGTGGCATCTCTGTCTCATCCTCCACCTTCAAGTTGTTATAAATGTGATCATGGTATGGCTGGAACTGTTCGTCAAACTTCTGGATGTTTTCCTTGAGATCGTCCATACTTGCAGGAGTAGAGGCTTCACCCACACTTCTGGTGAGAGCTTCAGCCTCTTTGAGGAGCGGGAATACCACATTCCATTTGTCTGCCAATAATGACAGAACCCTGATATCCTTCACCCCTCTGCGCCAGACCTTTCCAAAGCTAAGCAGACCTCTAACATAGATGCCCATTCTTTCCGCGGATCCTTTCTTGATATGTTCGTCTTGGTTGGCCATTACAAACAGGTCAAACATCGCACATTGAAAGATAAGATAGCCTGCAAAGTAAGGGGCCTGGTCGAATCCATACAAGTAGTTGAACCGCTGTACCAATCTCGCAGCCTTATCACAATCCTGTATCAGAACCGACATGATGTCAGCAGGGCTTTGACTCAAGTATGACCGATGCAAAAGGATTAACACAACGTAGTATGATAGGTGCAGCAGCAGCACCCTTCTGTCCGTGGTGTCGGGTTTCAGCAATGCCTTCTCCGGAAAGGAGTTATACAAGACTTGAAGGGAACTAAAGCCTTGTTTGACAAGAATGAGCCTGTGCGAGTTATGGAGATAATCTGCTTTGAAAGAGTAGATCTGACTCATGCTCCGATCATGAATGTACCATAACTTAGAATGGAGAGCGAATGTGGATTCCGAAAGTGCTAGATCTCCACCAGCTTCCAGAGACAGCCTTGGAGAATAGAAGGGAGCCTGGATGCGGAAATACTGGATACGACATCCGCGTCCTAATACTGTAGTGATAAACCTGTCCTGCAGGATAATGGACCAGAACAAGGCTGATTTCACGGGCGACATGGAAACTATCTGGTTGGAAAAAGAGATGGGATCATCAGGTCGCTGTCCTTCTCCAAGATGAAGACCCATGAACTGGGTCTGCGAGGCACACATCGCATCAAAAAGCCACGAAACAGAGTCATGAGCCATTCCAAGCTCATAACATGATAATATCAGCAAAGCCTGCAAGACTCTGTAGTTGAGTTGACCTCTACAAGCGGAAAGGGCCACGGCTTCAGCTTCTGCTAAAAAGGCCCCAGAGGTATGTTTGTGATCAGAATATAGCGCCGCATATGAAAATACCGCACACAACAATAGGTGTTTGTCCAATTCCTGGTTCGGGAAAGACCATTCCCTCATTTCGCTCAAAGTGAGCTCGGAGATGTAAAAGTAAAAACCAAAATGGAGCTCGAACAGGTCCAAAAGATGGCTTCTGAACGCACTGTTCGTGAAAGTCACATCCGTCCCAGTCGATTCCAGCTCCGAGGGTTTGTCGTCGTCTTGTTCAATCACCTGCTGTCTTCCCGAAAGAGGTCCGTAGAACTCTGTTTTTCCCTTGTCATCCTTCCTGACTCTCCATGCAGTCGATACAATCTCCTCTAAAGCACTGGAATTAACTCCAAACGGCAACGAAGTGACAGACCTCGAAAGCTTTGGCATGGGTGGATACAGCTTGTTAATATCGACATTCATCTTTTGGGCCTTTTCTGGGTTGTTCTTGATCAACTCTGCGGCGTATTGGTGTAATATGTCACTCTTAACGTCCAGATAATCCACATATGCGGAGTCGTATTTCCACCTGTCAAATTGCCAGTTAGTGTCTGAAAAATCATGAAATCAACCCAAAATCAAACGAGTCTCTTCACTTACTTTCTCTTGTCCTGATCACTCGCGAACTCGCAATTGCGTTCGTTCTTATACTTGATACAGTTCGAACAAGGCTGATGACCATCACACTTCCGTTTTCTCTTTCTGCAAAACGAGCAAGCGGTCGATAGAATTCGTGCTTGGCGTTTCCCACTTGCGCTCTCCATGTTATATATCCTATTATCTGTTCTCGTGATACTGGTCTTGTTTCCTCAAGAGGCGGAAATTACATTCGCATTGGGTCCTAGCCCTTTGAGACTGCATCCGCATGCGCACGACCGCTAACGTCTTTGCATAAGGGCAGCTTCGCTTTGTTATCTAAGGGACTCTCTTGTTCAACCGCGCGAACTACAACAATGGCCACGTACTTGCAAACTGCTTGCATTTATTGCAAGAGCAAGAAGAAATTGGTGAGTTTAAGCGGCTATGACTTTGCAATCGTGTTTGGCAACTAACGACAGGTCCAATGTCAGTGTGATGGAAAGAGCCCTTGTTCGGTTTGCATCAGCAATAAAAAGAGCTGCCTGTACAGTGCGGGTATAGATAGGAGGCGGAGAAAGTACCACACCGACTATGTTGCTTATCTCGAGACAAAGACAGAGGCGCTTGAGAAGTTCATCAGAGGCTTTGTTAGCGACGATGAGGCCCTGAGGCGAAATGCAGAGGATGTCTTCAGCTCGATATCGTTCGAGGACATGGGCAAATCAGCGCCTGTTTCTAATACTGCCGAACTCAACAGCAAACAGGAAATTGATGACTTTAATGAGTTGTTGTACCATGCGCAGAATCTGACCTTGGACTCTGACGAAGTGCAGAGCGACTCTGAAGAAACTGGCGAGATCCCTCTGGGCATGAACGGGCTGGATCTCTACTTTACCGACTCCGATTTCCGAGAGCATTTGACGTGTTGTTTTGAAGAAAACTTGTGCTCAGTTGCATATGTCATTCGGCTGACCTTGGGCGAGCTACGCCAGTGGAAGTTCTCCGCTGATAGACCATCACAGCAGTTGTTAATGTGTGCTGTTTTTGCCCTGGGTGCTCTGTACTCGGACCACCCAATGGCCAGTACGGCTAGGAACGTTTTCATTGCAGAGGCTGAAGATCTAGCTATTGGAACTTCCAGGTATTGTCTAGACAAGTACCTGTTACAGGGTCTGTTTCTGTTGTCATGCTACGAGCTGGGAATGGGCAACGATTCGATATCCTATCTGTTTGACTCTATGGCAAGTTCGCTTACCCAGCATATGGGGTATCATATTTCCTATGATGAGAACTCCAGCGCTGCAAAGTTTGCGCCTACTAGTACGCCCTTCAAATCTGCTCTGCTGTGGTCGGTGTGCTCTCAAGATAGAATCATCACCACAACTCTCTCTGTTCCTTCGTGTATTCACTTCAAGAGGATCATATCTCCGTTTTACAACATTAGTTCACTACCCGATGATCCTGATTACGCTCTTGAGGTGTCGTTTTCATTCTCCTCCCGTCTTTGGTATATTTTGGATAGGTTCATGGACCAGATATGTGCCGTACAAGGAGACGTTGGTGATACTCAAGCGAGAAGCACGCTTCTCGCAACAGGGACCAAAGCTCTATTGAACTTGAAAAACTCCTTGCCTGCAAATCTGCGGAATCCTCTATCTACAACTGATCCTAACTGCCAAGTCTTTCACATTAACTACTACGTCTGTGTCATTTTGATGCAAAGACTGTTCTTGAGGGAACTTCCAGCCGAAGCCAGCAACGCCTGTATTAGTGCAGCGGTATCTGCATCGGAGTTGATCAGGAACTTGTCTTTCGAGTTGGACAAGTCGCCCTACTTTTTCAGTTATCTCGTTAGTTGTGTTGCGATGATCCATTTGGTTCTCCTGATAGAAAAGCAACACCGAGGACCAACCCTCTCCAGCAGTTCTTCTGACCATTACACGGACCTGGTCACCTGCGTTAATGCCCTGGGAGAAATCGGTAAGACTTGGAAGAGAGCTCAGAAGGATCTCAAGTCTCTGCTGTCATTCGCTGAGTCAAATGATTTTTACTGCGAAGAGTTGAGCAATCTGTGCCATCCAACTTCCAAGACACATGAAAAATTTACAGAGATCCCCACAGGAACAGATGCTGCTTTTGAGCAGGCCTTCCATGCTTATCCGAACATACCTCTCTACCAGCCCTACGTCCACAACGATTATACCCAGCCCAACAACCTTGCCTCATACTCACAAAATCCTGGAGAGTTTGCTCCCCAATTCACTTCCGCACCTGTCTATAATTCTGACCAGCATTCGATGTACCCACCATTCAATGCCGTCCCCCAGTTCAACTCTCCAAACATACATTTTCCTGACGGTAGAGCTGGACCTAACAATGAATAGCATATACTTGAGGATTGTTGCTGAGTGGAGATATTTATGTAATGAAGAATCGCGTTCATTTGTTGTACTATTACCTTTAACATCGCTTGTATTGAGCTCACTAGCAATTACTTACCCCTACCAGTCTAAAGAGTCATTACCACATCCAGCAGGTATTGCAGGTATCGCTCTGGTTGGGACTTTGATCTTGAATCGTTGATCAATTCTCTTGAATGGTGTGGCATTGTCGACAGACTCTTCCTTCTTGACCTTCCATCTGGAAGTTCCAAGAATCTCGTCCAGCTCTGAGTCTGGAGGTAATCTCACCAGTATCTTTCCATTCTCCTCCTTGATATCAAATGTAGCAAGCGATTGAGCTGGATCGTTCTTACAAGAACCAGTTTCCTCTTTATTCTGGTCCAAGACATAATTGCGTTTGTGAAGAGGGCATGAGATGTAGGTGTTGTCTTTCTCGTCTGTCGACAGAATACCTTGCGAAAGAACAAATGCTCTCTTGTGGCCACACATATTTTGAGAAGCAAACAATTTTCCTCTAGACTTGAAAAGGGCTATCTGAGTATCCGATATCAGGACAGTTGCAGAAGAGCCAGCTTCACTGTCAGGTAGAACGCTGGAGTCACATACCTCCTTCCAGGACATGGAAGACCATACAATGCTCTTAAAGTCTTCCCTTTTCAACACGTCCTTATCTGGCCAATCAGCAGGTCTTCTTTGACCTCTTTCCCTGATAATCTCAACTGTGTCTTGGGATTTTTCAGTGTTAACAAACTGCTTGAAAACCGGACTTTCCTTCTGGTCTTGAACAGCTTTGCTCCACTCGTCATAGTACATACCAACCAGCTTCTGCATCTGTTCCTCTAATTCTTTGGCAATACCCAATTTGTCTCTCACAACAACGTCTTTAACATATTCAATGCCGCCATCCAATGATTCCACCCATCTTGCAGTCCTCTGCAGTCTGTCGGCAGTCCGGAAATAAAACATGAGGTATCTGTCCAATAAAGGTATCACCTGGTCGGGTGGGCAATCTGCCTGCAGAAGTTGCGCATGGGCCGGTTTCATGCCTCCATTTCCGCCGACAAATACATTGAAGCCATTCTGAACGGCACACAACCCAAAGTCTTTAGAATTAAATTCGGCACAATCTCTGACACAACCAGAGACACCACCTTTGAGCTTGTGCGGCGACCTGATGCCCTTGTATCTCTCCTCAAGTCGTATAGCCAAACCAACAGAATCGCCTATTCCATACCGACACCATGTTGAACCAACACAAGATTTGACAGATCTGAGGGTCTTTCCGTAACCTTGACCAGACTCAAAGCCTGCACTCTCGAGGTCTTCCCAAACGCTAATAAGGTCCTGCTTCTTGACACCAAAAAGGTCAATTCTCTGAGCTCCGGTGATCTTGGTGTAAACGTCAAATTTCTTGGCAACTTCACCAATCGCAATCAATTTTTCTGGGGTGATTTCACCAGCAGAAACCCTGGGAATCACGGAGTACGTACCGTTTCTCTGAATGTTACCTAGATACCTATCGTTTGTCTCCTGGAGTCCATGCACATCGGCCTCCAGGAGATGACGGTTAAAGAGTGTGGACAATATCGAACCAATTGTGGGCTTGCAAATTTCACAACCTGCTGCTTTTGAGTCTTCACCAAGCTCTCTCATCACCTCAGAAAAAGATTTGTATCCTCTAACCATGATCACAGAAAACAGATCTGAACGTGACTGTTTGAAATGAATGCACAAGTTGTTAGCCACAACATTTCCGAGCTTCTTCATTTCCGCTTCAAATATGACCTTGATCGTTGGTTCACATCCTCCACAGGCAGTGCCGGCTTTTGTGCATTTTTTTATCTCAGGAATGGTTTTGCATTTTCCACTTTTTACAGCCTCAGCAATTGAGCCTTTTGTCACATTATGGCATGAGCATACTTGGGTATCGTCTGTCAGCAGATTGACCTCGTCGCCGTCATCACCAGGTTTTCCAATAATCAGCTCAGCTGCAGACATTGGAAGAGGTTTCCGGGACTTGGCCAAAGCTGTAAACTTTGTGAAATTTGAGGTATCACCAACTAGTATTCCACCCAGCAGATACTTTCCATCTTTGGTCACAATTAATTTGGTATATTTACCTTCGATGGGGTCCTCGAACACCAGCGATTTGAGGCATGATTTCCGGTCAGTTTCCTTTTTCATGGCAGCAGGAAGCCATTTGGGACCATTTTTATCTGCGAAATAGTCACCAAAAGAAGCAACATCCACCCCCATTAATTTCAGTCTGGTGCCGATATCCGGCTCAGAAAACTCTTTGAATGCGTGATTCTTGGCCTGGGTCAGGTTGAATGCAAGAACGTCTGCCATTGCTACACCAGGTGCGATTAAACCAAAAGTTTTGTCATTCCAAGAAGCACATTCTCCGATTGCGAAGATGTTCTTACTAGATGATTCCAGGAAGTTGTTGATTGCAATTCCGCCTCTAGGTGCAGTATCAATACCTGCAGCCGAGGCCAACTCGTCTCGGGGTTTGATTCCAATAGTGTAACACAATAATTGACAATCCTCCACCTCACCGTTATTGTACCTGATTGCTGTAAGATTTTGACTTTCGTCAAAAATCAACTCTTCAACCAATGTACCGGTTCGGGCGGTCACACCCAGCTCTCTAACTTTCTCCGTGAGCAAGGCACCTCCCTTTGAGTCCATTTGCTGAGAAAGAAGCCAACCAGATCTGTGCACAACAGTGACATTGTCATACTTGTTCATGTCCAGTAATGCCTTTGCTGCTTCTAATCCAAGTAATCCTCCTCCAACCACGATGGCTCGCTTAGTCTTTCCCACATGGGTTCCCAAGTTATCGGAAAACTGAAGCATTGAGTTCAGATCATCAATTGAGCGGTAAACGAAGCAACCCATCTTTCTATAGACGGAAATGTCAGTTGTCTTGCCTGACTTTGGCACTGGCAACATCTCCATTGGCAAAAGGGCAGTTGAACCTGTAGCAAAAACCAGCTGATCATACGTGAAAAAATCGCCGCTTGAAGTCTTCACCCATTTGTCTGTGTCATTCACCTCGACTACGGCCTCATCAACTCTATAATCCCACTTGGCTGTATTTCTTGATTCGTAGAACGACTCCGGGGACAGAAGAAGGTTGGCAAACTTCCTATGCTGGAAGTATTCGGTGAGCCCGACCCTATTGTAGGCAAGATATGGCTCTTCTCCTAGAATCGTGATCTTATAGAGGTTTGTCTTTTCGTCATTCATGAGCATTTTTTCCAGAAACGCGATGCCCACCATGCCCAGACCGACAATCACCAAATGTTTGCTCAATGCATCTGTACCTGCATTGGTCTGTCCAGGAAGTGGAGGTATCCCATGAGATGAAGCTATTGCCTCGGACGGCATCCTTCAAATGTTTTAGAGCAATGTTTCAAAGAAAAAGGATCAAGAAATGGACCTTCCTAACAGAAACTATTGGGCATTGCATGCTATTTGTATATATGGAACGGAAAATATGCCTAACACATCACTAGTGCAGCGCTTCAATAATGCAGCACAGGCGGAACAGTTATGACACTCAAAACCCCTTTTACGATAACGGTGGAGAATATTTGTTTTTGACTCCATCCCATTGGACAATGCTATCTAAAAAAGTATCCTCCGCTCAGCAGAGATCTGATCCAAATTTCAAGGTTAGGCAAACCGGCATGCATGGCGATAACGGAAACATTTGGTCCGGCTGCAGAAGGAGATGCAGACACCGTAGATGCGTGACAACGACGATACCTCCATTTATCCTTCTTTCCCACATCTAGGTTGAAATTACGGAAAACTCAAGAAAGAATGTTTTATTGTATAGACACAAATATATTGAACACGAAATAAATTAACGAACACTAGACTTTGACGTCTCCTTCTGCCTCATGGTGGGCAGAGACGTACTTATCCTCTCTGATGGGTATAAAACATACCAAAGCATTCAGTCCCATGCAAATAGCACCAATGATGTAGAAACTGCGACCATAGTCAGAGGTACCCTTATCAGTGACATTGTATCTGAACACTAAGGAGAAGACAATACCACCAAGGTTTCCAAAGGCTCCAGTAGTTCCTGCCACAATACCTGGGTGTTTCTTGTTGATGAAGTACACGGTTGAGAAATTTGCACCATTGCCCATTTCCATAAAAACACTCATCGCAGCAAGAGCACCGATGGTTCCGTGGACACTCAAACTGGTAACAAGACCTATCCATAGCAAGAATACTCCTTGCATGAACCCACAAAAAATCATCCAGAATTTTTTCACCTTGGTAGTCTTGAAGGTTCTGTAGAGAAGATCTGAGATAACACCACCCAGAGGTCTCGTAATTATGTTCAAAAGACCCATCATGGAACCCCAATCACCGGCTAATGACTGCGACCATTTTGGAGATTTTTGGGAATAAAGGCCTGAAAGAATGGCCTCGATTGCCAACTCTCCACCAAAAGTACACAGGTAACACAATGCAGTAAGCATAGTTCTGTAGCTGAAAGAAGTTTTAAGAGCTCCAAGAAGAGTTGGGTCTTCGATGATTTCATCAGCCATGATTAGCTCATCAACAGCAACGTTTTCGGCAGAAGCACTATCGCCAGGGGTCACTTGAGAGACAATCCTCTTGCTGGTCTTCTGGTCAGACCTCACGGAAACAACGGTCACCAGAGTATTATCAATACCTATTCCGAGAATATCCTTCCGCTTACTCCATTTCCCCTCCGGGCAATCCTGTCCAAAAAGAATCACAAGAGCAGCAACAAACACGAGAATAACAAACGGACCCACGGTGAACGCCAGTCCCCATGATCTATGCAGGGAGTAACCGTCTCCCAGTAGACTCGATACTAAGGCAGGCATCATAAAAAATGCAACACCACCACCAGCGTTACCCCAACCACCCGCAAGGGCATTGGCGGTTCCTACAATCGTTTTGTCAAAAAACACTGTAGTCCACATTTGGCAGGGCACAAAGGAACCACCCAGAAATCCAATGAAAAATCTGATAGCATGTAGACCAGACACATTGGTCACCAAAGGACAGAACGCAGTAGGAATTGCACCAACAATCAAAGTTCCAGCCATTACCCATCTTGGACCGAACTTGTCGCACAAAGGACCAAGTACGAATCTGGCAATGAGAGTTGCACTGAGACCGCAGATGTTATCATTGGCGATATCAACTGCAGTCAAGTTCAGATCTTTTTTCAAAGAACCGTGTAGCAGAGGTGGAAACGCAAACCATGATAAGAAACAGACAAAAAAACCAAGCCAGGAAAGATGGAAGCACCTGCCGTAGACGTTGATTGGGTTGAAGATAGGAATCGTCAATGCTTTGAGATCCTTGGGGTTAAGCTCCGGGCTTCTGTATAGAGATGAAAACTTCATTGCACGATAGCCAAAATTTTGGCTCTGATATCTATCTCCCGAAGTCGACTGAACAAGATGTTTATATATATCGACACGACAAAACCAAACTCAAGATAGTAATCTTCCTGCGCATGTTTGTGATAAGCGAGGAAGGATTGAACGGACGGATTGAAGGCGGAGAATGCTCGCAAAACTTCAAAACCGGTATCCAGATAATAAAGTAATAGCAAAGCAATTCTAGCCCTATGCCAAGGCGAATCTGAATCAGCCTGGACTCTGCCCGGACTCGCACCACAATCGGAAAGCTTTTGGGCCCAATCTGCGTGACTCGAGGAGGCGTTATGAGCGCGCGCCAAATGCCTTATCGGAGAGTGAGAGTGGTAATCTCCGCCTCCGTCCAATTTTGATTTCCGGAAATCATCTGCTAATTTTGAGCGGGTGGCGGACAATTAGATAGGGTGGAGTTTAAATTTTCAAATACTACAATAATACGGATATGCAGAAGAGTGGTTTGTCCGCGGGCATACAAAGACCTGCTACCAGTAGGGACTGGCCGGTCAACCATGATCTCATAGCAATCCTAGGCCATCATGGCATGACCCAATACACTTGTGACCTCAACTCGTAACATATGGCACCGTACGGGGGTTTTTTCCACTTCTTAACTTCTCTACCACCGGCTCTCTCACCCCACATCGAGCCCTCCCTTGAATTTCTCCAAATCTTGAGTAGTGTTCTACCCATTCAATGTTTTTGGCAGCACACGACATGCCGCGAGCTTCCAAGCATATGCCCGAGACTGACGTCTACCTACACAACACACTGACGCAGAACACTTCGTTCATTGCAGCCATTGCAATAGGTTTACCTTTGAATCATGGATTTGCTGAGTCTGGTTGAAGGAGGCTCTTTAGAGGCCGAAAACGGCAAAGCCGCTACTCCACCTGTACCGGTACCGGCGAATGGAGTGTACTATCTTCCAGTCCCCCAGACAGCCGTGCAAAAAGATTTAGTCGAAGTGCTGTTCAAGCTTCACAGGCACCACCTAGTCAAAATGCTGAAAGCAAATTCAGATTTGAAACATGAAGAAATGGGGAGTTATGCCACTCAGGTATTGACCTCGAAAAATATGTTGGAGCTGCTGATCATAAACATGAAACTGATCAACACCCATGTTACGCTCCTGGTGAAGCATTTTATGCCGAGGAAATTGTTATTGATGGAATCACACCAGCAAATAGCGATAGGAAGTGGCAAGTTTGTTGCTTTGGACCGGTTTTTGAGCGAGCTGGAGCCCGTGAAAAAGACCGTTCTCATTTGTGCTCGTGGCGTGAAAGAGTTGGATCTCGTAGAAGGCTTGATGATTGGGCGAAAATTGAACTACAAAAGATTCACGGGTACATCTTTGTATGACCAGGAATCGACCAGCAAGCAGGTGATCCAGAAAAAGTACCGCTCCATAGTACACAAGAAGGCCAAGCTACAGGTTGGAGGGTCCAACGGTAAAGAAGAGAGCGAGGACTTGAAGAAATCTAAGAGGAAGAAGATAACAGAAGACGACTATGTTCCCAGGAAATCCAAGAATCACCCAGATGTGTCGCTTTTGGAACAAGATTTCAGCTGTGAGATATTTCTGGTTCTCTCTGATCAGGTATCCCAGATGACTGGGTCTGTGGACCTGATTATTTCGTTGGATCCGTTTCTTTCTGTGGACTCGGCTTCGATTCATGTGCTCAGAACCTCCAACTCTAGACCAAGCGAATTCAAAGATAAGGCAGTACTTGCGCCGGTTGTAAAGTTCGTCACGCTTAACTCTGTGGAACACGTGATGCTGAACGTTCCTGGCTTTGAGTCTGGAGACCTTCTTCCGCTTGTAGGAGAAGAAGAGCTCGAGCAGTTGGTCCAGATAGTTGGCTGTAACAGGGGTAATGTGGAAACCTATGATGAATCGAAACCCTCTGAGCATTTTGATGGACTCGGGAACTGGCTAGAGGATCCGTTGACCAATAAGTGGTCTGGTCTTTTGGAACTTCCCAAGCCTGAAGCTCAGTTCCCTGAAGACAAAGAATCTCTGGAAGCTACATTGACCCGAGATTTTTCAGAAGGAGTTTACGAGTTTGACCACAAGGAAGTCCTTCCCGAAAGCAACGGCGACGGAAACGGTACAAAGAAGCTCAAGACCGAACATACCAGCCTTCCCGACTTTACCTACGAGGAATATCTCAAGCAGCTGACCACGCTGGTACTTGAAAGATTTGAGAAAGTGGGCCATTTGCTGGAAAAGGGGAAAAAGCTCTCGCAAGCCATAAAGAACAGAGAAACACAGGAGCAGGCGGCGATGGAGGATAATAACGAAAGGATAGGACTGTATTATAAAGAGTTGAAAGAGTCCGAGGTGAAGGCATCGGCTCTGGAGAGAAGGGCTGAAAGGCTCGATGGTGATCACATCAAAATATCGAAAATCGAGCAAGCCTTGGTTCAAAGACTTGAGACTTTGAAATCACAAGTACAAAGTCTGGAGTCAGATTCTCAACCGACTCTTTTCGAAGAACAAGAAGCGGAAATTGAGAAGCTGAAGCTTCAAGTTGAGACCATCACATCTCATATAGAGACAACCTCGGCAGAGTTGGAGTCTTTCAGGACAAAGTACCAAGAGAAGAGCTCCGAGGCTGCAGGGTTATCTCAAAAGGTGACTTCTCTGGAATCAAAGCGTGATAGTCTACTAAAGGAGTCGAACGGACTGAGTACCAGCCTAAGACAGCTCTTGCTTGACGATGCTAAACTATCTTACAATGAAGAGTGCGAGCTCCTGAGGCGCAAGAACGAGTTCCTGACGGCCTATGCGCACAAGATCGGAGAGATGGTAAAGGAGAAGAACAGTACAGTCCTGAGCAGGGGTATAAGGGTAAGCAGGTCCTCCACGCCTTATGCTGGATAGTTCTGGCATCTCATGACAAATTCAAGTGTACAAACTAGATAATTAACGCAATCGAACGAACAACCCCAACCCTCATACTTATTGTAAGGTGCATGAAATCTTTGGACCGAGTTTCCGTGCGGTTACATATTGGTTGGTGCACTTGATGGAAACTCCGGATAATTCCAGGCGCTTTTGTTACATGCGTGTTCCCCCATGTTCCTCCATGTTCAATTGCTTTTCAAAACAAACAGCTTTGTGCTTAGGTTTGTGTGATTAGAGAGCATTGGACTGACTTTGCTGTGCCTGTGTATAGTCAGTTAAGCCTACCCCTTGTTGAATTCCAGCGAACGAATCCGTCGTCTTGGGTGGCCTGGAAAGCTTACAAACACACTTGAGTTTCCAGACGCTGTCGGGACAAGCCATTTGAAAGATTTCACTAACGATCTCCAGCTCATATTATAATAATCACCAATGGGCGTATATTCTGCGAAGTTAGAGTTCATTCCAGCTGCTCCTCAATGGACCTTTCCCGCCACTGTTGAGCAGGCCCAGAGTTTAGGCGAAGAGTTCATTTTGTTCCTTAAGAATTATGCGCTTGTCTATTGGACAAAAACGTCTTGGTTCCAGTTCTCCAAGGATTTGCTGTTTGCGTACGTTTTCACAAAGATTCTGCGATTGGTATTGCAGTATCTGAAAGGTTACGGGCTTTTGGCTGGTATTCGGGCCGTTTACGGCTATGCTCTGAGATCTGTTTTCAACTTTGTGCTTTCGTTGCCCCCAATCAAACGCAAGGTTGATGCCGAGATTTCTCAGACTAGAGCAAAGATTGAAAGTGCGCTTCTGGTTTCCGATGCTGGAATCCCTGACTTCACAGAGCTCCCGGCCAAGGGTCTTCCTACCGATAAGGTGTACGAGCTTCTTGACAAGTTGAACGACATCAAACACAGCGATTGGAAACACGGGAGGATCTCTGGAGCTGTTTACCATGGTGGTGATGAACTCATTGAGCTGCAATCCAAGGCTTATCATCAGTTTTCAGTGGCTAACCAATTGCATCCGGATGTGTTTCCTGCCGTCAGAAAAATGGACTCCGAGGTTGTTTCCATGACTCTTCACATGTTCAATGCCCCAGAGACCGGATGCGGTACCTCTACTTCAGGTGGAACTGAGTCGTTACTGCTGGCTTGTCTATCTGCAAGAGAGTACGGTAAGAAATATAAGGGTATCACATCTCCAGAAATGGTTGCTCCCGAGTCAATCCACGCGGGTGTCTTCAAAGCAGCCTCCTACTTTGGAATAAGACTTCATCTTGCGCCTCTTGATCCAGTCACATTCAAAGTTGACCTCAAGGCAGTCAAGAGACTGGTTAATACCAACACTGTATTGATCCTTGGGTCTGCTCCCAACTTTCCTCATGGAGTCATCGACGATATCGAGGGCCTGAGCAAAATTTCCACCCGCTGGGGTATTCCACTGCACGTAGACTGCTGTCTTGGTTCCTTCATAGTTGCAAATCTCACCAAAGCTGGGTTCAAGGATGTTCCTCTGTTTGACTTCAGGGTTCCTGGTGTCACTTCGATCAGTTGCGATACCCATAAATATGGATTTGCTCCTAAAGGCTCTTCTGTGATCATGTATCGGAACAACAAGCTTAGAGAGTGTCAATATTACATTTCTACTGAGTGGATGGGTGGTCTGTATGGTTCCCCAACACTTGCTGGTTCCAGACCTGGAGCCCTCATGGCCGGATGCTGGGCCACAATGGTTAATATTGGCCAGGAGGGTTATGTCAACTATTGTCGCGAGATTGTGACTGCTGCGCGTCGTTTGAAGGATGCCATTACTAATGAAATCGCCGAATTGGATGTTATTGGCGACCCAATTGGCTCGGTCGTGGCTTTCAAGAGTAACCTGGTCAACGTTCACCAACTGGGTGACAAAATGGGGGCTAAAGGCTGGCATCTGAGCGCATTGCAGAAGCCACCGGCTCTTCATCTTGCTGCTACAAATCTGTCCATTCCCATTGTCGAGGAACTGATTTCTGATCTCAAAGCGTCCGTCGAGGAGTTGAAGGAATCGGGTTCTGAAAAGGACAAAGGTGATACTGCAGCTCTGTATGGAGTGGCCGGAAACGTTCAAACTGGAAATGTGGCCGATAGAATCATCTCTGCGTTCATCGACACGTTATACAAAGTTTGATCATATACAAAATTACACAAATAACACATGCAACATAGATATATCTCATAACAATATGCAAGAATGTCAAATCTGATCAATCTCTTATCGGAGTCCCAAAAGGGAAATCGCACCCGCGTTAGGTCGTGTGTGAGATTATGTCAAAGATACGGCCGCCTCCTGTCAATGGAACGGCTCCCACGCTGTTTGGTTTGTTGAACCCTACTTCGATTGGAAACAGGTCTGACATCCTTTTAGTGCGATGATCACCGAAATAATCGAATGGGGTTGTCCTGAGTACTCCAGATGCTCGCTGGTGCTCGGTTACGTCTCATCTCTGGCATGGCTCGTGGCACAGGTCCCACAACAGATCACAAACTATAAGACAAAGTCTGTGGATGGTGTTTCGGTTGGTTTGTTGGTTTTGTGGTTTATGGGTGATCTCTTGAGTTTCATTGGATGCATATTGACTCATCAGCTGCCATTCCAGTACTATCTGGCGCTGTACTTCATTTACAACGATCTTGTGCTCTGTGGTCAATGGTACTACTATACGTACCGGTACAAAGCCCATCATCGTGTCAGAATAGAGAAGTTACAGGGTCTTCCTATTGATTCCGAGGAATCATCTTGCAACGAGACAAGTTCACTTATAGAACGGAATCCGGGGTCAGACATACAAAGCACGGGCCAGTCTCGGCTCTCCAAAGCCAGAAGTCCGAATATGGCAAAAATAATGGCAGCATCGGCGTCTTTGATCAGCAATGCGCATGCTCTTCCAATTCCCAAGAATGCATCTTTTCCTGTATCGAGTTACGCTGAGTACGACACGGTTGGGAGATTCTTTGCTTGGTCATGTACTTGTGTTTATCTTGCTTCTCGGATTCCACAGCTCTACAAGAACTGGCAGAGGAAGTCTGTGAGTGGCATATCGCCTCTTCTGTTTGCTGCTGCATTAGTGGGCAATCTTTGCTATACTGGGTCTATTCTCTCGTCCTGTGATTTCATGTTTGCTGATGATGGCAGGGCCTTTGTTATGAAAGAACTCCCCTACATTCTCGGCAGCAGCGGCACCATTATTTTTGATTTGTTTTACTTTTACCAAAGATGGATGTATGGTGAGCATGAAGGGCAAATATTCAGCGACGATGCAGTAGAGAGCATTGTTGGTCAATCAAGTTGATATGATACAGCCCCAGCAGGTCGCTTTGGGTAAATTTGCGCAAGTTCCTCTATAATTATGGCATGATCATTAGACAGGGATTTTGTTTGGTTTTTTATGGTTGGAACAAAGAAGAATTGGCTCGAGCTGTTTCTTAGCATAGTGATATTGTGATGAGGGTCACCTGAGTATGAAAGGTTGAGATCGGGCGTCGTGCGGCGTTTGGTAAGGCTGCATTTCCTAGGGGATTGTAATATTCTCTTCAACCTATCGAACCTTTGCTTTTATTCGATTTCCAAGCACTTTCCATTGACTCTGTCCACTCAAAATGAATCAAATAATTAGCTGAAAGTTTTATGCATGGTTGTACTTCTAATGATTGGGGGACATACAGCACCTTAGACGCATCAATGCAGTAACAGAAATCAGCTTCCATTGGTATTATCATGGACATTTTGAGTTCCGAACTTCTGCATTTCGATGCTAATACCAGGTATGTAGATTTTTTCCATGTGGTTTTGGTGGCATACAGTTTGTTCCTGCTCTTTCCCACTTCCTCTGTTCTCAGTCTTTTGCATCTTTCGTCCTCAGCATGCAGGCATTCAACATATGTGCACATTGAAACGATAAATTTCATCCAGTTCCATTCATTAATTATTCTATTATGTTTTTGGACTTGTATAAAATATTTGAGCTTTTGCAAATATTTCCAGTCATTGTTCTTTGGATTGGCTATATTTTTGTAAAATATCTAATTTCTATGAATACTTACAAATCTTAAATTTTTTTTTCAAGTTCAGTTATTTTTTCTCTACGATGACAACTTTGGGAGTCAAATATCTATTTGAACTGTCTTAAGTTTACTCCTTACCGAGAGCCAAAGGACTTGAGATGTTCACGGGAGTGAACTTCTTTGGCAGGTTCACCCTTGTGAACCTACTCTTCAGCTTCTGGGTAACAAGATCCATATCCAAGTGACGAGTAATGGAAATTCTCCTGATACAGGAGATATAATGCTTCTCATCCAACTGAACATCCAACGGATCCTGTGTATGACAACCAGGAGACAACGACAGTCTGATCGAATGCTTCTTTTCACCTGTTCCATCTTCGCTCTCGTACAGCTCGAATACGATCTGAGAAAGATAGTCCAACTCGGGTAGGGCGTTCCGCGCAATCTTCATGGGGATCTGGGATTCATATATGACACTCAGAAGGGTGTAAATATGGCTCTCCTTTGTGAAGTAGACAACACACGCAGCCGTGTCTGTTTCTTTGATTCTGGCAATATCCGACAGAATCGTTTTCGCCAACGGGAGAGACGTAAGAAGACCAATATCCAGCTTTTCGTTATCTTCAATTCCGTACTCTTGAGGACAAATGAAATCAAACAGAACCTTCGAAAGGCGGTACAACTCACGCAGAAGCGCAAATCTAGGGTCGTCGAATGGCGAACTGGAGGAGCTTCTGGGAGTCTTGCAACCACTATCCAAGACCCACCCAATAGAACCAACAGTCTTGGAACTGCGGTTGTCATCTAGGTTTGCACCATCTGTTACCTTGAAGTTGTTCATAGCCAAAACATTGATCGGATACTCACTGACCAAGGAGGAAGTCTTCTTGATGTCGTCTATATCCTCCTCCTCGGGAAGAAAAATCTTCTGCAAGAACTTCCTGTTGTGCAGAGCATCATATTTCATAGTGTCATACAGCTCGCTAATCTTGGAAGGGTGAACTTTTTCCACAGAAACAAACTCCTGGAAAAGCTTGTCCCAACGTTCTTTGAACAAAAATGGGTCCTCTCCGCAACACCATCTTCTCTGGAAGTTGTCCACGTCCTTCGTGGCAAAATTCCTCTCCATGATTCTGTGATGATAATTCATCAATTCAACAACTCTCTTGATAACCACAAATGGTTCTGGCATCTTCGGAGGCCACGCAAACTGTGGTGGAGCGTCCTTACCCTGTCTCAAAAGAGGCTTCAACTTCTTCTTGACTTTGTCCATCAAGTCTTTTGCAGCGTTGGAATCGTCCAAAAGATCCTTCCTGATTTGCAAGAAGTTTTCAGGGAGGTCGTCCTGTTGTAAGAAAGAGCAGGAGAACAACTGAGCTGATGCAACCACACGTCTTTCAGATGAAGTGAAAACATTCACATTCTTCAAAGCATCTTTGTTCAAAAGCTGTAAATCTTGTCTGAGCTGCTCACCGACATCTGAGGCCTGGTATCTGGCGGAATGCGTTGGTTCTCCACCCCATTTCAGAATCAGCTGCACTTTCTCAATACCGTTATCTTTGGCAAGCGTTGGCTTCAGTTGGATCTTGGTACCTGGGAAAGTCATCTTTTTCTCCAATGCCAGAGCCAGTTGCTGAAGCTTTGCGGGATCCTCAGCCTTTTGTTCTTGTGCCAACTTGACCGTTTGCAATACCACTCGAAGATGGTCCTGTTCGCGAATGATGACCTCCTCCTTGTGACCTTTGAGCAACATGATAAAAAGAGGAGACTTGAATGAGTACTTGAACTTTTGCTTCGGAGTTCTATCAGCATGTCTCACAACAGAAACAATACCTTTGAAAACCCACTTCTGCTTCTTTTCCTCGATAACAGCCTTTGGCATGAAGATATCCTTCTTGCGCTTTTCTGAGATAAAAATGTCCCTCAGTATACTAGCACAAGCATCATAGTAGGCGACGTTGTCCTTGACAAAAGAGAATCCATTTACGTCAATAACATAACTCTTGCCATTGGCCCGGAGCAGGTCAAACCCACAGATTGTTTGGCCAAACGCCTTACAGACTCTTTGAGCAGTAAGACGCTCCTCGTCTGAAAGCTTGGTAACATAGCGAACCTCTTTTCCATGCGTGTTTCTTCTAACTATACCATCGACAACCGGTGACTTTCTGGTCTCCGCGTGACAGAAGTTGGGACCCACGGTGTAAGCTTTGACATCTTCAAAGTTGTCAGTATCCACAAACTTCTCATAAATAAATGAGCCCTTCGTTCTGATCATACTCAAGGTAGGATCAAACTCAGAAGACTTGTTGCCGATCTTTCTGAACAACCGTCTACCACCCCCACCATTGCTCTTTGCATAGTAGATATACACATTGTGGTCCTCTCCATCAACAGGCTTTTCCACAAACGGTTTCTTCAGAACTTGTCCATCCACCATCAAAGTGTCTTCATCTACCATCTTCCAGTCGGGCTCGTCAACCTCATTAACATCAACTCCGATCTCCTCTAACTTGGCCCTCAAACCATCGTCCACCAATGGGCCACCATCACGCGAAATGACCAATCTTTCAGGGGTGGGCACATTTGCAGACTGCAAAATCTGCAAACAAAGACGTCTGTCCCACAGGGTTTTTTGCATAATCAGGTTGTTTATAGTGATTGGCTTTCTAAGAGCAACATATGATATGGCCTTATCCAGAGGGAATCCGGTGGAGAAAAAACTAATCAAGAAATCACACGTTGGCCAATTCTCAATGGATTCATCCAGAATGACTTTATCACCAAATATCACAGTTTCAAATTCACCACTGGCATTCAGCCTATTCAGGATATGGCGACACGGTTTACTCAAAACCTTGTTATCCATAGCACAAACCCCAATTGTTCCCACCTTGGGTAATTTTGGTCCTGAGTACTCTGAAACGGAAACCGAACGAGATTTCATTGAGGTTGGAACACCTGTTCCAATGCTCAGGTTGCTGATGTTGGAGATAGTTGGTTCAAGCTTGGAGGGAGAGGCTGAACGGTCGATTGGCGAACCAATGGGGAAGTCGGTAGAAGACGTCTTTGGTTCATAGCCTTCCAAAATTGGCGCGATTGCAGCCATGGCTCTTTTTCCGAGTTCATCGTCTTTCAAGGCCTGGGGTTCATCTCTAGTGTTCTCTTGATCACTGTCTAAGGAGGAAGCCACAGATGGCGACCGGACCACACCAGATGGGGCCGCCGGTTGGTCCAATGCTAAGTCTGCCGATCCTAAGCTGGTAGAGATTGACATTGTCCAGTATGTGCTGTCGAGCAACGATCTTGGAAAGAAGATAGGAGGGAGCACTTGTAATATCCTCACATGCGCACGTTCTCGCAATCCAAACCATTTAGTGTAACAACCAAAGCTGCACTCCAAGTAGTGCACCTGGACAAAAAAAGATTCAGAAATATATTTTTCTAAAGGCCCTAAGTGAAAAGTTTCAAAAGAACCGCAGTTCACTTAGATTATTTCTTGGTTGCTGAAGGATAACAAAATGGTTTCCGCTGATGTGGAGAACAAAAAGAGAAGAACCGAGATATCAAACGGAGTGGTGAAAGCCGCTGCAGCTCCGGTTGGGTCCAGAATTTTCTCGCCTTTTAGAGTATGTATATGACATCTATGTCCAACAAGACACAGTTGTATATATCTTTTACTTTTAGCTTTGTTTTACTAACGGCTCTCAAATAGGTGATAGGAAATGTCACAAATGCGGTACCACTTGCCATTGGAACCCTGGGACAGACGTTCTACATAGTGACCTGTGTGGGCCGTTCTTTCCAGATCTTTGATGCCAATACTCTTCAGCTTTTGTTTGTCTCCAACAAACAGACGCCTTCCCCTATCACATGCTTGGAAGCTCGTTTTCACCACGTTTATTGTGCACACGGGAACAAAATCGGAATCTTCAAGAGAGGTTTGCTCGAGCACGAATTGGAGTGCCCAGTATCAGAGGCAGGTGACATCCTATTCATGAATGCTTTTGGTGACTTTTTGGTTGCTGCAACAAAAACTGAATTGTTTGTATTTAGAAAGCGTCTGGATGACAAGTATCCGACAGAATTGTACCAAACGTTGACAATCAATCCTCTGGACGGTGAGGTCGTTGGAATCGTCCATCCTCCAACATATCTGAATAAGATTGTGGTTGCAACATCTCACGGATTTCTATTGCTTAACATCAGAACAGGCAAGTTTTTGCTCAAAGTCACTGATTTCAAGGAGTCGATTACCTGCGTTCAATCTGCACCTGCTCTGGACATCATCTCTTTGGGAACAGCTAATGGCATTGTGTTTCTATACAATCTCAAAAAGGGAAAGATACACAGAAAGATCCAAATTGGCATTGACACAAGGATCAACGACATAACTTTCAGAACCGATGGAATCTCACATCTAGCACTTTCATTGTCTAGCGGTGACATATTTTTCTATGACCTGGAGAGAAAGAGCCGCATCCACCTTTTGAGAGGTGCCCATAAAGAGGTGAAGGGAGGAGTAGCATCTACTCGTTTCCTGAACGGTCTTCCTATTTTAGTCACGAACGGTGGTGATAACAGCTTGAAAGAGTATGTTTTTGATGCCCCAATGTCTACATCAGATTCTTCAATAGTCTCACCTCCTCGTCATTTGAGATCAAGAGGTGGTCATTCTGCCCCTCCAACCTCCATCCAGTTTGCAGACTCGAAATCTCACTACATACTGTCTGCATCTTCAGATCGCACCTTTTGGGCTTTCTCGTTGAGAAAGGATGCTCAATCACAACAGTTGTCTCAAAAAGAGTCCAAGAACTCAAAGGCACCTGCTGGGGGTCAGAAGTTCCCAGAGATCACGAGTATTGCCCAGGAGTCTGCCCGGGAGAGGGAATGGGAGAACGTGATGACAACCCACAAAAACGAGACTTTCGCGAGAACTTGGAATTCCAGAAACAAGAGAGTGGGAAGATGGAACCTGAACACCATCGATGGTGGTCTTGCTACCTCTGTAAGCATCACTCAGTGTGGTAACTTCGGTCTGGTTGGTTCGTCTACTGGAGGCATTGGAGTGTACAATCTTCAAAGTGGAATTCTGCGTAAAAATTACAAGCTTCACACAAAGACGGTTACCGGCCTGGCCGTTGACGGAATGAACAGGAAGATGGTCTCGTGTGGTCTTGACGGAGTGATTGGATTCTATGACTTTTCCAAATCAAAGTTCTTGGGAAAACTCAAGTTGGATGCACCAATTACTCACATGATTTATCACAAATCGTCCGACTTGATTGCTGTTGCTCTAGATAACCTGTCCATCGTTGTCATTGATGTGGTCACCCGCAAGGTTGTCCGTGCGTTCTACGGACACACCAACAGAATCACGGCTTTGGACTTTTCTCCAAACGGAAGATGGATCGTGAGCGCTTCTTTAGATGCTACCATCATGACCTGGGACTTGCCAACCGGATCCTGTATCGATGGTATTCGTGTCGCAAGAGTAGTGACGGACCTAAAGTTCTCCCCTACAGGTGATATGCTCGCTACCACCCATGTCTCTGAAACAGGTATCAGCATTTGGACCAACAAGGCTCAATTCAAGACGATCTCCACTCGTCAAATCGACGAGTCTGCGTTCACTGGAGTTGCACTGCCCAATGTGTCTGGAGATGCCGGTGTGACCATGCTGGAAGGAGCATTTGATGCCGACGAAGCTGAAACGGATGCTGATATTCACGTGCTCAAAGATCAAATTGCAGACAATCTGGTCACTCTGTCGCTTGGCCCAAGGTCAATGCTGAGTACCCTGATAAACCTCCAACAGATCAAAGCCAGAAACAAGCCCAAGGAGGCCCCCAAAAAACCCAAAGATGCTCCTTTCTTTCTGCAGGCTGGTATCAATGGCTCTTCATCTTCACCAACTCTCGACGATGGCTCAGAAATTGCAAGCGGTTCAGTTTTGCTCAATGCAGACAGAAAAGCCTCCTACGAGTCTGCTTTCACTAAACGTCTGAGAGAAGCTGCCGAGAATGAAAGCTATGACAAGTTCCTGGACTATCTAGTGTCCTGTTCTCCAGCCATTGTGGATGCGGAAATCACTTCTCTCAACAGCTTTGCTCCATTCACTGAGATTGCTTGGTTCGTGTCAGCTCTGACTGAGGGTCTGCGTTCTAACAAAAACTATGAGTTAATTGAAGCATACATGACCCTTTTGATCAATGCTCACGGAGATTTGATATTTCACCTCAAGAAGCAAGACGTTGAGTCGGATGACCAACATCTCAATGATTCAGACGTCGAACCAGACTCCACCGGTGACTCTGAACTGCTGACTGCTATCAAGAAATGGGAGGAAGCCAATCTTGCCAAGAACAGAAACCTTGAGGGCCTAGTCAAATACTGTTCAGGTGTTCTCAATTTCTTGAATGAAATTTAGTCCATTTCTAATATACATTGACCCATGACTCAATCTATAATCCGTAACTTATTCCACTCAAGCCTGAGCCGTATTTTTCACTCGACATCCGTAGTGAACCACTCCACCCATATCAGGAGCTACCGAGAGAACGCTATGGCCTAGTTTCTTTCCACAAAGAGGGCAAATACTCGATTCTCGTATAATCACGTTCCGCGAACGTAAAAGCTTTTCAGACTGCTGATTCTTGATCACATCGACTTTGAGAAGAGCCTGCACCATTCTGGATTTCTCCACCTGAGTCTCGGTTTCCCTTAGTTGCGTAAGTAGGAAGAAATCGATGTCTGCAACGGAAGTATCATCAGGTAAGTGGCTTAAAACACGTGTCAAGGAAAGCATAGATCCATGACTCGAAAGCATCTCCAGAGCTTTCTTCATGTTCCGCGTTCTATTTGAAGGAGGATCCAAATACTTAAAGAGCAAAGATTCAAGCCATTTCGTACCCAATGATTTGTCCTCATCATAGAGCTCGGCGCAATAGGCCAAAGCACTATCGTAGTCCTCGATTTTGAATACGAGAAGCTCCAACACATCGTCGTGCATTTCTAGCAACCTCAAAGGATACATCTTGAGTTTAAGCAGCTTGTTCTCGTTAGTCTTGACTCTTTCAGATGTTGACTCTAACATTTTCAGTGCCTGTTTGGGGTCGTAGGATTTGCTAGTTGATAAAAATATGGCACACAATGCATAAATGCGGTCGAACGTTTCATGGTTTGAGGAGTCTTCCATGGCTTCAAGATAGCACTTGAGGAGCGCGAGATGAAATTTCCTGGTCTTATCGCCATGAACGAAAATGATGTGTCTGAGATACGACATCAGAAGGTCAGAATCGCTCTTTTGATCCAATTGAAGAGAACTCAAAAAGTTGACCACTGAGGTTCTGTTCAGCGATTCTGATTCCAATGAATCGCCCATAAAAATTTCACTGCCATAGTTAACATTGAGCGAAATGGGCCAACCGGAGAACTTGAATATGAGATCAATATTATCATTATTCAATCTTTTGAGGTAATTTAGGGTCGACTCTGGCCCCGAAAAAGGCGAATCATCATCTTTGGTCCCTAGCGAGTGTAAAAGCTCTAATGCTTTTTCGTGATATGAATGGCCATAATAGAAATCAACCAGCTCTCCCCACAGCTTCAATCGAGTAAGATGCCTCTCAACAGTACTTATTGTGCAATGATTGTGGACCCTCAACAGAGGACCAATCATCCGAGGATTGATAAACAGATAACACAGAAACAGGGTGGTATCGGTCAGCTCCAACATCTTGTCCAGAGGTAAGTTATCATTACCATCATGTGCATGAAGGTTGTATATTGTAGGAGATATGATGACTCCTCTTAATTCAAAGGTCTCAAAACGAGGATCAAGAAGCCTCGAAATCTTCCTGCGAGAGTCTGCTAGAAAAGGCAGCAATGACGACACCAAGGCATTAAGCTTTCGGTTTCGCTTCAGAGAAGCGTCATTTTTTTGTGAATAGTCACCTTCAGCGGCCTGAGGGATTGATGTTGGAAATAGAGGATCTCCAAGCTTCTCAGGCCCCTTTTCCAGCATGGTTCGAACTTCAGAAGGCAGTAAATTAATCACTAAATCCGGAGGTGCCATATAGTCCACAAACAACTGGATCGCAGCATCTGTGTCTCCCTTCTCAAACAGAAGTTTGGCCCTTTCAACCTGATAGCTGCGAATCTTGAGAAACTTCAGTTGCCTAGGATCTGTGTCTTTGTTGATCAGGGTAAATTCCTTTGAAGGAAGTTTTATTGCCAAGGCCAAAGCATCATCCAAGTGCCCCAAGCATTCTAACTCACGCAATTGGTCCATATATGGCACATTGGATAAAACAAGTATCTTTCTCCCCAGAGAAACAAGCAGATGATGCGTATCTTGAGTTTCACTTATGGTAACGGAGGAAACTGTTCCCCACAAACTTAAGCTTTCGGAGAGCTCGCCTGTATCCATATTGCGGACTTCAAGTATTTGATCTGAAAAAACCAAAAGATACGGGAACCAGTAGTAAATTGTACCAGATGGTTGAGTCCAATTGAAAGGTTTTGATTCCGTTAGAAGGTGATGCTGTAAAATAGTCTTCCTGGTATCGTTATTGGACTTTTCAGGCCACTTTTCTTCCTCTATTATCTTTATTCCAAGATTTTTTCTTTTGGCTAATAACTCGCCCTCGGCTATTCTCAGAAGCTGCGGTTGATCGTCCTGAGAGCTGGACTTGAAATATGATTTTAAAGAACTCGAATTGGTTTTCGCCTCGAACAGATGCGGCACCGGTAGGGACGATTGAACGGGAGAACTGCTTAACTGAATATATGTTAATCCAGTAGATGAGGCAGCAATAAGCTTTGAGGGATCCAGAAATATCAGCGATGATATCCGGTCAGTCGTGGTGTACTCTGTCTTCTCCACAAAACTGGAGTCTTTCCACTTGTAAACCACTAAGGTTTTCTTCTTGACCACAGACAAATAAGCCATATCATATTCCTCGGGACTCAATTCGGACTCTGAGGAGTCGGTTTCCTCAACAAAAGGTACTGTGGCTAAAGACATGTCGTCCCTGTAATGAGCATGCCTACCTGACTCTAGCCCATGATCGTCATTGGCCCTCTTCGAAAACACAGCAAAAGTGGTAGAGTTAGAAATGATATTCTCAACTTTCAGATTATCAGCTCTGACCAAAATCACACTGCCATTCGTGTAAGCCACCAACAATCCCGTAGTTGGCAGCATCTCCAGCTCCGTCACAGCTCTGTCTGAGATCTTGGTTGACCTGAGCAATTTGAAGCTATCCTCGAGATTAGGTAGTGAAGACTCTCGTATCTGAGATTTGGAATTTGTAGGGCTGATTGAATTGGACTTCTTGGATTCAGAGGTGTTTGAGAACGGTACAGGTAGACCACCAACGGAATACACCTGTATGGTACCATCAGACAAGCCCAAGAACACCACACCGTCCCACGACACAGACGCTGTGATATCATTGGAATCCACCTGGAATATCCCAATTGGATCCACCGTGTGCGGCATTGGTATTGAAATTGAGCCAGAGTTCAGTAGCGGAGAGAATAATAAAACTATCACAAGAGCGGTGTAATACACGAGAGAGTGCGGAGGACGTGGAAGGCCCTAATAATTATAGGCAGATACGACTAGCTCATCGTTTCTAGTTGTAAACCCATTTAAGAGTGTATATACACACGTATATATCTACATATATATACAATTCCTTCAGTGGCTACACTTGTGAAATGCCGGAATCAGACCTCAACAGACAACTACAACAGAGTAAACAGCAAAAGAGCAGGAACAACCGGGTGGCAGACCAGTATGCGCGATATCTAGAGAGGGCCATCACTGCCATCTCCACATCTTCCACAGACACACAGCTGGTCACGAAAATCACACAGATACATACCGATAGAGACAAGATAGACCATCAAAGGCAATTGCTTCTTAAGCTGGAAACAAAAACTTGCGCGAGATATCAAGAGCTAGAGAAGAGTGTGGATCGATCAAAGAGACATCTGGTGAGGCGCTCCATTGTGGAGATGGACAAAACAACGGGTAAGCCCCAGAATATTCTACAGCAAAGAACCGAGTTGTTGGACCAGAAAATACGAACTCTTGAGAATTGCATCAAACTTGTCGAGGAAGAAACGCCGATAGTGCCAGAAGGAAATGGGGCCAAGACAAATGGGGTTGCCTTCAGATAGGCATAGACTCGATATCATCATTATTATTATTACGAGTATTTGTCAAACAATCATGATCCAAGAACAAATATAACAAACCAAACCGTCACCAAAAATGTATGGATAGCTGAAAAGACGTCACGAGTGATCGAGGAGCACGCCCATCACTGAACCCCCTGACCAGCATTCTCCCAAACTTTATTCCAATGCCATCCAGCCTCAATCACCTTAAGCAGATCTTTAAGACACATGGGGGTCTTCAGCCGCTTATTGTCAATCACCAGACTCTTATACACGATGGAATAGTCTTTGGGCATCACCACGTGTTTAAGCTCCTTCTCTTGCATTCTCTTCTGGAGCTTCAACTTTCCGTTAATCGTAGCGTTTTCAGCAACTGGGATGAGCCACTGCTTGTTCTGCAGCTCCCATAGTCGATCTCCAGATGTAAAGGGCGTATCTGGGTGTTGGCTCCGTAATCTCTCCGCCTCTCTTTGGATATTGATATTAAGCAAATCATCATTTGTGAGGTTCTCGGTACCAACCATACCCTCATGTGAGCCATAAACCATTTTGTCTTCTGGAATGGCAGCAAAGGGCCTACTTGGTTCGTACAGCGAGGAGTTCACACTGGTGGAGTCGGTCCTGTTGAAGAGCTCACCCGTTATTTCGTCGGAATCCAGAACCTGGTCAGCAATAAATCGTAGCTTCGTGAAGAAGAGAGTAAGGTTGATGGATATTTTCACAAGAAATCGTTTGAACTTTTTGAGTATCCCGGCACTCGTCTCCTTGTCCCCTGACGGTTTGCTAAGCGCCGTTGGTACCCGGGATGCGTTTCCCTTATTATTCAACTGTGCTGGCGGTATAGCACTACTTGGCTCTTCTCTTTGCAACAGGCTCTTTTTGCTAGTCAGACTGCTGCCTTTGGTGATGCCGTGGGGGCTCGAGGAGTTGGTAGCAGTGCTTTCCGATAATGCTGCAGCCATCGGAAAATTCGCTCCAGAAGCGCAAAATCGTGTTTTCTTGGTTACACCGGACTTTGCTGGAAGCCTTGTTCCGACAAAGAGCTGTGTGGTTGGTCCAAACACCAGAAACACGAGAAACACCAAAGAAACAAGGAAAGCATTCTTACGACGCTAGCTTGATTTTACTCACATCAGTATCTCGTTGTGGTAGTGTGCGCCTCATCTATTTGGGCATCGCGGCTACCCTGCGGGGCAACTGGAGCCGAGGTCCGAGGCTTGTATAAAGTTTTTCGCGCAGATAAATCTACAGATCTTAAAAGACGCGATGATTGGCGTTTATTCTTGCGTACATTTTGAAGGGGGCGATTATATATTCTTGCTCAGCCTCTTCTCGGACTCCCAAACAGGTGCTCTAGATTCCCCGTTGGCGATGCTGGTCCAGATCTCCAATCTCTCGGCTAGCCTCTGTTTCTTGAAGGGAGTGCTAGCCTCGCCGAACCGACACCATGCGACCTTGTAAAGCGCAATTGAGGCACCATTGTGTCTCCCAGGCCATGTACGCGAGTTGTAGTTGTTTCTGAAGCTGCCCCGATAATCCTCTATCTCGGGAAGGATTAGAAGGGTGATAACCAGATCGTTCGCATCGTCTTTGGGACATAGTATTTGAACATTGTTTTTGTTGGAAGTGTTTGTCGGTGTAATGTCATTTTCAGGTGATACAGAAGAAGCCTCGGAGTTTGTAGCTGAAGGTTCAGTTTCTTCCGTCTCAAATGGCGAATGGGTGTTCAACACTCCACTATGGTGCAATATTGCCACGATATCAGAGTCATCCGTGTAGACATCTGTTCCCCACAGCTTCCTCCTCATCACGTTCTCGTTATCCACTAAGGCCGAGAAGGGTATTCTTACATCTATGAGGCAGTTGATGTAGTTCCTCAGACATGCAGGCAACACCTCCACGATCTTGGGAGCCTGATTCGGCGTTGCCGTATGGCTCTGCCTCTTCACTAATTCATCTAGTAAGATCTCGTCATCCTTGTCTATCGTGAGGTGTCTGTGAAGGGAATTGATTGTGGGATACACCTGGTAAAGAACCGAGCCTATGTGTCTTCTGTAAAACTTGGATGCGTACTCGGTCACATCTGAGCTGGAAACGGTGGCAATCTTATGCTTCTGTGGTACGTGCTGCTCTGGTTCTGAGGCTGATACTGAATCTGGTGCTTGCTGAGACACTGGCACTGGATCGGGTTCAGCAGCAAATGCTGAAACAGTTGGGGGACGCTCTTGCCAACGTTCATGCTGGTGTCGGGTCTCTGGAGCCTCAGAGGCAATATTTGTGTGCATTCCATTGTTAGGTTGTGTTTCGGCCTTGGTGCCGTGGTGGTGATGATGATGGTGATGATGGTGGTGGTGTACGTGGGGATGTGAGGTTGGCTCGACCGGTGGTATCGTCTGTTTGATCTCTTCTTGAATAACAGGCTCATGCTGTTGCTGCACATGCTCAGCTGAAGCATTGTTTGCGACCTTCCCTTCCGCCGCCTCAATTTCGTTGATATTTTGTCTGCGGTGATCAACACCTGTATCGATAGGAGCAGGCAATCCAGAACTGGGTTTTGACTCAATTCTGCCCAAAGGATCTCCATCCAAACCAGCAGAACCCCCGTTTCTACCGGGAATCAGACCCACCGCACTGGAATGAATTCCGGGTAGCTTCGTGTCGTTGTGGATAGAGCTAGTCTCCTGATGCAGCTTGGGCAAAGCATGGTGTTGGATACCAGAACCCAATTGGAAAGCCCCTGGCTTCGTGTCTTTGATATCAGTATCTGGCTCAGTATTCAGCCGAGGAAAATCGCCTCCAACTTGAGAAAGAAACGAGATTGGGGGGAGTCTGACGGGATTGTTGGGCTGTGATGGAGCAGGTGCAGCGTTGGCCCCGTTCGAGGAATTGATGGACGGAAGTTGGGTACCGGCTCGCACAGAGTTACCCTGGTCACCCAAATTGGAGCTCATAGAGAGATTAAAAGCAAAATAGCAGTCAATTACGGCTGGATGTGCCGAATGTGGTGGTGATAAACAGGAGAAAGGCACGCCAAATTGGGGCAATTCTCAAATTTGGTTCCTTCTCTTCCTGCGGCCTGAATTGGGAAACTTTGATGGGGCACGCAAGTTGGGGAATTTGATATTAACACGACAAAATGGGATTGGCTTCCCAGAAAGAGCCGCAACATGTCAATCTTGTCGTATCTGGAAGATCACAACCAGCCTCGCTATTTGTGCCCCACATTTTTAATTGCATCAATGCTCCAGGCTCAATTTACTTCGCTTCTCAATGCCAATAACTTCATTCCGTTACCGGAGACGGATGTTCTCAGCTCTGAGATAGACGGATCATTTACTGCACCGAAACAAGAGACCCTCTTCGCTCTTATCCACCAACTGTACAGTTTAATCACAGCAGAGTCCCAAAGTACAACCTCGGACGAGCTTAAGAAGATCCATCGGAAAAAGAACTTATCGTTCTTGAAGATCGCGTCCTACTGTCGAGCCATATTGCTGTCGCCCACGCTTGACGATAACTACGAGCTAACCCACATCTTGAAGATCTGGGAAATTAGGATTTTATGCCTGTTGTTCCTAACGGATCCGTCATTTTCAAAAAACCCGGTTACACACACCATAATACCGAATGCTAAGTTTCTACGGACAGAAGTGAACATTCTCATGAAGGAGCTGATAAGGATAGAGGAATCGCGACTGCGGCGCGAGAACTCGCCAATCGACAAAAGACCAGTAGAAATGCGATTTCCAGAGGAGTTGGACCCATTTTTCAAGGAGATTCTGAGGAGGATCAAGTACGGACCGAGTTTGGTTCTGATCAACTACTCGTACATGGATCTGTTTGAGCTGAGGGGGTTTCTGGCCGAGAGCACCGACGAGATGGAAACCAACGATTACTTGAAGAGAATTGAGATTTTGGCTTATGCAACAACAGCTACTATGATAGCGAGGCGGGAGAATCTCTCTGTTTTCAACTTGCTCATAGCCACAGCTGAGGACGCTGAACGATGCACTGTCAGGAACGAGTTATACATCTCGCGATTATCGCTTTTGGGATGTCTGATCGGGTTGATATATCTCTTTAAAGAGTACTCCAGCTCTACTAAGCCAGTGGTATCTGCGATAAGCGGAGAAGAAGACCATGGGTTTGAGGATTCGTGCGATGAGTCTCCTTACTTTGCTTCTGTAAAGAATTTATTCAGCAAGGTTCAACTGGAGGGTCCATTTGTTCAATTGGCAAAGATAATGGGATCTGTGCCACCAGTTTTTGATGACGAGTCATTCCAGACAGTGCATTTAGAATCTGGCGAGTTACGGTCGTTGGTGGAGTTGCAGCGTCTAATCAAGAACCTCAAGATTACAGGTAGAATTTTGTGTTCTTTGTGTGCTGAATTCGAGTTAACTTTACGGTTTGGGGAGTCTTCCGAGATTCTAGAGAACTCAAACGACGAGCTGAGTTCAGCCCTACAAATTCTGAATAAGGTCTGGTGGAATGGAAATGTGAGTAAGGTCTATGGCTTCGAATAAGGGAGGAGTCGTGGTTTGTGCGGGAAATTATTAGAAGTCTATACCATGCTGAACTTTAAGAATAATCCTGCAGTGACTTACGACAACAAGTACTTGTTTAGGTCCAGATAGATACAATCAATCAAGCATGTCAGTATACCCAAATGCAGCTACCTGATATCTACATAGGTAATGCACCATGCTTTGAGTCACGTGCATTTGATCTAGATAAGATTAGGCTCATCTCCCAGGGCAACAACCCTCCAAAAGATCACGTGCACACAGTCCCACCCATTTGAAAATTGGCAGATTTTCAGTGTCACCAACCGGCTACTCTCTTGAAAAAAATTGGGCCTTTACGAGATTGAAACAATTAGTCTGTTACAAATACCAGTAATACATATCAAAAATGGCCGGTTCAACTTTAAAAGACGTTGTCACCCGTGAATACACCATCAACCTCCACAAGAGAGTATGTGATTTTAGCATTTAAAGGGGATATTGGCAAGACTGGACAGACAGGCAAAAGAAGCCAACAAGACGGGGGACAGAGAAAGCAGCCAACAACCACCACACCAGACAAAACGATCCTATGAATGAGAATAACGTTGATTCAATGTTACTGTTACTGTTTGCACTGTTATATCGTCTTATGACCGCGATCCTGCAACCGTTTGTCCAAAGCCATGCCTACCACCACCTATGTGAAACATTCACTCGAACACTTACTAACTATTCTTTTTAGTTGCACGGTGTCCAATTCAAGAGACGTGCTCCAAGAGCCGTTAAGGAAATCAAGAAGTTCGCCAAATTGCACATGGGAACTGAGGATGTCAGACTAGACCCAAAGTTGAACATTGAGTTGTGGAAGAGAGGTATCAAGGGTGTTCCATACAGATTGCGTATCAGAATCTCTAGAAAGCGTAACGAGGAGGAAGATGCCAGACAGAAGTTGTTCTCCTTTGTCGAGCCAGTTAACGTTGCCGACGTCAAGGGTTTGAACACCGTCGTTGTCGAAGACGAAGAGTAAGTTTCTATAACGAATAGGAGAAGTTAGGAGCGGTCTGTATTGTGCACCGGTAATATACAATATTATCATAAAACAAAAGAGAATTTCATTGTAGATGGACTGAAGAATGTTGGGTGTTGGCGTAGAGTACAGCTAAGGTCATGTTAGGGATAACGAAGGCTAACTGGGCACCAGATCTCGAGCTACTAAATGCCGGCACAATACTTCAGCCGAGTCCCATGACCCAACTCTACAGAGCAAAATAAAGAAAACAGATCTATTTGAACCAAACTATAAACTGACCATCACAGCAGAACTATCTTATACTGAATTCCAGGTTAGAGTCAACTCTTGGGTATGCTTTGCATCTACCTAGCCCAGGATTCCCAGTAACACGATCAGTGTAACTATGACTATAGAATACCTTCATTACAAAAAAGAGAACTCCAAGACGGAGAACTCGAGATATTTTGCTCAATTGGTAAAAATGAAAAAACTATCATCCTTCGATACACTGGGATCCAACAGGGTGCGTAGAAACATAAAGTAAAGGAGACTTACCAAAAGTTCAACATGGTCAGAATAGTCATATTCAGACAGAGCTGTCAATTCATTATTCAGCTGACTAACAGCTTCATGTTATTAAGGCTTATGGGGACAAGAGTAACGAAAGAAAGAAAAAGAGTGCCAGACTTGAAGCCCTATGAAAAATCTCCTGGGATTGCACGACCATCAACCGGTCTTTTTGAGTCCCTCATATTGATCGCTTTTGTTTAAGACCGGAGTGAAAAATACCACAAAAAATTATAAACTAAACAAAATTATTCCAGTATGCTTACTGTAAAGCACATAGCTCAATAAAAAATGTAAAACCGATGCTAATGAGCAGAATTGAGTTCATACAAACCAAGTCCCGGTCAATATGAACATCCTCCCAAATGAGTCCTCCTAAATATGGGCAGAACTCTCCCTGTCCTGTCTAAATGGAACTGCAACTCTTGTTCCAAACCCCGGATCACCCCTTCTCTTCAAGTCAAATGTCTTATCAAAAAATTCAATCAGTTGAACGAAACTTTTCAGCTCGTTCATCAAAATATGCGTCTTCCTAGGTAGCTGTCCATCTAGCATGCAGCTCAAGTGATGCTGAACCAATCTAAATGGCAAACCATAGGCTGTAGAAAGATCCCAGAACTTCTCAACGGCTCCCCACGGAGTCTTTTCAAATCCTGAATAAAGTGCAGGGTTGCTCAGAATACCCCGAACTGACATCACACCCTCGCATCCAGTGTACTTGGAGATGCGGATGGCATCTTCCAGCGAACGACAGTCTCCGTTAGCCACCACAGGGCAGGAAACCGCTTCTTTCACTGCTTTGATCTTGTCAAAGTCAGCAGCCTCAGAAGAACGGGTATTTTTGGTGCGACCGTGCACTGTGATGAAGTCCACTCCAGCAGCCTCTATCTTCTTCGCAAATGCCACAGTCTCCGAAACGTCGGCATGGACTCTGATCTTCACCTCAAGACATATCTTGTCCCCGTAAACGTGTTTGACTGCTTTCACCATTTCGGCAACTTTGTCTGGTTGCGACATAAGTGCAGCACCTATTCCCTCTCTGATCTGCTCCTTGATAGGACACCCGCAATTTAGACCAATGCCGTCCACGTAGGGATGTATCATCTCCACCATTCTCAAGAGGTCTTCAGTGTTGTTTGTTCCTATTTGAACGATCAGAGACCTATCTTTTTCATTCGTACTGAAATCGCTGTCCCTCGCAAAGCCATTTCTCACAAACTCACGTGCTAGAATCATTGGCGAGTATACGATATCGCAACTATAATCCCTCACTAACTCGCGGAAGGGTAACTTTGAATATCTCACCATGGGTCCAGCTATAAAAGCAGGTCTTCCCTCTTCGCTGCACCGTTGTAGTATCCGTAAAGGATTGTGGTCTATATTGCGAACCGGTAACCCAGCCAGATTCGCTGTGGGTGCACTTTCAGCCATGGTATGGTCTCTATAAGTCTATGAGTCTATTCAAAGCAACAATATGAGAAAACGAAGCAAACCAGCAGCCAAATCAACAAAGCAGAACCATAAAAAACACGGAGGATACTTGAACAAGATAAGACTTCGATATCCAAAAGATTTTGGCAGATATTGTACTTTGACTCTTAGAACTGCCTAATCGAGCAACTCGATCCAGCGGGCGCAATTCCTGAAAGAGGACCGCTTTTTGGTCCAAGTACACGACCATGTATCTCGAAATTTTTCAGACTGGTTTGGCATGCGGCTCAGAAAGACGAACAGGAAGAAACAGCAAACCCCTAAAATGGTTGAAGAGACAAAGAGAAGAAACTCTGAAGCAGAGACAGATGAATTGGCCGCTAAGAGAGCCAAAGCAGATGCTGAATACAGAAAAGGTGTGGCCCCCATCAAGGCCGAGTATCTGATCAAGACCCCAGTGCCGACCACTCTGACTTACAATGACGACGAGGCAGAATCGAACGGTCGTTCCACAGAGGATGGGGAATCCAACAAGGGAAAGGGAAAAGGTAAGAACAAGAAGGGCAGAGGCCAAAACAAGAACAGAGAGCTGAAACAGGACCATGAAGAGGTCAGATTGTGCCCAGCATTGGCTGATCCCGACCACCCCAAAGAGTGCCGATTTGGACCCGAAAAATGCCGCTTTGTGCATGATGTTGGAACTTATTTGTCTTCCAAACCAGTTGACATCAGTGGGATTTGTCCCGCCTTTGAGGCTATTGGCTATTGCCCAGCTGGGCTGAAGTGTCGTTGGTTGTCGTCTCATTACGACAAAGATGCGAATAGATTGATCACAAATCCGGAGCAAATCTCTGTTTACGGGGAAACTGGTGGCGAGGCCAACCACATTTCCATGGATTCCAGAACACAGTTACAAAAGAAGAAGTATATTTTTGATCTGGCTGAACAATATATTCCATACCTTGACTCTATTGTCGCTACCGTCAAAGAGAAGAGTGCTGAGCGCGACGAGGCTGAAGATGTCAATGAAAAGAGAGAAGAAACTAAAGAAAAGGTTGCTGAATTCATAGAAGCTCCATTTAAGGCCGCAGAAAAGAAGAAATTGAATCTCAAAGGTGCTAAAATTGTGTCCCCATTGACAACCGTGGGAAACCTTCCGTTTAGACGTCTGATGAGAACTTTGGGAGCAGACATCACTTACTCGGAAATGGCTATGGGAATGCCTCTTGTTAATGGAGCAAAATCTGAGTGGGCACTCCCAAAGGCTCACAAGTCTGAATATCCAGGTTTCGGAGTCCAAATCGCTACATCCAGACACTGGCAGGGAGCCAAGGCTGCCGAAGCAATCAGTAAGTTGACCACACATGTCTCTGAACTTAATTTGAATTGTGGATGTCCAATTGATTTGCTGTTTAGACAGGGTCAGGGTTCTGCACTTATGGACCAACCAGCCAGACTTTTGAGGATTTTGAAGGGAATGAATGCCTGTTCAGGCGATATACCTGTTACTGTCAAGATCAGAATGGGTACCAAGGATAACCATCCCACTGCTGAGAACTTGATTAAAAGGCTTGTTGCCGAGGGAGATGTTGGTGCTATTACTTTGCATGGTAGATCCAGACAACAGAGATACACCAAGGAAGCAGATTGGACTTACATCTCGCAGATGGGTTCGGTTGTGAAAGAGGCCAATGTGCTTTACGACGAGCAAAAGGATGTCAGGGATCGTGACCCGGTCTACTTGATTGGCAATGGAGATTGTTTTTCGTTTGAAGACTGGAACAAGGCCATGGCTGACCCGGGCATTGATAGTGTCATGGTAGCGAGAGGAGCTCTTATCAAGCCTTGGATTTTCCAGGAGATCGAGGCCCAACAGTACCTGGACATTTCTGCTACTGAGAGATTGAGTATTCTGGAGAAATATGCCAAGTTTGCAGTGGAGCACTGGGGTTCTGATGAATTTGGAATCAACTCCGCTAGAAGATTCCTGTGTGAGTTCCTATCGTTCACGCATAGGTACATTCCAGTAGGAATCTTGGAGCGTCTGCCACCAAAGCTGAATGAAAGACCAATGCCATGGAAGGGAAGAAACGAGCTTGAAACATTGCTTGCGTCCACCAATTTCGAAGACTGGATCAAGATCACTGAGATGTTCCTCGGGCCCACTGGTCCTGGTTTCAGCTTCACACCCAAGCACAAGAGTAACTCTTATGAGGCTGCGAGAACGTGAAAACCTACAAAACAAAAACAAAAATAAAAACATACAAAAACACTTGCATATTTCGCACAGTTCATAAACTTACCAATTTTACTTAGTCTCTCTCGACTTCACCTCCTGCGTAACGGCATCGTAGTCCTCGGTCAGGTTCGCGGCCTGGGACTTCAGTATCTCAATTGTCTCCGTTTTCTCGGCCAACTCTTTCTGCAGTTTGGCAACCTCATCCTTATCGGCAGAATCCAGACTGTCCAGCTTGGATTTGCCGTCAGTGGCTTTCAATTCTTCCTTGACTGAGATCAGTTCAAAGACCAAGGCATATGTCCGGGTCAAGATCAACGTGAGAAACAGGGTAAATCCACACAGATACATATTTCTTTGTGCATAGAATCGTCTGGCCTGAATCTCAGAACGGTCGCCCATTCCCATTGCAGCGGCCACGCCTGCTGTGGCTGAGTCTCCAGAGACCGAGAGCATATCCAATTCGTTACCTACACGGTACACTCTGTTGAGAGCATCCAGGAACAGCACCAAGATGAAACCCAAAATACACTTGATGGCAATTTGGACCTGCTGAGAGCGGAATGGAGTTCTCAGAGTCTTCAACACCTGCTTCTTGGCCCTTCCAGGCAATGGGAAAGAGAGAGCGGCAAATAGAACCATTTCTGTGACCAAGAGGCCAAAAACCTAAGGAGTTAGTACGCGCTTACCGGCTTATAAAGCGATGCAACATACCAAGTTGTAATATAATGCCATTTTGTGATTAACCAATTGTCAATTATTTAAAAGCCGGTTTAGTTGAGGAGAAGGTCTGTAAAAGAGAGCAATGAAGCAATCGAGTTTCACCTGCTACGTAAGTTGCTATGAGAGATGGGCTGGCCTGGAGTTGGTTGGCGTACTAAAGATAAGGTGCGGCTCAAATAAAATTAAATTATTCATATTGAATAGAGCCCATTGGTACTACCTTTGGTAGAACCTTTTGTAGCGCAGAAGAAAGTCATATGCCATGTCTTTTTGATTGACTTACTATATAATCACGGCTTTTTCAGCAACATCCTGGCATTACTCACCGTTTCAGTGCTAATATCTGGCAAAAGCTCCTTCTCGAACTCCAGGGTCACCATTGGCAAAGCATTGAACAATATATGACTGCTCGGAGTGTTTCCAATTGGATCAATGATGTTTTGGGGTAGATAATCTGCATTTCGTAACAGAAAGTCCTCCCTCGCTTTCGAGTCGTCCTCTTCGATTTGACTAATAGAGCTTTGGAGCGATTTCACCAGCTCTGCAATCCTGTTATTAACATGATGTCGTCTGTCGATCTCCAACACCAAAGAGTTATACGATCTCACAAAATTCGTATAATAATCTATCAAATCCAGCACCTGTTTGTGGAACTCTTCCGCTCGTTTGATGTTGGCTCTTATGGGCTGAACGCCTGCCCTGAAATCTTTCATGTAATGGGCCTGCAGTTTATTTTTCCCAAAAGACTCCAGACTCTGCACGTACTCCTGCACTTTTGAGTTGAACTTTTCCGATTGCTCGCAAATGTTCAGTATGTATTCACAGTTCTGGGATATCTGGGCCCTATCGTCCTCCAGGATATCCAGTACCGAAGGAAGCTCGTTAACATCATTCTGTAAAACTGCGAACAATTCCTGTTTCTCCTGCTGAGGAACTTGCGGCGATTTAAGCAGAACGCTCCCCTTTGAGCACTGGTCGTAGTGATTTGACAGACTTTTCAGAAGAGACACCATATCCAGCTCGAGCTCACTATTCATTTGGAGCAGCTGGTTGATACTGTCAGCATCTTTATCCAAACTCACATTTTGAGGGTCCTTCTGTTTACGTGACCAAGGTAAAGAGGCCGAGGTCATGAACAGTTTGTGTAAAGAGTCCAGGTCATGCTGGAACGAATCGATATCCGTATTGAAGCTTTGGAGTAGTATATCAGTACGTCCTCCGTTTGACAGAACGTCGTTCTGTTCCAGAATTACCTCGATATCATTCACCATATTTTGTATGTCCTCGTCAGAAATGAAGTCAAACAACGTGCCCGTTGTGCCGGAATGTTTGAAACTGGCCTCAACCTTCACAGTCTTCAAAGAGTGGACTATATTTGTGAGTCTAGCAGCATCTCTTTTAAGCTTATTGCTGATCGCACTCTTCCTTTCCATCAATTGCTGCAATACCAACACCAGCGAGTCCTTGAGAATTCCCAGAAGCCTCAACTGTTGCTTTGTGGAGTCGAACAGGTACACCAACTTAGGGAGCTGGTTGTCTCGTTTGGAGAGCCGTTCCGTAGATGACAATAAGTGCTCATTAGCCCTGCCACAAATTATTTCGGCTTCAGAAAGCCTTTGTCGTGCATCGATAACCCAATTCGATATATCTGTCGGTATTTCCATAGCATGAGGTACGGCTTGGATGGATTGTGGGAAGAAAATCGGATACACTTGAACTCTGAGGCATCTTATCGATGAGCACCATGCCTGCGCCGCACGAAGCTCTTTGGAGGTTTAAAGAGAGATGGCCAAAAGGTCGATGAAGAAAGGTAGAGCAACACTTTCTTGAACCAATTAAACGCCATTACGGAAGAATTGCTAAATTCAGGCCCAATTATTGAAAGATGTTTTTTGAATTTTTTCAATATCTCGGTATTTCAACAAGATTCTCGGTAAGGCTTATCGGTATAGTTGGAAGCGTACACTACCTTCTTGAAGAAACCCAATTCATCCGCACGATCTATCATTGAGTTTGTTTTTTCTCAGCTCCACGTGCTCGTCAATGGATGCTTTTATTTGAATGCAATTTACGTTAAGCAGTGCGTCGGTGTTGCCGAGAAAACGAAGGACGGCTGACTCTGATGCCTCTAGCGGTTCTGATGCCGAGCCTCTTGTCACGCCGTCGCGCTTCATCAGCTTTGCGCAGCCCGGTGCTGGTGGGAAGAATAGTGGATCAGAAGAGGGAGATGGACCGCGAATGTCTATGGTGGTAGAGCGTATGGAGGAGAACGATTATTCTGACTTGGAAAGAGAGGACCAAGACACAAACACAGGGTTCAAAGGGTCTTTCAGTAGTTACATCATACCAGAACAAGAGGTTTCAGAGCAGACTAAGAAGTATGGTATAGGTGCCAAGTTGCTCCAGAAAATGGGATATGTGGAAGGGAGAGGTCTGGGTAAAGATGGCATGGGAATTGTGAGTCCCATCGAAACTAGTCTACGACCAAAAGGCCTTGGAGTGGGTGGTGTCAAAGAGAACAAGGGACTTGAACAAGAGTCAGCCTCTAGCGACGATGAGGATGTAACTGCCGATGATAGATCTGCATTGACATTCCAAAAACGAACAATACCTGATCTGTTCACAATTATAGAGATGGCAGAGAAGGAGGGGCTGGCAGTTCCCCATGAGATCAAAGAGTTCTCTGATAAACATGCTTCCGAAACCAACGAGCTGGTGAAATCTGTACAATTGCATATGCTGGACATATTCGATGACTGGGTCAGTTTGAGGAACGAAAAGAGCAGCAATGCTCTCAGTTTAAAGCAAAGCGAAGGAGCACTTAAAAGTTCACAGAGGTCCATAGAGGTACTGGAGATTATGATCAAAGCCGCTGAATGGACATCCTCGTTGGATTCAGATTATCCTGATGTGTTAAATGAAGTCTTGGATATGATTGGAAAGACCGTTGACTCTATTGATTTGACTTCGGAGCTGAAAAATTTGGTGGAAGAGGGCATTGTTGCCATGATATATCCAACATTCAAGGCCATAATCGAAGCATGGATCCCGCTTGATCTCGATAGCACAGAAACCACAATTGTCAGTATCAAACTGATCAACGATGTTTTCAACAAGTTTTCAGCGAGAGCTACGGAATTCTCCAACCTTGAGTTTCCCACAAACTCCGATGTGTTGAGTCCGCCAGAAAGCATGATTTCCATCGAATGGTTGAGCAAAATATCGCAAACATTTCAAGAGTCATGGGACCCTCTAGTCAGTGTTGATGCAGCCTTGGCGTGTGTTTTGGAATGGCGAGACGTGATGCCTGAATCAATTATGAGCATATTCTATTCCGAAACGCTGGTTCCGGTTCTTCTGAAAACTTTGAAGGGATCTGAGTTCTCGAATTCTGGAGTCGGAGCAGAACTGTGGCTGATTGACTGGCTGGACATCGTTGGTGATGCGGGAATGCCTTTGGTTTCTGAGGTGTATCAAGAATATGTCGCGTATTTGACAAAACAGTGGGATTACAAGGTTGAAGATCTACCCGAAGAACTGACTGTTTCATGGAGAGATATTCTCGGAGATGACCAGTATTCTCTTCTCTTGATTGATGGAGGACTTAAGAGGATTGTCACTGATTTGCGTTTGGAGCTTGACTTTTCAAGCCTCTCATCTGCCCGGAGTGCAAAACAGATCTTGGGCGCAATTTCGAGGCTGCAGTTGGACTCAGCAGTCATAGGAAAGTTGGTACAGATAGAGATTGTGGCCTCTCTCTATAGAGAGGTCAAGAATGCGACAGTTACGCGTATAGACTGGAGCGATCCCGTGGTCAAGAACATTGGTTTCTGGTTTCTTTGGCTAGAGGAATATACCAAGTATCCAGAGGTTCAAAGTGGGTTAACTGAATTGGTGGACATTATTAACCGCAAGACTGATCTTGGGATCAGGAATATCAAGCATCATGCAACAGAGATTCCACTTGAAAGACCCTCAATATCCACAGTCATAGAAACGATTGAGGGGGTTTTCAAGTCTTCGAGTAATTCAGATGAACAAAATCAGGGCTCAATCCATGGGGTTACCACCTCCCAGTTTAAAGTGACATATAAAGATATCGTCAACGAATACTGTTCCAGTGTGGGGCTGTTCTTCAATCCTGATAAGAGCGTCCAATCGACTGAATCACACAGATCCGTGTACAGGATCTCCAGACACTCAAACGGAGCAGGCGGAATAATATGCTACATTCATCAGGATGTGCTATTTGCGAATTTACCGGGATCCAGCGAGTATGAGCCCATAGGGTTGGATGAGCTGCAACAGTTGCTGGCCAAGGATACTTGAACTACACCTCTGGATGCCCTGAACTTTTTTGGTGTGTATATAAGTGTATGAATTATGTACTATACCGACACGATGACTAGATACATGTTCCTATTGGATTTTAATGGGTCGGCACTATTTGTCGTTGACTTTCTCCACAATAGTCTCGGTGATCTCAGTGATCGAGTCTGAGACGGCTGGGACAACCTCAGACACGGTCTCGGAAACGGTCTCGGAAACGATTTCAGTGGCAGCAGGAGCAGATTCGGAGATCACGTCGACAGTCTCCGTAATAACTTCGACTACCTCCCCAGATGCTGGTGCAGGCTCCTCTGAGCTGGGCTCAAGCGAGAAGTCATCATCGTCTCTCAACTCTTCACTGTACACTTCTGGGTGCTTTCTGAAACACTCCTGCATTCCTTTGAATTTGTCGATGCAGTCATAACCCTTTGGGTCAGCCTCAGAGTAGACGAAGCATGAGAACGCTGCCTTGAACTCCTCTCCACATGGACCGTCGGCCATTCCACCAAGGCATGGACAGTCCCAGTTGATCTCACCAGTCTCGGGGTTGTAGGCACCTTGGGCAGGGGGGTCAGCACTTTCAGCTTGCTGCTCAACGACAGGTTCTTCTTTTGCCTCGGAATCGGCATACACCGGCGTGGCCAAGTAATAGGCCGAGAGAGCTCCAACAGTGGCCACTGGAGCAACTAGGAAAAGCTTGGACGAGCGTGCTCCAGTCGTCGTAAAGGAGCTGTATTGGCGTGAAGCCAACCGGGCACCGGATGAGGTCAAACGAGCAGAACGAACCAAAGATCTCACAAACATGTGGAGTTTATTATAGTTACAGTTTGAACTGATTGTAACGGCGACTTTTCAAAATTAGTAATGTGGAACGGCGATGGCCTCGGGTATCGGGGTGTGCCGCTCAAAAAAGACATCGCGAGAATTCAAAGTCGAATCTTTTAGCAGAGGTTAGGCTTTGATAAGACCTCTCGATATCTTGCATACACAAAAATTATCCGACAGCGACTGTCAGTTGCTATCATTTGACGTCATGGATTATCAGAATAGAGCAGGATCGAAGAAAGGTGGCGGTGGTGTTGCCGGAGATGAAGAAGCCAATAGACACAGAAGCGAGCGTATACGACAGTTACTTGGCTCCAGCATAGATATCGCCAACGATCCTTATGTGTTCAGAAACCATCTGGGAGTGTTGGAGTGTAAGCTATGCTACACTACACATAATACAGAAGCATCATACATTGCGCATGTTGGCGGAAAGAAACATCAGATGCAGTTGATGTATAGAGCACGGTCAGACCAGCAGAAGACGGAAGCAGATGGCCTCAAGACGTCTGGTTTGGTGCTTTCGGATATAAAGAAGAGGAAATACACATCTATAGGAAGACCTGGGTATAAGGTGACGAAAATCCGTGATCCTGTGACTTACCAGAAAGGACTGTTGTTCCAGCTCAGCTTCAAGGAGCTATCCGAAGAAGTTAGCAAGCCTCGATACAGATTGATGTCTAGTTTCGAACAAAAAGTGGAGACCCCACCGCAGAAGAATTTCCAGTACTTGGTGATATCTGGGGAGCCCTACGAGAATGTATCGTTCAAAGTTCCAGTTGGAGCGATTGACAGGTCCAAGGAGAAGTTCTGGGACTACTGGGATCAGGATACCAAAGAATATTTCGTCCAATTCTTTTACGAAAACTAAATGGAAATCGAGGAATCTCGAATACATCGCTATTGTACACTAATCTATCATTAACTCACATTATCAACCCAAGCGCCCTCCGTAATCTCCTAAACCATATTGAGAGTCTGAGTAACATCATCCAGATAAACCTGCAGACTTGACCTGAGGGTTTCCAGTTTCGAGCCTGTTTTCTTGAAGGCTAGCAAATATTTATCTTTCAACTCCTTGGCCAGTCTTTCGAGATGTGCAGCTTCGGACTCGATCGCATTTTTGGCATCTGTCCTTCCATCAAAATTCGTCTTGGCTTCGTTAAACTGCTCCAGGGCACTTTCCAGTTGTGTGTGCCAAGTCTGAATTTTCATGTCCACCTCATGCATTACTCTCTCGGCTTCCTTTGCTTGCATTTCCAACTTGGATTTGAATGTAGATATCCGCACTTCTAGCATCTTGTGCTCCGTCTTTGCCTGATTCACCTCGTTCGTGGATTGTGCAAGTGCCTCGGTGATTGTTTTGTCGCGGCTCAACAGACTGCGAATTCCGTCTTCGGGTTTGACCAGTTGTTTGATGGAGTTCGCCAGAGACGCAAACGTGTTTAGCGATTCTGTTAAATTGTGAGATTTCGTTCTGGATTCAGCCAGTTGCAACTCCAAAAGTTTTTGCGAATCCTCCAGCTCCTGGAGACTGTTGACGAGCTCCTCTTTCGATTGCGTGACAAAGGATCTTTTTAATCCAACATCCTTCTCCAATTCCACCAGGATTTTCGAACGCTCATCAACAGTTTCCACAAGCTTCTGTCTCTCCTGCCTGAGCTTGTTTTTTCTAGTTAAATCGTCGTTAGACTGAATCTTCTTCTCCTTCAACGTGTGCACTTTGGCGTTGTGAAGCTCCTTCAAACTTGGCAAGTCGTTCTCTTTGTCCTCCACAAAATGCTTTAGCTCCTCCAAATTTGCCTCCACCTTGTTCTTAGAAAGTACTATGCTCTCCAATGCTTCGCTCGAGGTCACCACTTTGTTCAGATCCTTATGCTGGGCCAACTCTTTGGCCATCCTCCGCTTCGCGTCAAGAAACCTCGAGATCACTATCAACTGATATTTAAGCCTGTCACTTTCTGGACGAAGCAAGTCATGGATAGAAAATTCGTCGTAGTTCAAGCTTGCCAGAAACCGTTGAATCAGTCGCAGTTTTGCAGTTCTTTCAGTAAAGGATAAATACGCTGCTGATTGATAATAGCCAGCTTCATCCTCCAATGGCTCGCGATATTTCTGCAGTTTTAGCTGAACATCGAAGTTGAGAATTGAGTCAAATAACTTGGTCACAAACAGCTGGTTGGGTCTTTCAAGTTCTGCAATCGAAGACGGGATGTTGTTTTCGAGCAGCATCCTGTGCAGCTCCTGGAAGCTGGGTTCAGGCATCGATCTTACCATGGACGACCTAATCGACCGACGCCCCGAGTGTGATGATGACATTAGTTAAAGTAGTAGAGCAACGGGTATAGAAAGATAAAATGGTAAAGAAGACGAAACCAAAGCTTTTGGAACAAGACGCGGGTCATTTTGAAAAACGTAAACAACCCCAGTATACATTTTTGTGCGGGGAACGACATTGGTTTTGTTTGGTACACTACA